CGACATCCATCGACATCCATCAATTTTCTAAAAAGTGTGAAAATGACACATTTTCGAGTATTTAAGCATGAAAATAGAACATTAAAAATAAAATCAACATCCAAGCAAAAAATTGGTCGAAAATGTATGAAAATTATTGAAAATAAGCACTTTTTTAGTTCTCCAAAATTGACACATTTTCTTATTTTCCGAGAAAAATTGTTGTAAATGAGGTGATTCTCTGCTGTCAGAGAATGAAAATGTGTTGAAATGACTGAATGTCGAAAACGGTATTATAATCCCTCTTTCCTATACTACTCATATAGTTCAGAATTTTGTGTCCGTTGGAGGTTGTCTTGGAGGTTGCGCGAAGGGTTCAATATTTGACGCCATTGAAGTCGCTACAACTATAATGATGAAATAATGAGCATTATAAATAAAAATAATATCAATACCCGTCTTGTTAACTTTAGTAGTTGTCAAAGTCCTTCGGCTCCTGTTCAATATGATTGTGTTTCCTAAAATGTACTAATAATTAGGAAACGGAAAATGATGAAGAATAAGTTTTAACAATGCCAAATTAATTAAAAAATGCCATATAATAATAATAAGCTGAATAATAAGCTTTTTCTAAAAGATCTCTTTCACCTTCAGCGAAAGGAAGCTTCCTAGAAGTGTTTGTGGATTGTCTAAGAATTTTAGATTTTTCACTAATTTCAACCTCCTTGACCTCTTCTAATCCATAACCTCCTGTGATTGTTGGAATTAGCTTACACTTCATTGTTTTACAATCTTGGCATAACCCTTTTATCATAGAACGTTTCGAGCTTGTTTCAACATTAAATATGTCAGTAGTATCAGTATATTTTTTACATTTGAAACAGTATACTAATTCCATAATTTAGAAGTTAAAATTTTTTGGCTACAAATATCTTATTTGATTTTGTGAAATGGTTGACGTTCAGTGAAAATGGATGTCTTCACTAGAAAGTGAATTCACTCCCACTTAGCCATGAACCCCAAACATGGCTACCTCTTCCGAGGTATTAACTTTTTCACTTGGCTTCAATCAAACAAGATATTTGTTTTTTTCAAAATAAAACAAGAAGATGAAATAACAACAAACATGAAATAACAAAGAATTAACAACAACAATCAAATGATTATTCACTTTCTCCCCATCCGGAAAAGATTCTTCAAGTCGTTACATAGACTGTTTTCTCAGAATTTCGAATGCTCATTCAACATTTCCTGCTGAAATATATCTTATTCATTTAAATTCTTTGTTGTTATTCTGGAGACGTTCATTACTCACCTTTAGTAGTTCGTTGAATCTTTCTTCTCATTAAACATAATAAAATCTCTTGTTATTGAACACATCTTTCACTGATCGAAGAGATTCATCAATTTCGTTAAATTGATGTTGTAGTAAAACATGCAAATAAAGAATAATCTAGTGTATAATACAAAAAAAAGACTTACCAGCTCTTTCTGTTCACTTTTACGCTTTATGGAGAAGTAGAGATTTCATGACACGAAAAGCATCCTCCATCTTAGAAGAAAATATTGAACTTAGCTTGAAAAACATCTTCAAAATGAAATAACAACACAAAACTGAAGAAATTCTGCGATGTAAATCTTTCTCAAATGATACACTTCGTTCTTTCATACTTGTTTGCCAGTACCTTCGAGAAGTTTCAGAGTGTGACCAAACTCATCGAGTTCTCTCCCTTTCTCTTTGTGTGACCTTCTTTTCTCTTCCTCACTCTGACCCAGTATAGTCACACATTTGCCCCAGTTGAACTAGACACACGCGACGCAACACGCAAACGCGTTGGGCTAAAGTGAAAGGCAGAGACGCAGAGGAAAGCGAGAGACGCCATCATCACATTCTTCCTCTATTCACGCTTGTTGTATTTTAGGAAATATTTGTTGTTCTTTTATTTACATAATGCTGAAATAATTTGAATATTAATGCACTTTATACCACGATTTTTTCTCTATTCATTCTCAATTTTCAGCAGTCATCAAGCAATTAGTCGGTCAACATGAGTGAACACAACAAGGTAAGCATAAATTTATGTGTTTTCTAAATTGATTTGTCTTTTTAGAGTTCCTCGTCAGATGAGTCGTGGCAGAAGCTCGCTTTGCCATACGACGAATTTGATGTTTTGGTCTCGGACATTAACAATGAAGAACTTGTCGAGGTTTGTTAAATTTTTACTATTGTATTTAATATTTTTGTTTTCAGATTGGAGTCGAGAAAGAAATCGAACACCTCAGCTCTGCAACTTTCTCGTCGCCACCTTTTCCAGTGAAAGGATGGATCTACGGACGAAACCTCCGGTGTATGATTCCTCTAATCTGCCAGCGAGGACGTAATGTTTTATGACAACTTTGTTGAAATACTGAAAATTTGTAGGAAAACCTGGCTCGAAGGCTATCATAATTTGGTTTCTATGTAATACGGGCTCACCATTCACTTGCGTCAGTGAGAAATCGTTGGAAAGTCTGTATGGTGAAGGGAATATCACCCATTCACGTTATGATTTGGTCATCCAGGTTTGTTTTCTTTTAATTGAACTTTACTGATTAAATGTTTAGGATCAAACGTTGGAAATCGTTTGTCGAGTGTCAAAGGAACATTTTCGAGAAGTCAACATTTTGGGAATGGACGCAATGCGAAAGATGCGGCTATCGATTGAGATGGACTGGACACGCGAAGAATTCAAGCTTATTAAAAAGTAATTTCTTTGTTGTAACGGCGTTTATGTTCAATAAATCTTTTCTTCTTTTATAATACCACTTTTTCAATAAAATCGACATCCATCGACATCCATCAATTTTCTAAAAAGTGTGAAAATGACACATTTTCGAGTATTTAAGCATGAAAATAGAACATTAAAAATAAAATAAACATCCAAGCAAAAAATTGGTCGAAAATGTATGAAAATTATTGAAAATAAGCACTTTTTTAGTTCTCCAAAATTGACACATTTTCTTATTTTCCGAGAAAAATTGTTGTAAATGAGGTGATTCTCTGCTGTCAGAGAATGAAAATGTGTTGAAATGACTGAATGTCGAAAACGGTATTATAATCCCTCTTTCCTATACTACTTATATGCTCGCCTCGGTACTTCACATCTTCATCAATACTAGGGAAAGGAAAAAAAAGATATTCAATGACTTCAAGCTTCTTCCCAAAAGTAAGTTATCATTTTTAATCTTTGTAGACTCAGTTTTCTTTTTAATTTTGTATTCAATGTGAAGTTATTACTAGTTTTAGGCGATCGGAATCAACGCTCATTTGGCTTTCGGTTATAAGTTTCAATTGTCTTGGTGCATTTCGAGAATTCTCAATTAATCGGATGACTTTCCCCTTTGAACAATAATTTTCATACTATTTTTGCGATAAATAAAACATTGTTGTGGTGCTCTTAAGATATTCGATAAATGTACGATTCTCTCGCTTGTTTAAGTAAATTCCGTTAGTTCCGCGAACTTTTACATATATATGAAGGTCGACTCATTATAAGAATGCAAATGACAATGGGTATCAGGATTAAAATACGCATAACATTTTTTTTTAATATTAAGAAATCGAAAAAAAAAACCATTTAATATTCTCTCAGCGCGTAAATCTACCCGTTCGTAAATCTACACTGATTACGAAATACTGAAGGCCACGCCCCCATCAAGTCGTTTGACGCCGACAATATACAATTAAAGCTTTTTAATATTTTTTTCTTTTCAGTTCTTGGTGTTCGTGTCATATTATTGATTTAGTGTGCAAATCATTTAAAGATATCCCTGCAGTGAACAAGCTGCAAATTGCAGCATCATTCGTTGCGCGACACCTGTCGAAAAACCCGAACGATCGCGATGAAGCTCAAAAGTACGCTTATTTTTCACGCAAAAAATTAAAATATCTGATTTTATCATTTTAGAGCTCGAATGCAATTCGGTATCGAAACACCGTTACCGGTTCCGTTGCCAGCTACGCGGTGGAGTGGATTACTCAAATTGAGTTCTAGACCAAAGTGCACTCGCAACCTCGCTAGTCCTTAAGTCATTTGTATCGATCGTCTTGCACCTGATAGGTGACCCTTTTGATATTTACTTTGGTGTACTTATTGTGATTTATTCTTGCGTCGTATGTGTCATAAAGTGGGTTTAATTACCCAAGTTTGAGGTATCTCTGACTTTGGGATAAGAATTCGTCTCAATCCTGAGCGCGAAGTAATCTAGAAATTCAATTTATGGAAATTGTTATCAGCAATCAGATTTTAAACGAGAAATTCGAAATTCGTTGAATTCGTGCTTCGAGAATTTCTTTTTCCGAATGTTACTTTCCGTGTGTGCTTCAGAATTGCAATTACTCGAAATTAATCCCAATGCCATCGTTATTGTCCTGCACGGAATTCCGTCTTCCGGCACTTTAACTGTTATGTTTTCCGTCAAACACAGTTTTATTGCGTCTATCGTATTTCCTCTTCCGTCAAAAAAAGTTTCTTCTGTTCTGCGTATTCTGTGGCCCACCAAAAATCATTTCTAATTGTGTGCGTTTTTTTAAAATTTATTTTGTGTTTTAAGATTGTCGAAACACAAATGAACTCATTCTTTTATTTTCTAAATTCGCTTCTTATTTACGTTTTTGAATTTACATTTTTTTTAATGGTGAAAAGAAGATTATGTGGAGACTACTTCTTGATAACTGACAAAATGCGGAAGAAATTCTCAAGTAGGCCCGAACTGAACTCCTTTTTCCGTCCCTTTTTTGTTACGCGTTCCGTCAAAAAAAATTTGTTTCGTGTTCCGCTAAAATCTTCTAGTACATCAGTTTTCAAAAAATTCAAGTTCCGTGCATCTCTGGCGCAGACGGCAATTATGATTTTTCAAATATTTTCCTAGTTTTCACCATAGAGCGCACTTGCTCGTCTCTACTAGTATACCACGCTGCTGGATTATTTGCCTAAATTTGCATTTGTCGCTAGAAATTTATTGATTGCAGGCTAATAACGATGACATTCTTCCATTTTATCAATTGCTTCGCATTAGCATTTGCTCCATATTTTATTGCCTACAAGTATTCAGGTAAAAATCGATAATTGTTTTTTTTTTAATCTAAAATTTCCTTATTTTGTTATAGGTATTAATGAGTATAGCTCGATTTGGAAGTGTGCCAATGCGGCTGGAGGTTATTTGTTAACGCAACTCGCCAAATTATTAGTGTTAGCCACATTTTTTCCGATGTCAGATGTCGAAGAATTCGCACCATTGCCGGTAGGTGAAGAAATTTGCGAAGAAAAACAAGTTATTGATTATTTTTTCATGAAAAATATGATTTTCTAGGAATTAATCAAAAATTGTGCCGACATTCTCGACGTCATCGGCCTTCATCTTCTAATGACCAATTTTCTTGCGGGCAAAGGTGAAGTACGCTTCATTGTCGCCGGCCTTGGCTGGGGATTCACACATTCGGTCGCCCATCGCGCTGTTCTCCTCTGGGTTGGTGCGCGCGGCTCGGCATTCACCTGGCGCTGGATTCAAACCGCCCTCGATTCGTCCTGCGATCTTTTCATTATTGTTTCAATGGCGGCTCTTACATGGATGCTCACCAGAGCGAATAATAAGGGATCGGTTGTTCCAGTCCTTGGAATGTGTGTATTCTCGACATTCATTTTCCAGTAAGTTGTTGAATAATAGAAAAATTAAAAGTTTATTTTTATAGAGCAATCCAAAATATTCTCGCTATCACTGGATGGTCGTTCTTGATCTTCCGTGCATTCTACTCATTCTCTGTAGCCGTTATGACCGTTCTTGTCTATTCTGTGAACCGGCAATCAGCAACTGCCAAGAAATTCGAATAGAAATCTCAACTTTAGATAGTATATTTATATTATTTATATATAAAGATTGTTATAATTATGATATTTCTTTTTCGAAACAAATATCGTTTTCCAACGAGAATAAGTATTTTAAAAATTTCTCATCATTTACTTCGCCCCATGCTATTTTTCTTGAAATTAGCTTATTTAATCGAGAGAAAATCGCGCGAGTAGAGATTTATAAAAGCCTAAATTCATTTTTCCACCAATTTTTGTAAATAAATTGTCCAGGGGCTAAATGGCTTCAATTGTTAATGGATTCTTCGTAATTTTTAAAATTTGAAATGTGATAGATGAACGACGATGACCAATTCGAGCAATTTCTTCTGCCAGTCGAAGGCGGAAAAGTGGAAAATGATGAAATGATCAGCGGTGGAGTGCTTCCTGTCGATTCGCCGACTAGACGATTAGGGTAATCCCCAAAAATTTTCAATTTTATTTGTTAGATTATTAAGTGGAATTATGCAGTTTTTGGACATGTGCATTTCAGGACGATTCTCAACGTGCAAAATCCGAAAATTCCTGAATCGCCCGACATGAAGTTTGCGAGGAAGCGACTAGGAAATTTGCTCACAAATATCAAGCATCTACCAAGCGATGCGGCGAATCAAATCAACGACGAGAGTTTGTAAGAAATATTCGGAAAAAGTCAATGTAAGCTTAAAATTTAGTTTCAGAATGGATGAGCCGGAGAAACGGCCGCCGGGTCGTCCGAGGAAAATAATGCGAACAGAAGATCCCAGCGATTATGGAAATGCCTATGACAATAAAACCGCGAATAATCAATATATTTGCTTTGAGTTGCGCGGAAAGCCGTTTGGAATGCTCGACGGACGAATGGACTCGGAATATCAGTTGGCAAGGGCGTGGATGCGCGGAAAATTGAATCCGGAAGAGCCGATGAGCAATTCGAAGCGACAAGAATTTGCGCCAAACTTGCCCGTGGTACGCGACTTTAAATCAAACGCGCCAAATTTGAGTTATTGTTGACAGGAATATTTGGCGTGTCGTGAAATAACCGCGATGCCAAAACCGATGGCCACACCGAACGACGATCTACCAATTGTTCCACTGGAGAAAGATGAGTTTGACAAAACGGTGAACCCGCTCGATAAGCAGGCAATAATTGCCGAGTACACGAGGCACTGGAAAGCGGTGAAGAAGGGATGGATCACGCATCAGAGAAAGCGCGAGGCCAAATATTCAAGGAGTGTTGAATTGCTCACTAAAATTTACAATCCTCAAGTGATTTACTAATTTTTGTTGGTCACATTAATCATCAATACATGTATATTTAATATCGCGAATTCGATTGGTCTTCCATAATGATTTTAGCGTACTTCGACATTTCCCGAGTTGCGGTTCGTTTCAGCGCGGCGATTCCAAAAACGATCTGAAAATGTTTTTTTTTTCGCATATCAATGAACCCGAATTTGATCCTTACTTCAATCATTATAAATATTATAAAAACTGGATAAAAAACGTATTCCAATGGGAGTTTTGGGTATGATGTTGACGCGAGAAGGAACACCGTAATCGGAAGTTGAATTAGGCTTGATGTAATTAGGAATCCGGAAAGTGCGGACATCTGAAAAAAATGATTACTCGAAATTTTTATTGATGTGTGGCGCCAAACGTTTTCTGCGAGGTTTCCGTAGAAGCCGAGACCTAGTCGTATTGCTTCGCTGCTTATATGTACGATATAGGCAGAGTAGAGTATTACTCGAAATGTCAGAGTCATCAAATCATACTGGAAATTTTTTTTTAAGTGACGAGGATTGTGAGACTTGTGTAGTCCACACGGAGTTATTTTTGTCAGGTTAATTTCTTTACCATTCTCACCCCCCGTTTGTTTCTTTTTTTTTCAAATAAATATTATTCAAAAAATTATCTCGTCCCTCAAAAACACTTTTTTTCTGCAATCGTCATCTGTCGCGTTATTTTGATTGAGTAATGGTTTGTTTTTTTCCGGTTTTTCTAAATTTCACCTTTCCCATCCCAATTTGAAAAATCAAAAACATTCTCGCTTGGCGTATGTGTCCATTTACCTTGAAATACAAAGCGAGTAGAATTTGAATTAAATGAAAGGGAAATAGTGAAATGTTGAAGTGGAGAGCCATTTGAAGCGGAAAACTGGAAAGGATTTCTGTAAAATGTTTTGCATTGAACAGCCCATTACGGATTTTTTACCATTTTTCAGTGTTAGAGAGTTTAAAGCTTGCAGCATATTTGGATTGAATGTGCAGTGTTGAAGGGAGCAATGAAGGGTTGAAGGCAGGGTCGCCATGGCAACCGTATATTCGCATTATGCTCGCCGCCACTTCCTTCTTGTGAAATCCCAAACATTCCACAGTAAAAATAGAAGAAAAACCTGATTCAATCTATTTGCGTTGTTTTTTTTCAGGGCTTACCTTCAAAATCCAATTAACAGTTCAGGTCATTCAATTAAAAGCCGGAAATTTTGAAAAACGATTTATTAGTGGTAAAGATGGCCCGTCGACATCGAAGAATAATGAAACGTACAATACCCGGCAAAGAATGTTGGTATCGGCAGGAGATAACGAAAGAAATACAGAAAAATGAGGAGGGGGACGCTAAAACGCGTGAAGTGCATACAATCCTTGAGAGAGGGTGGTCCAACGAACACAATGAATTCATCGTCCGTAGTCGAGCATGAAGTCCTCGACGTCAAAGCTGTTCGCTTCCCAGAATCTGACGCCACGACGAGCTCGGCGAGAAACGCGCGCGACTGACTGGCACAGTTGCTGCTCGCTCATCGCGCACCAGCCGCATGACGCTTGACAATTTTCCGCCATCCATTGACGTCGTCTCGTGCAAAACTGCTGATTTTTCCAATAGGCGCATGACACGTGGCGATCATGGCAGCCGCGTTGCGTGTCGGCGCTCACGCATTGTCCGCAAGATTTGCGACAATAGCGATTCATGTACGCAGTGTTCGTTCGACACTCGTTCTGACGGGCCCATTGCGCGCAGCACGGATCTTCATTGTAGCACGTCTACAAATAAAAATTCTCATAATTTCCGCGATAATTAATTTACTTTCTCAAAAAGAAAAATCAATAATAATTTTTTTGCGCCGCACTAACTCGGTGTATGCACACTATATCTACCGTACTTCATTTTTTTACTCAACTTTGATTTTTCGCTTCCTTCCCACTTTTTTTGAGTGTTCTCTTCTCGAAATTCATTGCAATTCAAATATATCTCATTTAATTAGCTGCCGTCATATACTGAGCGAACAGTACCGATTGATAAGATAGGCGATTTTTGAGATTCGACCGTGATTTTTAAACTTCCGCTTTTTTGACCTGATAATTAGGATACGTGAGCGATATCGAAATAGCAAATAGGAATTTCGTTGAGGTTTTCGATTTTTTGATTTCGCCGAATTTATTTTTTGCGTCATCGTGGTTTGCGGGTCGAAAATTGAACTTTTTCGGCCTTGAACCGATGATGACTTATTACTGCGGAATTGTTAAACTAAAAAAAAGTTGTGGGCAGCGCGCGTGTAAGTGACCTTTCGTCGAAACGACTGATATCGATGCCATTTTTAGATCGACTTACCGCTGATGTTGCCGCTGGTCGCGTCTGAGCCGGAGCAGCTGTCGCCGGAGCGGCAGCGGCCGGCTGCTGAGCGACATTCGCCAATGCTGTTGTTTGAGGCTGCTGGAATTGGCCGGCGCGGCACCAACCGCCCACGCATGTTCCCATGTAGCAAGCATCGAGTCCCTCGAATCCACGACAAAGTCCACCGGCTTTAATCTAAAAGAATGGCCAAGATGGGCGGAAAATTGAAAAATTCGAAATAAATACCTTGGCAACACAGTGCGCATTTCCACGTGGATCGCAGAATAGATAAGGCGAGCCGCAATTCGGGTTATTTCGGCTACAAGTGGGCCGCGGAGCGTACCTATACAAATTATCCGTGTAAGCATTGGATAGTCCTAAATCAGTCATCGGATTCTAGTCATCACGCCACTCCCAATTACCATCGCGGTTGATTTTGTCCCAAGGTCTCATTTGAGCATAGCTGAAGTGTTGAGGATTGGCGCATTGCGCAATATCTGGTGGGTATTGCTACAAAAAACAATTATTACGATAAATTTCAGGCGCAAATAAAAATGAACGAGAAATCGTTTTTACATTCTCCCTGGTGAATCGATTCTGATGATTCTGACGCCACATCTCCCAAATGAAATCGACAAACGTGTGATGCAGAAAGAATATCGGATCGTTTGCTGACGTGCTCGGCGGCTTCATGTCGCCTCCAATCCATAAATGAATCGAGGCGTGAGTGTACTCGAGAGCTCCAAAGTAGGGCTTGAACGGGCAACCCGCTTGTGGTGCAGTGAACGCCATAATGCTGATAATATCATTCTGGCCCATTAGATTGTTGATGTTCTGCTCGGTGAACATTTTTCCCTCGGTGGCCATTCGCCGAATGATGTTCGGGCGGCCTTCGAGTGTTCGGAATCCGGCGAACGGGCCGCTCACCAGCTGGCCAGAAGCATCGGTCATTCCCATGAACATTGGCGAGAACATTATCGAGTCCCTTGGATCGGGCAGGTAGGACTCGAGAACGCTGTCCCAATAAGGCATTGCGATGCCCGGATCGATCATTCGAAGCGCGATTTCGAGACGCTTGACGTACTCGCGGTGCCACGCCAAAAAGCCAGGGCCCGAATGGGCGCCGGAATTGGTGCCGACTTGACGATGCATGACGGAGAGGCGATCGTATTCGCCGCTTCTTTTAAGTCCGATGACTGCATTGTGCCATCGCTGCCTCTCATTATCCGTCATCATTCTAGAAGAATTTCGAAATTGTTGCGAGAAATGCTTTGACGTCTCGAATTACCTGTACTCCTTGCGATAGGCCATCAGATACGGCTGCCCATTCGGCAGAATGCACCCGTTGCCACCCATTCGACCCTACAAACGTTGATGCGTATAATTTTCCACAAATTCACGACCATCATACCCCCATGTACGGGCAAATGCATGCGATATTCATGCATCCTTGTGCCGACGGCGCGAAACGCGGCGGATTTGCCGGCGCGAAACCATTGACGCCGGGAGCACCGAAAATCAAATGAATCAGAAAAATGGAAACATCGCCCAAACGAGCAACCCTACCGACGTTTTGCTGGAACGCCTGACGTTTGCGGATCATTTTGCGCGCATTGCTATCCATGTCGTAGAGCATTTTGCATGTCGATTGGAGATCTATGAATATCGAGCTCACTACTACGAGGATATTGTGGACGTTACTCACCATGATCGGGAGCCAATGAGCAATTGAATTGCGTGTGAACAACGGCAGTGTTTAGCAAAACTAGCGCCACCAGGCGACGCATCCTGAAATGATGAGCTCTATGATCTACCGAAGCAAAACAAAAGCGGCACGTCGAGACAAGCAAGTAAAAAGTGACGCATTCCGCCAACGGTGGTTTTTTTTCCCATCTCTAACGAAATTTTCGAGAACTGGTCTTGTGATGGTTATCAAACCGTCTTTCCTTTTTTGGCGAGTTGCAGTGTGTTTTTGAAATGAAATTTCATAGTGGTTTTCGAACGCGCTGTTTGCCAAATTTGAACGAACCAACTAGAGTTTTTATAGCTAAACTACGAGAATTTGATTGCTCGTCCCAACAGGCGACGATTTCGCCGAGGATTTGGAATCAATTGAATTTGATGAAAACAACGAATGTAGGTCGTCAAATGAATAAAATTTGAAAAGACCCCCCTTAGATGATAGTGATAACCTTCACCTAAAAAACGTCCGCAACTAGGCGGGCGAGTTGGTGGCCGCCCACGAGAAACAGAAAAATAATATTGGCCATGGGGGAAGGGGGGCGGCTCCGCCCACTTTGACGATGATTAATTTTTTTTTGGTGGGGCCCACATTTTAGTTTAACACTTTTGGGAAAATAGTGGGTGGCGAGAGAAAAACCGCTTTTCAAAAGTGACCGCCCAACTGCCAATTATGAATTTTGGGTTGTGGTCAGAAAGCTATTGACCTTTGATGAGGTGTGTTTGGGGGGGGGCTTGGGTTTTTCGTCGGGGCAGTGACCAGAAGGCGAAATTGATGCAAAAATGTTTTTCAAGGTTGAATATCTGCACCCATCGAGAGACGTTGATGAGATCAGAAACGATGATATAATAGGGCGCGAACACATTGGCGTGTATTGTCACGTACTGTTTAAAGGAGCATGACGATGTGAAGGAGCGTTGGAAATTGAAGGAGGAAAAACAAACTGGTTGGAGGGAAAAAAATAGAAAACAGTTGATTTTCTTTTTGAGATATGCGATAGGTCCGGAAAGGGGACCCCCTCCCCTTCTCTGTATTGAATATTATTTAAAATCGAACCGGTCCATTTGGCAACAAAAAAAAACACAAGTTGTGCCATATTGCCTTTTTATACCATACTCGGGCGGTTAAAAACAACAACAACAACAACCCCAACCCCACTAAAAAAATGCGAAAAATGAAGCTGATTAGCGATTTTATGTTCCTTACCGACGTTGGGCCAACTTGAAAATTGATTCAAGTTCTAAAATAGTATAATCAAAAAAAAAACCAACGAACATTTTGCTATTTGTTGTGTAACGCTGTAACACTACTAGTAGCTGAAACGTAATTCCAACAATTTTGATTGATTGCAGTACTTCTTGATTTCGATGTTTATTTTTTTGGTTGAAACAGTCGGCTTGTTTCGGGTTGTAATAGTGGACCATGGATACTTGTTTCCGAAAATTAGCATAGTAATTTTTATAAATTGCAAAAAAAAGCGGAAAACACCAACAAGAAACATCATCACAGGATATACAATGAAAGATCAAAGAGTATGCGTTTGAGAGAATGGCACTGAAATAATTGGTGCCGAACGAATTCAATATAATTTTGTGATATGTTCAACCGGTTTGCGTTTGAGATCTGGCACCATGACGTCTTCGGCTGCGTAGCCCAATGGCAGCAATAATAACACCTGAACAATTGGGCATTTGAGAATGACAACAACGAGCCGCTCTTACGCTCTCATTTTCGGGCCTTCGCAGAATTCTCGAAATGTCGGGTCCGGCGTTGAGCGGCGACGTCACTACCGTGCTGAGACCGGCGTTCTGCAAACTAGGTCAAAAATGTGATCCACCAAACAATGGTCTTACGTGAATTGCTGCTAGTAGAATTCCGACAGCTATCGAGGTACTAATTTGGTTATAATGGAACACTCGTTCCGGTTTGCCGTTGACTTCTTTGAATATCTAAAAATCGGTACCGACTAGGGTGAATCGTTTTATTTTCTATTACTCACCTCATGGCATACTACTAATAAAAATGGAGCATCGGTAATATAGGGTCGACGCCATGTGTCTTGAAGTTGAGAAACGTCGACGACCCACGCGGCGCCTTTTCTACAGTCCTCATTTAAATAAATTTTTAATTCGAAAATCATACTTCCTGGATACTAAATTACCCCGTTCATCGGCTTCAAGCATTTTTCGAATTAGCAATTTTATACTATCATTCGATACTACGCAAAATGTCCATGGTTGCAGATTACCGACACTTGGCGAAGTGCCTGAAATGTGTATTTTAATGAAAAAAAATTTGTTTTTGATCTACCTGCAGTTTTAATCAAATTTTGTATGACTTTGAGCGGAACGGCTCGAGCGCTGAATTGTCGACAACTTCGCCTCATTTTCATTTCCTCGTAGAATATCTGAGAATTGCGCAGTGTCGCCTCGGCGTCGAGGTACGGTACTCGATACGGTATCGGTTTTTCCTGAATTACCGACTCATGCAAATCGGTGAACACGATCTCGTCGCCGCACATTCGCTCGCTGGTGTCGACCTGACAAAAACTGACTGGGTTGATTATGGTTAGAACAAACTTACTTTTTGCGTCCTGTTGCGACTTTCTAGCTGCTTCTCGGTGCGCTTGTTGATTCGAAGAAGTAGAGAGCCGCATTGGTATAGAACAAATACAATCACCTTAAATTAAGAAGCACATTTTGTACGAGTTAATCGACACAATAAAATATCGCTTACACCTAATGTGAAGAGCACATTGAGCACGGCTTCCGAACTGTGACCCTCTTTTCCGAATGAGTAGATCCATTCCCGGATGATTTGCAAATCGATGAGCGGCTCTTTTCCCGTCGACGCGGCAAACGCCTGTAGATTAAAAGTAGGGCGCGGTGACGAAAAACGAAATACCTTGTGATGATTGTGCCTCTTCATAGCGCATGCATATTTTTTCTGGAAAAACAAAAGTTTAGATTTACGGACCGAAGTATAAGGATAGGTTAAAGGCGCACCTCGTGCACCAAGAGTTCTTCTTAAATTGTTTGGCATTTTGCCCATTTTTTGAAGTCGCCCGACGCCGACAATAACTGTATATTTTAGAGTTTCATGGAAACATTCTCTGGTGTTTAAGAGCAAAAAACAAAATGAATGATTTTCAACGCTTTTTGTTTGTTCATTGCAATCCAAAAATTTCCGGGACCAATCGATTTTTGGCTTGTTTTCATGGCCTTGATCGTTGTAAAGAAGCGAAAACGAAAACGAAAATGAGACTGACATGCTGCAGCTCTCGCACGGCGATGAAAATGAGAAACAGACGTTGGGGCGAATATCCAACACGTTTTGAGAGAAAAAGTGGGGCGCCCATTGAGCATTTTTTCGTCGCATTGAATTCAACTCAATTTCCAGTTCATGAGCTGAATTATCGGCACACGTCGCAATTGTTACACTAAAATTGGGCGATGGGATTCGCAAAAACCGATTATATTGTTTAGTATTACATGCGATCTGTTTCGGTTTGAGATGAGCGGGTAACTCTTGTGGAAAAAAAATGAAAATTTGATAACACTGCGAGAAAAAAAACACTTGTCACAATTGTCCAAACATCATTTCCTGCAATTTATCATGGAATCGGCGCTTATCGCTTGTCATTTAGCGGTATTTGATGTTAAAAGTGGGCCAATATTACTAGAAAAATTGGAAAAAAAAATTAAGCTAGCCAAAAAATGAAAACGTTCTGGTGTTTGTGTGATTTGTCGTCGCGTTGAATACACTGTAACAATGGGTACAGTAACCATTTAAAAAAATCAAATCTTTCGTATTTTTTCGTTGGATTCAATCGTAAATTCTAAGGTAATTTTTTTAAAGGAATAATTGCTAACAGTTTCAACTTCACCACAAAATTAGCGTCCAACCGCCGTGCAGATGAGCAACGCGAACAAATCGAGAACAACAATTTGGCTGGATTTGTTGACACGTGGCTCTCCAAACGGCTCTAGGACCCGATTTGGGCTCAAATGTGTACAGCCGGTCGATACGGGTAACGGTGTGAATAAAATAATTTATGAAACCCCGAGAAGGGCGTGCCCTTAACGACGAAACGCTTCTGTCCGGATATTCGGCTCGCTGGTTAAGGTTAAATTGAATTTTCGACGCTTGATTGATCTTACAATAAACATTTATGTGCTATATTTAACTATATACTTCTATATAAGTGAAATTTAGAAGAGGCAAGACAATGTTTGGCGGCAGAATCATAAAAAAGAAAATCACAGTTATTTCGACGACTTTTCGGCTTTTTTCGCTTCGCGTTGAGCTTTCCACGTGGAACCATCGAGATCAATGAATTCAAGCCAATCATCGCAAATTGTTCGTCGATCCTAAAAAAAACAATTAAATTAATGGATTTTGAGATTTTTCAGTTCTACTTGATCCATAACCACTCCGCTGAGAGCGATTAGAGCTCGCTCGTCTTTAATGCAGAATCCATTTCCGAGAAACGCGTCAATTTGGGCGCGAGTTTTCACGAAATTTCCAGCGGCGTCAAATTCCAAAAATCTGCCAGATTTGTCCATCAGAACAATTCCGTCGCCATGCCTAAAAATAAAATCATTGAGATCGACTTGCGATGTTTTCAATTTTGAGAAATAACCTTAAAATATTTCGCGGAAAGAAAATTTCGCCGTCGTTTCGTCCCGCCGACGAAACCGACTTTTTAATTTTTCCGCTCGGAATATCGATATAAACCAATCTTTGTTTCGAAAATGGATGAAGTGGCATTTGCGCCATCGCCGCCACCAATGTATCCTCATCAATTGAGCAGACTGCGTAGAATCCTTCGCCGGATTCATTCGTGATTACTTCATCCCATCCAATTGGGGCGTCGAGAGAGGTCCTGAAGCGAAATACATGGTGAACTATTGTTTATCGATTTAAAATAAAACCTGTAGATTGTCGATTTGCTGCTTGTCGGCTGTTTGGTGATGTACATTTCACCCTCATCAGAAATTGTCATAGAAACTACTGAAAATAAGAGAAAAAATTATTTTATGGTTTTCGTGATTTGAAAAATCCTACATAGTCCATCTATAAATGATTCGTGCTTGAGTTCACCGTCAAGTGTGAAAATTCGAAACTCGGTGGTTTTGTCGGAATGCTCACCACATGTATAGATAATCTGTAAAAATTATGTCGTATATACGCGAATTTCAAAATTTTCAATTTGTTTGGTCTCGCCAAATTTACTCATATCGTCATATTCATATCCGTCATTTTCAGTTTTCATCGAATTACTTTTTAAAGGCTTCACATTATGATGATTAAATTAAGCAAAATTCGTTGCTAAGAGTTTTCCATACGAGATCTAAGACGGCATTTCAAATAATCCAGTAATCGCACTCCAAATTCATCTTAAAAATTGCAAATTTTGCAAAAAAAAACGTTACCTGATTTTTATGGCAGATAACTTGTGGAAATGGCGCCATCTTTTTGGGAAACACGTTCTTCCGCTCCCACATCGTTTTTCGTGTTTTCCCATGGAATTTGAAAAGTCCGCCTTTAGTGGCCACCTGAAAATGAGGATTGCATTTCAAATTCCACAAAATCATTACCCAAATGTTGTCTTGTGGATCGTAGCACACGTTGTACGGCACGGTAGCCCCGCGTGGCGTCAGATGAATGAACATTTCATCGAATCGTTGCTCATCTGAAGTATCCGACGGCGCTTCGGTCATGATTGCGACTGATTTACTACGAAACACGGCAACAGGCGAACGAAAGACTTGATGTTTGGCCTTGGACATTCGGTCATTTTTCGATTGAAACTAGTCCACGGCCATTATCTGCGTCTATTCCCTCTCTGCCGAAGTGATGAGTCATCGCCGTCCCAATATGCATATATCGATTTCCGTCTCGTGTTTTTGAACATTATTGGTTAGTTTTTATAGATTTTTGAAAAATTATCTCAAAAATTGATTGAAAACTGCGCTTTTATGGTGCCTCTTCAATTAATTTAACGCGTCTTTTTTCAATTTCTCGAGTTATTTGAATTCGAATATGTGTTTAGTTGAGATGACAGCGTACGGACACTTGCCAGGAGAAGCCATCGAATGCCTCAGTATTCCAGTCGAGCTGCGCAAGCAGCGAGTCGTCGATCAAATGGGCAATGTGGCGGTTCGCGTCGGATTCCGAATCGGCGGTGGAATCGATCAGGATCCGACCAAAGCGCCTTACAAATATCCAGATTCGGTAGGAAGTTTTCGATTGTGACACATCAATTTTAATAATATGATTTTTAGGGAATTTACATAACGAATGTCGAAAGTGGATCACCGGCTGATGAGGCGGGATTAAGACGGCATGATAAAATATTGCAGGTAGATCGCTTATTTTTCCATCAAAAATAAATGTTTAGCATTTTTCTAGGTGAATGGCGCCGATTTCACAATGATGACACATGATCGTGCGGTGAAATTCATCAAAAACTCGGATGTGCTGAAAATGCTGATTGCGCGTGCCGATTTTCCGCCAGTCAGCCTTCACTAGAAGCCTCGTGTTCTTTATTCCTCATTCTGCTTCCATCGGGTTGACTTGCATTATTACCAACTCTTTGCCATTATTCTCGTCGAACAATGACAGTTGTGGGGTGCGTGGAGAGCAATTACATACACACACGCGCTCCGCTTTCAGTATTTTTTCTCATAGAAAGTTCAACCAACTACATGCACCCCGCGCTGCGAATTTTTGCCACCATTTCCATTGTATTTGCTCAATTGCCAAGTCCCGCAGGTTTTTTTTTTCCGAAATCAATGATAAATAAATGTATTCGACTGTATCGTGTAGATTATCCGCAAAAAATTGGCGCCCGTTGCGGATTGCTTCAATTTGATTGCGATCCGCTAGCAAGAACGCCGCTCTGCATTCCAGTGTCCGCTGTGAGGGACTGCACACCAGATTGCCCAAACAGCAGCGATGAATGTACTATGAACGCTCGATTTTTCAATTGAAAAAAGTTTATAGGGTGCCCGATGGGCAAGGTCCTTTGCGATTTGAACCTCAAAGCCAATCAATGCGGCATCTGCGTTTTTCCGCATGAAATGACCAGCAGGTGTCTCGATCGAAAATGTAAATTCTCGCGGTCCTAATATGAATTGGAACATTCTTTGTTTCAGGGAAACATTTATGCGATTATCAAGGAACTGTCAAATGCGCGACGACAATGAATTGCGTCTTCTCGAAATGGCTTATGGATGGAAAGGATGATTGCGGTGATGGAAGCGATGAAGGCGAGTTTGGAATTTTAGAAATTATTGTGCGAAAAAACTGAACGGGTTTTCTCTGCGAGACCATGTAATTCAGACACATTGCGGTTCACTCTTAGAAAAAGAATTTCGAATATCGTACGCGAACCGCAACTCTTCTTCCCAATTAAACAGTTCTTCAAAAAATTTGCGCAACACTTCCAGTACTCATTTCAGACGTCTGCAACCGCGGACTCCTTGATTGCGGCCGTTCGCCAGCACCAACGACGCCGATCGCCATCGAAACAACCACCGAAGAAGCTGAAAATGTCACGAAACCGAATAAAACGATTAGCGTTGTTTATAAATGTAAGTGGAATTCAGTGAAACACCGATGAAAATCTTGAATGATTGCAGCCCAATGCGATTTTGACGAATTCCGATGTCTCGATGGTGAATGCACACCGGTGGCGAATGTTCTTGATGGAAAAGAGGATTGTCAAGACGGAAGCGATGAAAGTAAAAACCGATCGCGCAATCTGCGTATAGTTCCTTTTGGAAATTCAATTTCAGACTATTGCGAAATGACCGAGGCGTGCGCTGAAACTGCTCGATGCGCTTTTCAAAGGGACGTGCGCGCATTCGGTTGTGGCTGTCCGCGGAATTTCGAGCGCGACGAATCCGGAATCTGCGAGCCAATTCCACCAAATAAAGAGAAATTGTGATCATTTACACATTTATTTATTTAAGCCTTGAATTTGATTCTGTTGAGACTTGACGACAAGCTGTAATTCTTTAAGAACAATTTGCCTCTTTTCCAATTCATCATTGACATCCTGAAAAATCGGCAAAATCTATTTATTGACTCGATTCTCGTTTCAAACCTCTAATTGTGCTTCGAATTCTGCAATTTGCTCATCGAGAGGCTCCAATAATGAGAGCATTGTGAGTTTTCCGTGCATATTTACATCAATAGTTGGCTAAAAAAAAATATTGACTTTTTTTTTCAAATTTTCGAATTCTCACATCAATTGGCCGATATCCAATCTCAATTCCATATTCCTTATTCAATTCGTCGCATTCTTTCGTCAACAGTTCAAGCTCATTGAGCTTTTCCTCCATCTAAATAAACATAGTAAAAGTTTTTGTAGGAATTTTTGGACAACCTGCGTAATATTAATAAGTTTTTCAAAATCCTCTTTGAGAATTTCCGCTGTAGCGTCATTCATTCGTTTCAAGACCAATTCCAAATCCCTTCGCGGCAATTTGCATTTATTTTTAAGCTAATAAATTTAATGAAATTTCAACTTTCATCTGATTAATTAATAAAATTACCGCTTTTGAAGCACCATCAAGAATCAGAAGATTCCCGAGGGTTGATATGATGTTCTCGAACATCGCTTTCATTTTCTGAACCTTCTCCGCCATCTGAAATGGGCAATTTTTTTCAGAAATATAAAAAAATTCAGAAATATTTAATTGGTTTAAAACCATCAATACGATAAAACATGTTTGAAATGAACAACAAAATTTTTATTTAAAACAAAAAAGAAAAAAAAGTGAAATATTTAAGTTTGTTCGGCGTCCTCGTTTTGAGACCCATGCGCAAAATAAGTTAGATGAATGACGAATTCAATTCTGTAATTGACTTTTCTTAAAATTCAAATCCAAGGACAGTATTTTACCGATTTTCGAACTTCTTGCTGCAACCCGTACATTTAAAAGGATCGACACCATCGTGGAACCCAAGATGGGTCATCCAGAGAATTGCATCTCCAAAAGACTGAAATATAGGTTTTAAAAAATAGATTTTTTTAAAGAAGCGACTTTTATACCATTTCGCAATGAGTGCATCTATAACAGCGATCCTCTTCAGATTGCGGAAAAACGTCGGTAATGAATTTCGAGATTCTCTCGAGTACTTGACTCGGCGTCTCATCATTGCTTTTGGTAACCGTCGATTTGAGCAAATCAACAAATTGAAGCGAGCTCATTTCTTCGTCCTCTTCGACTTCAGCGGCTTTCGGCGCTGGCGATGCCGTTGGTTCTTCCATTTCGCATGCCGCACGCTTCTTCTGTTTCCTCTTCTCATTTTTCAAATTCTTCTGATTAATTTTATGATTGAATTTCTCCTCTTCGGCGAATGCTTTCAAAGTGCCGTGTTGAAGGGCGTGATGATGAAACAATCGTCGAAATTTGGAGAATGTTTCGTCGCAATTCTTGCATGGAAATTGCGCCGAATGCATAAGAATGTGCTGGGTCCCATCGCGAAAACTGGGAATTTTCGCATCGCAATGTTTGACGGGGCACTCGAAATCTCGCGCCAAATTCATCTCGTGGTCGGCGACGTGCGAGAAAAGCTGATCGAGTCGTCGGAACATTGCATCGCAAAATGTGCATTTGAGAGTTTTTTCGTCTGAAATAATTTCGCTATAAACATTTAGTCACTCATAGCTTTTTTCTTTTTTTCAATTCATCAAAATTTTATTAAAAGAAAATGTTTGCGCACGATTGCAATGTTTGTTTTCTTTTTCAGCAACTTACTGTGAATTTTAATATGACAATTTAATGCGTGCTCGGTGTTGAAGCTGCGTTCGCAATTCTCGCAATCATAAACAACTGAGTTTTCTGCGGGAAACACAACGGCCTTCTAAATGTAAGAGCAATTCCAAATGTCGCCAACCAAAAAAATGCCAAACCTCCGCGACGTCCATATCGAAATCCAAATGAGCAGCATTTTCCGATGAGCAAGATGATGTGTAAAATCACGTGAGTTTGCCGAAAAATAAATAAGAACACGCGTGAAATATTGATGGCCGCCGCTTGCGATTTGAATTTTTGTTGTTGCCGCGCGCACGACCACGGCCGCGTCTCATGGAGAACAAAAAAATTTATCGGCATGAAGCGCCCATGCAAATCAATAACGATTGCAGTGAAAATATTTGATGAGTGAATAATTGATAATTTGGAGTTGAAGCGAAACGACGTCACACGGCCACGAAAATATTGCTTTGAAGTGGTAAAAAATGATACGGTAAGATTTGAATTGTTTCGATATCCTAAATTCAATATCCGATTTAATTTTCACTTTTATTTATTCTGATTCATTGAAAATTCGCCAATATTGGTTCTTAATAGAGTGCTCACCACTTTAGAAGACCACCTGTTCAATATACAATAGCGATGCGACCTTGATGATGACTCATATAATAAATAATGTAATAATCGACACCTTATATCTCCGTATTGATGTTTTCACGAACAATTGGCGTTGGAATACCTTCTTGTTTTTTTTTCTCAAAGTGTAATATCTCGCCACAAGAGTTATAACCCTTTCTTATCTTTTCGAACATGATGACTGCGTCCTTTTGGTTGAATGGCAATTTGATAATTAAAATAGTGAATCATTATTCATTTAATATTTTAATGGTGTTATGCAGATTTTGGAGTTAAAACTAAAACAAACCTATCATTTTATAGGGTTCTTAGAGTGCGGCTTTTTGTAAAACCTGCACAGAACCATAAACCAAATTATTCGAAATAAGTTAATCACAATATTTCGCAATGTTTTTCTTCTGGGTTCCATTTTCAAATTTCATCCGATGAAGACATTTTTCGTGTGCAAATAGTGGTGGTTCTAATCACACCTCGTAAAATTCTTCATCACATTTTGCTATTTGCAGATGTTAGGACAAAACGCACCCTATAGCAAGAAGTACCGAGCTCAATTCCGAAGGCTTCTCTCGAATTCCGAGGAAAATGTGATACCTCTATCAGAGATCCCAACAAGAGTTCAAGATGCCAAAATTCCATTAAGTGAGCAGCAGGTAAGAAAATCTGAATATTTTGAATCATAATCGATTTTTTAAAGATATGTGCTCTTATGGAGTCTCCCAGTGAGACAATAGATGTGGATTGCTTTCAAAAAATTGTATGTTTTAATATTTGCGTTGAATTAAAAATAATTTATTGGAATTTTACAGATCACTTCCAAAAAAGCGCAACCATCAATGTACAAACGTGCATTGTACACAATTGCCGATTCTGTCGTCGCCGAATCCCAAAAAGTCGAAGTCCATTCCTACATAGATGCTTATACGTGCTTCCCGCCTCCGATTTTCATAATTTCTGTTAGCATTATTCAGGTAACTCTTTCAAGTCATCATGTATTAAAATTATTCCTTTTATAAGATTGCCATTTTTTTCTACTATCATACAACGCAATATTCGCCAAAATACCCAATTACTAGCGATTGCGCCGGCTGTTATATTAATCACAATAATTCCGCGCCAGGACCTCTTTTATTCACACCAACGTTGAGACATGAAGTCTGGCGCTTCTTATCATATATGTTTTTGCACAATGGGTAGGAAATGCGATGAGTTTTTTGAAAACTTCGCGAATTTTCAGAATTACTCACCTTATTACCAACGTAGTTGTTCAATTGGCTGTCGGAATTTCCCTGGAAGTTGCTCACAAGTTGTGGCGAATCGCTCCATTGTACTTATTCGCCGTCGCCACAGGATGCTTGTTACAATATGCTTTCAATCCTTCGGTGGCGCTGGTTGGAGCATCGGCGGGTGTCTATGCTCTAGTATTTGCGCACGTTTCCAATGTTATATTGGTAAGAATTATTTTCCATGTATATTTGAATTCAATTTTGATTTTAGAATTGGAAAGAAATGCCATTCCGATGGCTTCGTTTCGGTATTCTTTTCGTATTTATTTTCTGGGATATTGTGCCAACCTTATATCGAAAATTCGTTGAGAAAACATGCGATTCGATATCCCACGCGGGTCATTTTGGAGGCGGAGTTACTGGTTTCTTATTTGGCTATTTCATACTTTATAATGTTGTTGTAAGTTTTTGTTCTAATGACTCTATTCATGAAGAGTATTTTTTTTACAAAAAATGTAAAAAATTGCATTTTTTGCACCACTGGAAAAATGTGATTTTTTAAAATTTTTGTTACATGAAACCAAAAAAAAAAACACAATTGTCAGGTTCATAAATGGGAATTGATTTTACAATGGATTAGCGTCGCCGTCTATTCCGCAGTTTTTCTCATCTGTGTATTTCTGGCAATCTACCGCGAGCCCAACTCCGAAGAAATATGGAAGAATCCCAACTGCGAATACCGAACCTAATAATTTGATTATAATATTCTGGTGATCTTATTTTTAATAAATATAATATTTATTATAAAAGTCATTTTTTTCAAGGATTTTTGACTTTGACCAAACTAGACACACACAAAAACCCCTTCATTGTTTCAACAATGTCTATTTTTAGTGTCCTGAGCGCTAAACATCAATTTTATGCTGAATTCCTTTATAATTCCACCAGGATGTTGGCGAAACAATTGAATAATTGTGTATTGACATCCTTACATATTAGAGAGACGAAAACCGCAAAGTGAATCACAACCGAATTGAATGAATCCATAATCAAGGTCTTTCAAGGAAATTCTTGATGAGATGATAAATGCTGCCACTTGAACGATAGGCCATTTGAAGGGGCGTATCGCCGTTGTTGCTAGGAACCGATGCGTCAATTCCAGGCGCTTGAAGGAGGTAACGAACCGTGTGGAACACGTTGTCAGGGTCCTCGTTTTGACTCTGAACGGCTAGATGGAGAGCCTGAAGCATTGAGGAAATTTTACACAAAAATCAATGCGAGGCTTACCGTCAAATTTCCATGGGACAACGCGTTGACATCGACACCGTGGCTTATAAGCTTCCCGACGACCTCGTAGTTTCCCCAATTGCTCGCTGAATGCAGCGCCGTCCATCCATCGCGAGTTCTCGCTTCGGTATCAACACCGGACTTGAGAAGGAGCTCGACGACGTCGACGTGATTGTTATAAGCAGCGCGATGAAGTGCCGTGTAGCCGTCGGCATCATGGGCCTAAAAATTGTGGTTCTATCATTTTTTTTATTCAAACTTTAGAATTTACGTTCAAGATTTCCGGTGAATTCTCGAGAATTTCTTTGACATCTTCAAGCTTTCCCTCTTCGGCCGCCGTCAGCCAACTAAAAATGTTAAACGACTGATATTAAGAAGGTATGTAATAATCGCTGACATTTCTTTGGGATCCTTCATGTTCTTCTCGGCGATCCCCTCATTGTCATCCTGCCAAGCCGACACGAACATTCCTAAAATGGAAATAATTGAGCGTTCGATGGAAACAAAATACCAGGATTCTGCTCTTTTTGGTCGCGAATCTCATCGATAAGCTCTTTCTGAAAACACAATTTCAAAATTGAAAATATCCAAATCTCACAGTAAATCCAAGCTCATGTCCGGCGTCGGCAATCGCCTGCGACTCGAAATCATTCAAATCATTCTCCATTCTGAATGCGATCAATTCTCAAAACACAATCGAAAATTCAGTTTCAAATCAAAGAAATATGGTCCAAACCATTGGAATCATTTTTTTTGAAATTCCAAAAATTAAAGCATTTTATTCAAATTAATACTATTGCAAGAACTTCTCAAAAGAATTATCTCGGCTCAATTGTTGAATTTCCTCGAGTCCGCCAACGTAGTCGCCATTGACGAACATTTGGGGAACAGCTTTTCTGCCGTATTTGGCCTCAAGAATTTGCTGGATTTCATCAGCGGGAAGATTCTCCTCGGGATCGTCGAGATCGACAAACTCATAGACGCTGCGGTCAAATTTATAGGTTGCAATTAGTTGTTTCACCTTTCTGCAATTTTGTAATTTTTTTTTTAAATTCAATTCATTTAGCTACCGGGAAAATGGACAAAATGATTTTGTGAACACCACAATTGGCTTGGATGCAATAAAATTGTCAAGGATTTGCTGTGGTGAGCGTTTTTCATTATCTTGTGGAAGCTTTTCCTTCAGTTTCTTGTCAAGATATCCAACTCTATTATCTTGGTCGCCATACTCCTTGAGCAACTACAAAAATGCTAGTTATTGGGAATTTAAATATTTCCAAATTTACTTTTTCCAGCCTCTCCTTTTCAAGAAGCTCTCTTTTGATTTTCTCCTTTGCTTCGATTTCGTTGTATTGATTTTGTTGAGCTTCGCGCACGAGCCGAATTCTTTCAGCCTCTTTTTCAGCAACAGCTTCATCTTAATAATTTTTTTTTATTTTGCACATAAAGAAAACAAACGTACTAAATCTCTGCTGCTCTTCGCGTTTTCGTTCCTCATTCTGTTCGGCTACAACGTCTCTAATGAATTTGTTCCAAACGTAGCAGACGGCAATGGTGAAAAACGTAATCGGCCAGCCATAGCGCTCGAGAAACGACTCGATACTGGCTATATCTAAAAATTTTTTCAATATCCATGTTACTATAATTTTTTGTTACCAAGCATGAAGCAACGTTAGTATTTTTTCTGAAAATTAGAAGGAATGTTAGGAATTTTCGGGAAAATGAGCAAAAATATGCAAAATTGATTTACTGAGAACGAAGCTCCGCTTACATGTGCCCTCGATTTATCGTATTCACAACACTTGAAAGATGACGAGTTTTTATTTTTTTTATTCCATTTGTTCCCATTTTTTCGCATTTTCTCACACTTTACGAGTTCAATATTTGAATATTCGTTTAAAAATTCATTATTTCAGGAATCATTAGCATAAAAGCCAATAATTCCGATGGTTCGTTTCTCTTTTCCCATAAAACATTTATTTTTGTATGTTTAGGATCAAACAACGTTAAAAAGGCTTGAAGAGTTCCAAACCGAACGGCGATATTACGATGCTTTGCAGTATTGCCGAACGAAAGTGACAAGAAGTTTCCGTTTGGCGAATGGCGTTGAAAAAGCGATTCCGCTAACATTTTACGCCGTCGATTATTTTCTAACCGAGAAGGAGTACGAATGCGCAATTGATATCGCGAATTTGCTAATTGAAAGTATTTCCAAGAACAATGTGCCAATGTCAGATAGTATCTTTAGCGCTGTTGCAAAGGTAATTTCTATTTTCGAATTTAACATTAAGATTTTATTTTCAGATTGCCCAAAAATTCGCCGAAATTCAGGAAAATGAACAAAACGAAAAGATTCTGCAAGCTGCTCGTCGACGATTTGTCGACAGCGCGTTCGCGTGGACAAAAGCGCAGGCCACAGAAAGTCAAGATGCCAAATTCGGCTCATCCCGCCTTCACTATTTCCTTGCCAACCGATATCTCGAATCGAATCAACTCGAATTGGCACGAAATCATTTTTTGCTCGCTGATCGACCGGTCGAGTTTGCAAAATTTTTGTTGGCGATTTGGAAAGAGCACGGACTCGAATCGGAATTCGATTTGATCATCGTGCAAGCTGTTCTCCAGCTTTTGTGCATTGATCGGTACACAGTGGCTCAGGAATTGTTCGAGGAATACATTAAAGCTTCGGGAAGCGGAGATTATCCGTACAAATTGCCGCTTCTCAATTTTTTGAACATTTTACTCGACGTAATATCAACAGTAAACGTAAGTGTATTATTTTATAACCTACAAAAAAGAGAAAATTTCAGACTAGTCAATTTTCTGTAATTGTTGAATGTTATATGAACGAAATTTCAAGAGATCCAACGTTCCGAGGATATTTGAACAAAGTAAAATTTTTTATGCGAAAAAAAACCTTTAAAATATTAACATTTTAGATTGGCAAAATGTATTTCAACATTCGTGAACAGAATTGCGCCGGCGGTGGTGGATTGGCTGGATTGCTTCAAGGACTTCTTGGTGGAGAAACGAAAAATGAATCAGCTACGTCGCATCTGAAAGCAGTTAAATCGAAAACCACTCCAGCGCCGACTCAATTCAAGCAGCCTGAGCCAGTTCAAGCTTCTAGACCGACAACGGCAAGCAGCACGAGAAGCGCAATGGATGTGGATGATCTTGATTAATATAACTTTATAAGAGGAAAAACATGCCTCAAATACTGCTTATCCCCTCCCTCCCCCCTTTAAGTTATTATCCCGATTGACTTTTACCGGGTTGTATTATCTACAAAATTATCATAAATATCTTCATATTGCCAAAAGAGGTTGTTTCCGGCTGTTTTTTGAAATTTAAAAAATACGTTCAATTTCTTTTGCTAATAGAAAATGTAAATAAAATTAGTCATTCGAATACCCGAGCAACTAGGGAATATTTTGGCCGAACAATTTAAAATATGACCTTTATGTAATTCAAAAGATAACGCAGGAAAAACTATTTTCCAATTTCACTTTATTTTTTGCATTGATAAGTTGATGATTGGAATACGTTTCCATTATTTTTTGAAATAATTGTTTATTATTTTTTTCGAAAAAAGGCCATCTATGGCGTTTTGAGGAGTGTTGCCAGTTCTTGCTCTTTTTCGAATATCTCCGCGTTCTCCTTGAGTTTTTCCTTGGGAATTCCGGCCTCTGCAAAAAAAAAAGTATAATCAATGTATCGAATACACGCCATATTGGCATACTGAGCAGCTTCTCCGTGGTGTCCGATATCGATTCCTGGATGATGGCGATTTTCTGCAATTTCCGAGTGTTCTCAAGTGATGCCAAATTGGCGAACCTTTTCTTTTTCTTCCTGTTTCGCGCGTTCCTTGGCTTTTTCAATTTCTTCTTCGGCCGGTAGAAGACCAACTTCGTCGAGATCGTCCTCTTCCCATTCGGAGATCAGCTCACAATCGAAGATGAACTGAAAATTAGGGAACTTCCAGGTATTGGCGAGCTTCCGTCACCTTCATACAACGATACCAGTCAAATCGGGTGCTGAACGGATCACATATCACATTGGCAAGGTTGAAGAGGTGAAGGCACCTGTAAATCCATTTCAGTGTACTCCCACGTTGTAATCACCCTCCAGTTTTTGTCTAGCCAATATTTAATCTCATTTTCTTTACCCGAAAAAAACTGAAATGAAAAACAGCCGAATCACACGGAAAAACAAACTTGCATCACATTTTGGCTTATTTATTTTGCTTTGTGTTCAATTTTTAAGATTCCCATTTTTTGTTACCTGTAGTGCACCTTTAAAGTGTCCTGCATCAATTCGACAAGATCCGAACCTTTGGCGCGACGGCTTTTCTCATCGCAAACGAGCTCGTATTTTTGGCACCAGCGGGCGGTCTCGAAACCGTATCGCAACCATAAACGATCATACGGATCGCAATAGCACGAGATGTCGTGCGTCGTCGATTTGCAAGGATTTTTGCGCATTCGCGTGCAGAAACGATCATAATGATCGAACTCCTTTTCGCACCACGAGTCTTCGGGAAAGTTTGCCTTTGAGCATTGATGCTGCAAAAGAACAAGTGCCGTCGAGAAACCGTATCATCCATGACGGAGCACATTTAGCCCCCGCGCAATTCAAAATTTGGCAAATTCGTCCGTCGTTGACAATACCTTATATCCGAGACAGAATGGGACCAATTGAATTGGTGGCGAATCGTTGGCGCATGCCAATGCGAAAGCATCAACTTCGCCAAAACACAGGCGATCGCGCATCAGCTCGTTTCTGCAAAACTCAAAAAAAAAGTAAATCACATAATTGAAAATGTTAATTATTTCGCGGGTCCGAATTACAAGCAACTCCCAAAGGACGACGATCGACTCACCTCGGCTCGCAAAACCAATTTAGTCGTTTCGGGAATCGATTCGGAATGACAAGAATATCCTTCTCAAGACTCTTCTCTTCGCTTTCATCGTCCTCTTCGAGCTCCGGAAACTTGAACAGACCTCAATAGCGAAAAAGAAATTGATTCAATTTGTATTCAGCTCAACTCACTTTTCTCTTTCGAATCATCGCCTCTTACGGTTGATAATATGAATAGTAGTAGAATGAGAAATTGCGCGAATTTGGGCATTCGCGAAACATTCGATTCGATTCGTTTCCACTTTGTGTTTTTCCCACCTCAAATGATAAGGAACTTGAATTTCGCCTCGTTTTTGAAACTTGCTGACGACATGTGATGCATATTGAAACCCATCGAAATTAATTGCAATTTATATAAAAACGATTGATCGTCAAATGTTGCGCAATGTCCGCAATGAAAAAAAATTTTGAAAAATTGCGTCCCACATTTCAAACTTTCCAATAGTAGCGGGAAATCGTTATAAGACCAAAATTAGATGGTTTTAGAAATTATTTTGCAGACAAATTCAAATTTGCTGCATTTGCACTCAATTATAGTGCAATTTTCGAAATTTTATTTGGTCATAGTATATCCGGAGCGTTGAAAGATATGAAAAAAAAATCGTGTTCCGAGAATTGTCGTGAAATAATGCGCAAAACGGTTGTCGTCAAATAAAGTGCCTACTGTTCACTATTCCAATTAGAACCCACCGCTTCCTCACACATCTTTTTTTGGAGGGGGCGGCATTGAAAAAAGACAAAACTCGAATTGAATTTCGAGTCGACGTCACCTGCCGAGAGCGTTCAAATGCCCTCCCACATGTCGAAATGAGGGCGAAGCTCCGCCCCGCAAATTTAAAAAAAACCAAATTTTCACAAATGTCTATGCATGTGCGTGTGCGTGTGCCTTTTTCAATTAACTATGCATCACTCGACATCGCCGTTTGAAGTATTTGAAGACGGCAGTCTCGGCGCAGCCAGTCATGTTTCACCTCAATTCCGATTGGAAATTTGACGATGGTCCGAGTTCATATGACACCGTGCATGACATGAAATTTGACATGTGTTGTCGTTTCTTTTTCCGGAAAAAAACGTCATCTCCTAAAAATAAATATTAAAAATTTCTGGAATTTTCTGGAAAAATTCAATTTTCACAAAATTAATTATAAAAATTGTAATTAACAATAAAAGTAATTAGTAACTTCGAAATTATCATTATAATTGATATATATATATATATATTATAAATTATTCAAATGCTGATCGCATAAAATTGAAGCAGTCAATTTGAATTTTGAATAATTGCGCGCGCTCGTATGATGAATTTCAATTGGCACGTTCCAGTCGGGACCCGAGCAAGTTGCCAGAGCAAATAAATTGTGAGCCCCCCGAATATTTGGCATGTAGTCTGTGCATTATTAATTGAGGTCATTCTTCCACCTTCGCCTATTATTTAGCCAATTCCTCCCAACTATTGTTTTCAGAATATTCCATATTTGGTATGATGAAGTTAATCAAAAATTTCACCACCCCCGTGCGATTTTTGTATATTTAACCATGTGAAATTGCGGGGGATTAGCGCATAGCTAATTTTTTCGCAAAAATAACACGTAAGATTGTCGGATTTTTAAAGGTGGCTCGCACTTTGCTATAAGTAACCATTTTGAGCAGCAAAAAAAAATAATCATTTTCCCGAAAATTCCCCCCCCCCTCACAACCCATATAACCATTATTCCACGTCATATGACTTGATTTATTGCATTGGGCCTCCCATAAAATAACAATTATAATTAATTCCCAAAAGAATTCAAATTCAACACAAGAATTATGTGCATTTTGGATCAGCTGCATTCCTCATAAAACCCGTCTCTTTTTCGAAATTGGCTTTCATTATTTGTTCATTCCTCCAATGAATAGTTGTTGTCAGAAACGAGAAGCTCAAAAAATCGGCGTGTTTTCAAAAATTGGTGTTCCAGAAAAACGAAGATGTGGCGAACCCTTTCCGCGATTCTCATCATCGCTCTTTTCAGTCTTCCATCGCCAACCCAACAGTATACAATATGCAATGTGTACGGTGAAAATTGCCTATGTGAGTTCATTCGCAAATTCTAGTCGGTCACATTATTGCCTGCAATTTGTGTGCAATTCTCAAGGGAGCCTATAATACATACATAGTAATCATGCTAACTATGAAGTTTTGCACAAAAAAACCTAGCAAATTCGGTTGAAACGGCTTTCAAATGCCTAGTGGTAAAATGGAACGATCATGAAAAATTCCGGAAATTTTATAATTTCGTGGAAATCCCGGCGCGCCACAACGCCGGTGTGGCCTAGAAAGAATGTCATAAAATTTAGGATCGGCCACGGCCACACTTGAATTAAATAGAACTAAACAAATATTGTCGGTGTCGGGACCATCAAATTCGCGAAATCATTGTAGATTTAAATAAATCGTTGACTGAATATTTAATGCGCGTACGCTATAATGCAATGTACGCAATAATTTTTTTTAATTTCGTCAAGTCGTTTGACGCCGACAATACGTATATGTTTTTTTTGTGTTCACGATTTCAAAAAACAAAATATCAAAATAAATGTCCCATCTTCGTGGAAATAAAAGAAAATCGTGACGAATATTATTTTTAAAAAATTGTAATTTTTAGCTTTTCAAAAGTGTCAAAAAAGAGCCGCTAACACACTGAGGTCGTGGATTTTTGCGTCGCGGTGTTTGCACACAATTTCGCGCGCTACAATTTTTGCGCGTCTCCTCCCCCCCAAAAAAACTTCCAACAAAATGTTTCGGACAACTTTCCGATTTTCAGCGATGCGCAACGTTCTACGCGATCCGCTGCGTCTGTCCAACTGGAAACCGTCATCGATGAATCGAGCCATCAATCAGTTACAAGCCTACCAACAACTATTCCAAGGTTCGCCTCGAACAATTCCGTAGGGTTTGCTCAATTTGTTTTCCATTCTGCAGAAACGAAACGCGGCGAGCCGGAATGGCGCCGACGGCGGTGATAATCGATGCCAATTGTTGTTACTGTCTTGTTCTGTCTCATTTTCAAGAATTCCCTGGGTCCCCGCTCGCGTCAACAATTAATTGTCGCAGTTATACGCTTCTTGTTTCGAAATAAATCCGTTTCAATGTTTGTTCGTCGTCCTTTAAATGTTACCTTTCATTTTCAAATTCAAAATTAAAGGCGCACATGGAAGGCGCGCTGGTCGACTTCAAGCGAATCCGAGCGCGATTCGTTCAGCGCAAAACAATGAAATACGAGTTTGAGATTTTTGTGAAGTTCGAGAAAGCCACTCGACACATTTGGGCGTTGTACCAACAAGCCATCGTCGGGGATATTAATGTGCCAAGTTAGTTGTTCTAAAAAATCATTTTGTCGTCAAATATGGCGCATTTCCCGCAATGTCGCTTTGTAGAACTCGATTATATGGAAATCGATGAAGGCGAAAAATCATGGATGTGGCGGTGGATCAACGGAAATGATAAATGGCACGCATGGAATCAACTTCGAGGTATCCAAATCCCCCAAGCCCATCCATACATGCAATTTCAGGATTGACCAAACAAGAAGCACAAGAGGAATTCGTCAAGCAAGTCGAGAAATTGAAAATTGATCTACCAGGAATGATTGAAAGATGGCGGTAAGTTGAACGATTGCCTTCTAAGGATCGAATCCTTCTCGTCTAGATCGGAACAATCCAATGATCCAAAGCCGAATGACGAAACCAACATTGGAACAATTTATTGATTAATTGAGATCCAACTAAACATACAAATAAACAATGTATATACAAAAATCAACCCTGATTACGACCCGCTTCGATGGCTACCCGAACGATCCGATCCATTGGATCAAGCCACTAGGGTTTCGGCAGTCAATTGAGCAATTATGTGCTCATTGAGCAGAAAATTCGTCTCGAGAAGCATCGCGCGTCGAGCCAGTGTCAACTGAAAATTTGATTGAATCTGATCCGATCCGATTCGCTCCGAATCGATACCTTCGGTTTCACTAGCTTGAACAGCGGATGGATTGGGATGGGAACGCCTTGCCTCAGAATATCATTGACCATTCGTTGCAGGATTTCCCTCGACAAGAATCCGGCGTCGTCGAGCTCCTCTTGCAGCAAAATTCGAGGGGTCCGCGAGGTCTGCAAAAATGGCGTCATCGAGTCGGACCATCGAAAATGCGCCTACGAATTGGATCTCCTCGATTGTCACTTTGCCCTTTACCACTTTCGACGTGAGCTTCATCTTCATGAATGCTTCGATGCGAATCTCCATCTCTCCAATAGGCTCATCGCGATCAGAAATCACGCGAATCAATCCGATCAGATTGAAATGGATTCCGCCGTTCTCTTCGGGCTGCACAATCACAGCCGGCGCTTTCAGTGTGCTGAACAGAAAGGCGATGTTGCGTCCGGGAAGCTGTAAACCGGATTCTTGATTTGTCTCGAGATTTGTCTCGATGCGCCATACCATGTCCCTGAGCGCCGGGAACAGATCGCCAATGCAGAACAGCGAGCCTGTCGACAGATCGCAAGTGGTCCGCATCACCGGCCCGAATTGCGGTGTGTTCCAATCGATGCGCGTGTCGAACAATCGAATCCGATGACCATGGTACATCAGCGAGTTTGGCACAAAATCGGACACCATGATTTGGAGCATCGTCGGCGAGACGCTCGCCAGCAACGAAATCGGTCCGGCGCCGAACGGCGTCGTGTGTCCGGTGCGGAACACCTCGCCGGACGTGATGAGCTCGATGCCGCGCGCGGTGAGCGATGGGGCGGCGAGCATCGCATAATCGAGCATCAGGTTGTCGGCGCGACTCTGAAATCAATCCACCATCATCGTTTGCCGATTCGTATTCTTCGACAAAAGCCTACAAAATTGAACGAGCTCAGCAGAATGTGCATCTGTTGCCGCTTATTGCGAATTCGCATCGGCGCGCGTGGCCGACTTCGCACCATTGCGATTGGCGTCGGGCGGCCCGTCGACGGCCGCCGCCTCAGCGCGCTCTGTTGGCGCTTCATTCGCTCTTCGGCTTGAATGATGATTTTGACGATGTCGAACTTCCTCGAGTCCTCAAGCGAGATTTTCGACGGCAGCAACGCGAATCGCTGATTGACGCGCTTCATGAGAATGCTGTCGATTTTGGCGCACAGCATTCCGCTGAATATCGTGCTCGCGTCGGCGGCGATGGCGTCCTGCAAAAAAAAATGTAGCTTGCCATATATGTGCTTCGATGGTACCGCCAACATTTTCCCGTTCCTCGGATCCATTGGCTTCGTCACCAGCTTAATCCCTTGAGTGCGGACTTTGCAACCATCCAGCTGAAATGTGCCTTTATTAGAACGCCGACATTTTGATCTATTGTGTGCCTTTAAGAATGGGTTGCCGTGCGAGTTGCGATTCACCGCGATGGCAGCCTCCAATTGCAAATATTGCGTCTTCACGGCGATCGCATCGCGTAGGCGAATTGTCCGCAGCACGCCGACAATATGAGACGACGCGCTTATCGAGACGTTGGTGACTTTCACTCGAAGAACGCCGTCCATTGTCGACGTCGAGACGTGGCGACGATCGAGTTGAAGCGTTTCTAGCGCGAGTCGTTCCAAACTCACCGCCGGGATTTGGGTGAGCTGTAAAACGAATGGGTGGATGGTGTTCAAATTTTCGCCGCTCACTCACTTTCTGATCGCGGCCAACATTCAGCGGCGTCACGTCGGCGAAATGAGCGGCGAACGCTTGAGCCACAACACCGGCGACGTAATTGGTGCCGACAGGGGTCACACGTGAAATCACGCCAGCGCCGCGCTGCAAACAACAAAATTTTGTAAATTCATACGGTAGATAAAAAAAAAGGTACCTGCGCGCGATCATTGAGCAACAGCGGATTCATTTCGGCGACGAGTGGATCCAAAGGCGGCGGCTGCGGTTGGCAGAATGCCAGACTCATTATCTAAACGATGATTTCTGATCAACTCGGAAAGCGCGCTCCATTGCACAAATGCCCTTGGTTGGTTGAACAAGAACATTGCTATCTAATTGTTGATCTACTTTACAAAACAGCAGGTTTGTGAAGATACTGATCTTGAAGTGAATGTGTTGTAGGCGACGAGTGAATTTGAATTTCGCGGGCCTCCGATTAATTGGTCCCTATGCTCTTTCACGTTTTGATAGTTATATCAAGCAAAACTCGCGTGTTAAGTGTTTTTTTAAAGCGAGATTAAAGGCGGCAATTCAAATTTTAAATATTAGAGCGCTCGGTTTAAGGCCTCTATTCGAGTGGCCGAATTATTGAGCGGCCGCCAATTATTCGGTCATTTCTCATTATTTCGAAACGTTTAATAATTGATTATCTTAATTTTTATAATTTTTTTTTGAATATTTCACCGCTTTTAACAAGGGTTTTTACGAACCCCCACGGTTTTAAAAAAATTCAAAAAAATAGTGGCCACGAAAAAAAAGATTTTTAATTCTATCAAATAGGCGTTTTTGCCGTAAGCATGGAAGCCCTAGCTCACATTTTTTTAAATTTTCTAAAGAATCTGTATACAAAAAATAAAAAAAATTTTAAGACGGACAGCAAATAGACCTCGCTTGTCAGTTTAAAAAAAGGCACTTACCATGCATAAAATGAGCATGATTCGACGCGATGATCCTGAAACAATATGAATGGCTGTGGCGGCGAAAAAACGGCGAATGAGAGCGGGTACGACGATGAGGAGGAGGAGGAGAAAATAACGCAAACTGGCAAACACACAATGAAGTCAAAAAAAGAAAGTTTTTTATGCAAATTTTCACATTCTTTCTCGCCGTATTATATAAATACTGCGATCGAATGTGTTGCCAAGGACGAGACAAAAGCATACACCGCTTAAAGGCGCTGGTTGACGAGACCTTGAAATTGTGTTTCAATTTTATATTCAAATTAAAGGCGCATGACCCCATGACGGCAACATTATGGCAAACATTGTCAAAAGAAATGGTTGATTTTTGGATTAATGTATTCAAAAGACGATTTTTGGTTCCAGAACGAAAATGATGAAAACGAGACTCGCACAAGGAAGCGTTACTGTTTCCAGGTTCTCATTTTTATATACCAGCGCGCGCGCTTCTCCTCCCACTGATTCGACAAGTGACCACCTCATCTCATCTCGTCGCCTCGCCTCTCTGCGCCTTCATTGTTCGGGGGCACCCATGTTACAATATATATGGACAAAACAATGAAGAAATTACAGCCGATTCGCTTCGAAATGGACAACACGCTTCTGATCGACACCAAACAACATTTGCGCTTCGAACAAACGACACGAAATTTATTGGCGATGAACTGTTTCACATTAGTGATTGATTGATTAATATGGAGTTGCGGTCAATGAGAAATTGAGGATCGCTTCGATGAGCCACGCTTCGCAGACGAGCGTGAACTTGCTCGAATCTCGGTATTTGTTGGGAACCTGCAAACAAAAATGCTTTTTTGGGGATTAAGCTTGAAAAAATTCAACATTTCATAGTAAAATTGTTTGGGGTCTTGCAAAACTCGATGGGTATATTTAAAGGCGCATAGACTCTATTAAACTAAAACTCGGCGCCACAACATTGGTACGGTAGTTTCCTTTAGTTGGTTGAGAACAATTACAGTAACGAGAAATTTTTGTGATGTTTGTAAACTATGCATTTCGAATTCGAGACCTATAGGCGCCATTAAAAAACCTCACACCGAATTAAAGCCTTCAATGATTCTTTTAGAATCTCTATTTATTTTTCACATCGCGAGCCGGCCATATTTTCGAACGATTCACTATTTTTTTGTTCTTTGTCAAAATCATGAGGTTCTCAAAAAAAAAACACACACACAAAAACTTTAGTTCCGCCGCCATTGTTCTTCTTACGCCAATTTTCAATTGTCATGTTGCGTCTTTGTTAACAATGTTCACGACAAGCTCATAAACGGTTTTTTGGGCCGCTTTTCTGACCTTCACCAAATAAATGGTCATTCGTTATGTTTTTGTGTTCTCACAAAACTTGATCGTGTCAAGTGTAATCATGATCAAGAACGAATTGCCTCTCCCCCTTCGAACTCCTCAAAAATCCCTACATCATGGTTTAAGCTGTATACAATGAAATTCGGCGCCAAATTCGGGTTATGATAGGGCGGCGGGTCGTGCTCCGATAAAACCGGCTCTCTTGGAAAGGCCAGACCTCCTCCAGCTCTCACTATCTCAATTAGAGCTGGTCGATCTGCAAATCACATTGGATTTTTAGTACACAATTAAAAAGCGATTACCTAGGAATTGATATTTGGTCCTTAAAAAATGGAATTTGCAGCCGACAAACAGCTTGGGACTCTGCAAAAAAAAAATCACAATCTCTCACAATAATTGTCCAAAAAAACTGACCATTCTGTCATCGGTCTTCTTCCATTTCTCTTTGGACCCTTCAATAACTGGCCCATCCATCACCCGCACCTTCTTGATTATGTAATCCTTGTCATTTTCCACTTTCCGCTCGTCCGATATACAATCTTTGAGCCATTTCGTGCTCACCAAAAGGCTCGGACTGAAATTGTCGCAAATTGAAAATCGAAATTCACAAATTTTCTACCGTATAATCGCTGTCAATATCTGCGCGAGATTTTCTTTCGAAATTGTTAGAATGTGCGATTTCGGCTCAACGTCGATGACGACATGAGTGACACCAGAAATTTCCGAATTTACGAGCTAAATGTCAAATGTCAAAAAAAAAACATCACAATTGACACAATAACGCAGACTCACATTCAGTTTTCCCGGTAATCGTGTCTTTTCCCTTTCCGTTAGTGATTTTTCATCAATTAGCTGCACAAAATAAATTCTCGGCCTCCTCGGATTCACGACGGGCTGAAGCACATGCTTATTCCTATGCTTGTGGAAAATCCTCTTCATCTCCACATCGTTCTCATCAATGAGATTCTCAGCCGTCTTCTTCCAGCTATTCCTGATTTTCATACTAGCCCCTTTCGAAAGTAGAAACTCGGCAATCTTGTGATTCTTCTGACGAACAGCTTCGTGTAGAGTGGTCTCGCAGCTCGGCAGACCTTCAAAAGGGTCAAAGTCAGTCAACAAATTTGCCTAACTTACAGCTAGCATTGATAAGAGCACCATTATTGACAAGAAGCTCCACCGCTTTTAGGTTGTTGTGCTCGACGGCGACATAGAGAGGCGTTTTGTCCCCCTCCTTCTCATTTAGGCAGGTTCCAGCCTGAATACAAGTTTTTCTCGCTGCAAGACCCCAGTAAATCTACATCAATCGCACTTTGGAGTTGCGGAATTCGATTATTCATAATTGAATTGATAATCACAACTTCTCCGCGTCTTGTTCCAAACGAGCTTCTCCTCTGAATTAAAATCATCGAAATTTTCGATTAAAGGCGCATACCGGTGATTTAGTGTTAGATTTAATCTCCAAACTCGCCGGACTCGCCGACCGGCTTATACTCTGCCTTTCTCTCTGAAGAGAAGCTCGCGTTCTCGACTTTGTCTCGCGTTTAACATCGTCGGCCTTCGTCGACATCGTTTTCCGCGGCTGTGCGACATTTCTGACAAATGGGTCATCTGGAGAAGGCTCCTAATCAATATTCAAATTGATCAAAAATAAAAATGAACAAAACAGAATCACTTTCTTGACTTTCACACTTCGTATTGGGTCTGCGAACATGGCCACCATGCCGGATGATGCCGCCGGTGCGGTGGATCGTCTCTGCAATACAAAATATGGTCCTTTAAAAAATTAGCAAAAAATTACATTTACAAATGGCGATAATGAATTATTATCATGGGTTCTTTCTGGTAGCTGAGAACCGAAAAGAAGCATTTGCTCCGGAAAATTAATTGAATTTTTCGATTTTTTCGAAGGCCGTCGAGGGGAATCGTCTTCAAACTTTGATAATGGACGCTTCAAGCCAGTGCTGCTTGGCTCCTGTTTTCTTAAAATGCAGAATTTTCGAATGAATTGTTTCGTTTTAGAATTACATCTCAATTTCTTCCTTTTTGATTTCGTTCGACTTCACGAAATTCCCAAAATAATCGAGTTCCGGCGAAGGGGATTTGTCGCTAAAATTTCGTTTCACTAGCCGCAATTTTTAAAAAATCTCAAGGTTTACTCGTTATCATTCTCGTCGTCGTCTTCATTGAATGGTGGCTGTGTTAAAAGGAAGTCCTCAACGGTTCTCACGTTTTCTTTCAAATTGAAATCCGCAAATATCATTTGAGTCGAACAGAAGTCCTCCTTTGAAAGAGTTGCCTCTTCGAACTTAATTTAAATTAAATATATTTCTATCCAAGAATCTACCTCATTTAGATGAATTGCAAGCTCTTCTAACATATCAAAGCAATTATTAAGAATTGTGGCCCCACTGATTTTCGACATATTAAGTTGCATTGCGCATCTTGGACATGCGGCTGAGTAGCCTCGCTTTTTCTTTGTGAGATCGGTGAATGATGAAATGCAGTCCCTAAAATTAATATTAGTTAATATCAAAATTTTAGATTACCAGCAAAATGCATGTTTACATGATGTTCCCAAGAATTGCAAGTCTTTGACACTTTTTTCACTGAAATATTTTTTTCGCTTTTAACTTGTGTGTTTTTGAATTTACCAAGCGGCACAGGCTATAACATTTTTGAAATCGACCAATGCTTTTTTTGTATTGACGAAGCTTGTGGCCATGCCTGAAAATTCGCATTTTAACTGCAAAAACTGATAATTTTCAAAAATAAAAAAATTTTGAATTGCCGGCTTTGTGGTGTATGCGGACAAAACAATGAACATGACGCGCATTACATTCATTTTATTTTTTTACACAAATTTTTCATGATTCCATCAGTATAATTAGCAATCTCGATTATTTTTATTTTTTTTTTAAACTTTTAATAAGTTTTTCAAATACCTTTTTAATTGATAAATTTATTTTCTTAATAATAAAACCATTTTTATCAATAATTTTGGGAAAATGTATATTTTTTCAGAATCTTCAAAATGCGACCGTCTAGCGAGTTATTAGAAAATTTTTCCAAATTATCAGAGCTTGATGCAAATGCCAGGAGAACTGGGATAAAAGCAATTATCGCATTGCAATCGGTAGGCATGAAATTTAGAATATTCAGAAATTTAAATTTTCAGCAACTTCTCGAGGACGAAATTAATAGTTACTGTTTGGATAGGCTTATTGGAGGATTAGCGTCGCCAAGAGCGGCTTCTCGTATTGGTATTTAAGACAAAACTGATTGAAAATAAATATTAAAATTTTTAAGGGTTTTCCACAGCTCTCATGTGCCTCATCACCACAGACGTCGGCAAAACGTGGAATTTCGACAAACTGCAGAAAGTGGCTGACAAGAAGCTCGACTTAAACGATAAATCGTTGGCTAGCGCTCATGCAATTGGCCATTTATTCGTTCTAGTGGCCGTTGCGCAAACTAAAAAATATTCGGAAGCGGTAATTCAAAAATATTCCAAAAATCTATTGATTTCACTTTCAGGACATTCCGAAATTTTTCGAGAAAATCAAAAATGTCAAAGAAGTCTGCCCATCTTTAACATTTTCTCTATACAAATTGCTGGCGGATTTCGTTCTCGGTCTCACCGAAGCACAATATCAAAAGTACGCGATTCCAGCGTTAGAATATCACTTGGAGCCTCTGAAAATGGTGTATGCGCCCGAAACGGTGGCGTTGGCGCTCCTTCTACGCGGAAAAAGTCCGAAAATGATTGGAAAATTCGCGAAATTCGTCAAATCCGATGGAAAATGCGAGTTTTCGCAAGATCAACTCGAGAAATTGTTGTTTGCCATCAAGAGATGCGACGCCGTTTCCACACAAACGTTCATCAATCTTTTGTTGTCGGCTTGCAAAAATTCGGCGCAATTTGAGAAGCTCTACACAGGTTAGAAATATTTTTTGAAAATGTGAAAAATCTCGATTTTCAGTGGTTTTTGAACCTTGGGCACTGGCCAGTAACGAAACGAAGGTGCTCGATCGGGTCTCGTCAGTCGTCAAGCAGTATTTCGATAATGGCGGAGATTTGAACATGGTAGGTTTGCTCAAATGCCATCCTCGTTTCAGGCAAAATTTCAGATTCCTGTGATATTCTCCAAAGAAATAATAAACCGAATGGAGATGGCGACGCGCGGCAAAGGGCAAATGCGATTTTTGCGAAATGCGGTACCATATTTTATTTATTATTAATATATACAAACAAACAAGCAATGTTGTCTTTTTTCTGGGGGGAAAAATGGTGAATGATGAAATTAGTCGAATTGGGTTAACGAGCGACGAAGAAGGTCTTGACACTCTTTCGGGACTGGAAATGTTTTGAATGAAATTCGTGAATTTCCGCTGAAACTCTTACATTCTTTGCATTTCTGCGTCAATTCCTCATTCTCGACGCAGTATTCCTTGGTGACGTCGCACTCAATTGTGCAAAGATCGAGAACCGGCAACCAAACGGCGTCGGCGAATGGATCGCCGCCTGGAATATTGAGAAAAAAAAATGATGAAGTGGTGATTTTAAGAAAAGCAATGAATCACTTACAAATTTTGGCGTTATGGAAAAGAAATTGCGCGACACTGTCGTAGGTTTGCCTCTGATGCGAATATTGCGCGCCTCCGATTAGAAATAATGCGAACATCGCGAAAATGCCAAATTTGGACATTGATAGAAGAAGAAGAAGAAGAAGCTTGAAAATGTTTCGTGGCGCGCTAAGAACTAGAGTGAATGGCCGAAATGAAGCGATGTGTAACAATTTTCGACGACGACAACTTGTTGGTCTCACCGTCTTTTGTTATTCGCACCAAATTTGTATTGTTGTCGAGACAAAGCGATTCGTCAAATCTCTTGACCCGTCGAAATCGTTTCGATTTTACAGGTCCACTCATTCGGCACCTATATCGACGCGAAATTGAAGCAACTCAATGGGTCCGAGGCGTTGTTGGCGCTCAGAGAGCTGGAGAAGCGCGGCAATGTCGATCGCGCGTGCGGCGTCTCGCTGACCATCACACTTTTGTCGAATTTCGACACGAAACAGGTGAAACAATGGATTGCGGAGGCGATTGGCCGCGAGGATGAGCTGCGCAAAATTGTCGCCGCGTTTCCCGCGTGGTCGGAATCATCGCGAATCGCGGTTTTGACGGCGCTTTTGGCGCAAAAGCCGACAAACACCACGCAAAATATTGTGACGAGCATTATCAACTCATTGTTTTATATCAAGGTTGTCCAAAATTTATTGAAAAAAAAATATGGTAATTTGAGGAAAATTTCAGACGCGAGCTGGCGAGTTTGCGTCGATTCAATTGTCGGAGCACAATGAACAGGTTTTAAGGCAGCTTGTCGTCGCCGCGGCGAATGATGAGGAGTGTGTGAAGAAGGCTGAAAAAAAGATTGGCAAGGCGAAAAAGAGGGCCAGGTAGGGTTATAATCGATAATGCGAAAATCCTCTATGATTTTTTTTTCGATCTCTCCTTGTGTTGTGGTATGTGCTGAAACTGTGGACGGCGGTTGCGCCAAACTCGGAAGACGCTGAATCGTATTCAAATGATGCTGAAGAGGTGCTAGCAATTGCTAAAAATGAGGAGGATGTGAATAATTCCCAGGTTTCCTTTTTTTTCGAAATTTTGATTTGGAAACACTTTCTTTTTAGGTATTCGTTGATCTTCTAATCGGAATCCTCTCGCGAGAGAAGAAATTCCACCGAACTCCAGTGGCTTTTGCTTTTGCTCATGCGCTCTCTACTCTAAAATCAGAAGATTTGATTCATATTGTCGAGGTAGAGTTTAATTTTCAATGGTCCCTTGAGACGAATGATTTTTAGACGGCCATGATGGGAGAGAAGGAATTGATCGATGATGGGGAAGATGTTGAAGATGAGGACGGAATGCCGTTTGATGAGAATGAGGATGAGGATGAGATCAGTGACAGTGAAGACGAGGAGGAGGAGGAAGCTGATGAGAGTGTTGATCAGGAATTGTTGGACAAACTTAATGAAGCTCTTGGAAGTGCTGCCAGCGATAAGGAGATGGATGATTTGGATGATGAGGAGATGATGAGAATGGACGAGAAGCTCGCCGCGGCGTTTAAGGCGATGGCGCCGAAGAAGACGAGCAAGCAGAATGCGAAGAATGTTGAAGCGCTGAAAATGAAAATTGCCGATATTCTGTTGATTGCGATCTCGTCAAAAGATGTTAGCGATTTGAACAAATTGGTAAGAGATTTTTTGTTGGAGTGGTGGTGGAATTGATCGAGGAATTTTTTTGCAGAAATTGATTTTGCCGCACTTGAAATGGGCGAAAACCGACCTCAAGAATCATGATCGTGTTGCGCAAAAGGCGATTGAGCTCATCAAAATTATTTTGCACGTCAAGGTTTCTTTTTTGGGAAAAAGATGAAAAACATTTTCGGTCACCTTGGAAATTTTCAGATGAGTGATATCAATGAAAAGCAAGCGTTATCGCTTTTCAAAGAAGTCATTGAGGAGTCGAAGAATGTTACGCATCCGATTCTTTTGGACACGATTTCATCGATTATTAGCTTCGCGGTATTCGCGTCAGAGTTTTTAAGAAATTCTTTAATTTTTCAGATTTTCGTTGGCTCGAAAAACAACAAAATGTATGATAGTGTGAAAATGGAGTTCATGAAAGTGTTTGATGGCTATTTCAAGAGTGTTGAGGGCAAAATTCCCACCGAGTTCGCGATTAAGCCAATTGTTAATAGGCCGGTACGCTAAAATTTGAAGTATTCATTTAAGAGATTCGAAATTCTTGTAGAAATTATTCATTGGCGAGCTGCCGACACTCATCGAGGCCGCATTCGATGAGAATAATCGCGTTTTTAAGAGGGTCTGTTTTTTTTTTGGCTTGAATTTTCATTTTTTTTTTCCTTTCCAGACGGAAGTTCTTGGAGCGGTATCGATTATCTTAACCAAAGAAATTGTTGGCGATGATTTCTCCGATAAATCGATTGTTAAAAGAATTGGGAAATTTTTGGTCAAATATTTTTCGCCGGCTATCGATGGAGATTTGGAGGAAGTCTGACGAACCCATTATATTGCCAAACAAACAAATGATTTTCCCAAACTTTCAGGTGAAACCACGCCTTTTTGCGACGACTCTTCGTGTTTTGTTGAATTTGTCGGCGACACTTTCTGGCAATGAGAAGCTCGTTGGTGTTTTGCGCGCTGAAATTGAAGGGATTATTAGAAAAATGTCGGAGGCTGAAAAATTGAAGAAGCTCAAGAAAATGAATCCAGTTTTTCAGCAGGTGAGCTTAAAATGATTAATTTAAAAAATTTATAGCAAAAATTTAGATTATTGGGCGCGCTTATCCGAGCGCGATGAATCTGATCCGAAAGAATCTTGGAATCGAGAATGCTATTGAATGAATTCTGTTGTCTTGTTGTTATTTGTTTGTTGTTATTTTTTGTTTTGTTGTTTTCTGATATCAATAATCAAATAAAAATCGAAGCCTCTAATACGTAGATTTTGTATATATTTTTTTTTGAGGGAGGTTAAAGAGCGGCGCAAAATTTGAAACACGTCAGATTTTACACTTTCCGTCAACATGTTTATGCACTGAAAGGGCACATTTTAGAAGGACAATGAGGAATTTCTAGACGGGTAGATCAAAAATTGAAAAATTGTTTTGCGCGTTTAGGAACAGCCATGGAACGTTTCTTGTATATTTAAAAGAAACTAATTAATATTTTCTTTCCGTTAAAATTGTTTTTCTGCTGCGGACAATTTCGGTGTTTGTAAGTCACGAGGCAATACACATTTTGCGTATTATTCGATAGAAAAAACTGAGTTTTATCAAAAACAAGTTCTAGCGATCAGTTTTTGAGACAGAAATATTTTGCGGGTCACGTGATGTTTGAAATTTCAATGCCATTCAACGGATAGATCTTCAATTCTCCAATTATTGGTCCAAAAATCAGAAAAATATATCGAATTGTTTCGTTTTGTGACCCTATGCAGAATTTTGAAAAAAAAATATCAAAAACCCTGCGAAAATTGATTTGATTTCCTTGAAAAATCTGAAAAGCACCAAAATTGAAATTGTCCGCAGATGATTTCCAATGCGCCTGCAAATTCCTCACCAATCCTTATCACCGATAACTTTTGAAAGTCAGCGACGCGTCGTCGTCGCCTACAACGAGACAATCATTTATAGACGTCTTAACCAGTTTCGCGAGAACATTGATAGCGGTCGATGTCTTTTAAAAATCGCCGAATGATCGTTTTGTGTTGTGCAGCGACGTCGACACGCGAATTTCATGTGATGCTCCATCGGAGCTCGACCCTCCATTCGTATATATCGGTCATGAGGTGTTTTGAAGATACTTTTTCTCATCATTCAAAAACTTTCAATTGTCACCATCGATATGGCTGATTGATGTTCTTTAGAATAGGAAAAATGGAGATCAAATGTCTATATGCTAACAGCGGATGGACGATATCGATTAATTGGCCTCGTAAAATTAAAAGTGCCCAAAACTAATTAAAAATTGTGCTCCTTCACGCTGGCTCAATTAAGCAAAAAGTCTTTTATCCTTACAAGACCCAAGGCGGCAACTCAAATGATTCGTTCGTCAACGACTAGAATAATTCGGGAAGCTCGCAAATTTTAATCGCACAATTGTGGAGAATTCACAGTATACATTAAAGGCGCATGCAAAATTTTGCTAATTGACCGAAATTATTAAAATCAAAAAATTAATAACGCCTCCATCGACTAATTCCGATCACACCCATAAATATGGCGAACACCATAAATTCAGTTTTACAATCAAAAGCGATTCCCAACAAAATCAATGTCTAGCAGATTTGTGACAATCTTAACACCTATGTGTAGAAACTCTACCATCCCATTGTCATCCAATATAAATTGGTTTTTTTTTATTTCTTCAATATTTCTTTTGCTTGCGTATCTTTTAAAAGTCGCTGACATTTCAAGTCCTGTGACCCCCAATTTCTCAAAAAATCAAGTGCAGTTTCCCAATTTCCAGGCGGGACCTCAGACATCATTAATAGTTTATTCTGAGACCATACAAGTGCAATGTGTGATGTCACGGAAGCAAAGATCTATTTGCATATCATTTCTCTTGATTTCGCTTCTCTCTTTTCCCCCTCTCATTTTATAGTGTTCTCTAGCTCGCGTGGGAACCGAATTATAACTGAAAATCAAAGGATTTTGTGAATTTTTTAACAATTCGTGACAATCAATTTCCTAAAACTTATCGAATGTAGACGCCTCTGATGAGAGGGGTCCCGTCGTCGAGGCGGCAGTGCGGCACGTGAATCGCACATGATAGCGTTCGGGGGCGTGTCTGGGGCGGGTATACACGCAGACGCACATATACACACTCGTCCTCGGCCGCCAACGCTCGCCCTCTGCCCACCCATCATCATCGCCTTCACCTGCTATAATAGTTTTGATTGCAGGAATAAAAAAGAAGCATAATGGAAGTGCAGCGTAAGAGAAGCTTCAACACGAAAATCACGAATCACGATTTTCGCAAAGAATACAAAGGATCTGCGTAAGTGCAATTGGCAATCATCATTCCACTCATTCAAATTTACAGACTCGAGCGCAAATTCAGCAATGAGAAGCCGGTGGGTGCATTGCGCGCGATCGCCGAATGGATTTCACGCAAGGCGACGACGACTACGAGAAAAACGAAAATCGCGATTCGCGACGAGCCGTCGAGATTCGATGTAAGGCACCCGCTTATCTCTCTTTCTCCCCCCACCCCCTGACATTTATCAGCGCCCTCATTTTTAAAGATTGCGTCCGAGACATCATTGAACAGATTTATTGAGGGCCAGACATTTTCTTTCTCAATTTCCAGACAATCCCCAATGAAATTGTTTTCGCGATTTTGAAAAACGTCAACGCCGATCAGACGACGATGAGAGCGTGCCGTCGGGTCTCGAAGCGATTTGAAGCGTGTGTCAACGCGGTGGCGACGGTTGACGTCAATGTGGTAAGCTCAAAGGCCCCCCGCGATTTTCACCAACAACAAATTTCATTACAGCTATCGAGACTTGTCATAACTGGTCTCGCCAAGAAAGGAATCGAGATGCGATGGGTTAGCTATGTTGGCCAGAAGAGCAATGCGACGACGGTCAGTTGGCCGGTAATCCGATCTGGAGCCGATTTTGCGTTTAGCTTCAAACGATTCTCTATTCAAAGAATTATTTTAAAGGTAATTATAAATCATGGAGATGTCTTCTAATTAGAAATTCAATTAAGGACTTGCTCCTTTCCGATGAGATCATCGACTTCCTCCGCCGTCAGCTTCAGTTCAGCGATTTGACGAAGCTTATTCAGCTCTCGCTGAAAAATGTTGACTTCTCGGCGGCGAACTCGCTCACTCTTCACAAACTTCTCGCGCCGATGGCCAAGACGCTCGAGATCTTCGAAGTTTGTCAGCCGATTGGAATGCGTCCCGACAGCGTCACCGATCATCATCTCGCGCAACTCGACGCGATGACGATTCGACGAATCTCGATCGACGGCGTCAAGTTTGCCGGCGGCGCGTCGAGGCAGCTGAAAATCGGCGACGCGTCGCTGAAGCGATTCGCCGAGCTCGGCGCGTTCCCGACGATGGTGCTCGATCGATGCGCGGTTACCACGCAGGTCGTTTGCGATTACACGAAAAACTGGTTCGATCAGTGCAACGAGTCGGAGAAGCAAGTGCGAAGTCAAGTGTGCACCGTCAAACGATGTCCCAAAGTGAAAGGTAATCAACGTGAAGCTGGCAAGCTGATTGGAATTCTATTGATTCAGGATCTCAATTCGAGGCCGAATGCCGCCGACGAGGGCTTCGATGCAAAAACCGACGAGGAAGCGGTTCGCTGACGTTGTACAATGTGCAGGAAGAGAACACGAAGCGCGAATTCACAATCGCCCTAGCCGCGTTGGAAGACAAAACTGAAAAGCTCAAACAATGCGCCGATCTCTGCGTCTAAATGTTTTATTAATGGGAGTTACTTGTTTATTTCTTTTTCCCTACGGGATCCCTACCACTTCTACGTGTAAGCCACTATTTGGCAATTTCTTTGTCTCGTCTTTATAAGACCCGGGTTGTGATTTTTCAAATACATTTTACACTTTATCCATCAATGAATTCGTTGCCTTCTTTTTAAAAAGAGAGAGTGAGAGGGGCAGAAGAAAACAAAAACTATTCTATACGAACAATTATACAGAGAAAAACCGAAAGAAAATTACACGTAATATTTCAACGAGAAGGAGGAGCGGCGGAAAGGAGCATGAAACACACGAGTACCAAGAATCAGGATATCCATGAATCAGCTGAAACAGTAATTCGCCCAATTTTCATGAGAAAATTTCTACCTAAATGCCTAATTGCTTGCATTTTGCATCCAAAAATTGACCATATGAGTTCCAATCGACTTCATCAAAATCGACTAACGTCCATTCGTTATTGATCGTTGGCGTCTTCTCAATGGCTACCATCATTGGTTTGAACACATAATTTAATCTAAATTTTTTGAACATTTTTGAAATTTTTCTTAAACAAAATTGAACCTTTCTTGTAATGACATAAACTTCTCAATCTCCTCAATTCCCTGATAGCCGAGGAATTGCAAGAATCTGCTCATTAGACTGTCAGGCACATGTAATTGTATTTGTCCAGAATAATCGATTACACGAATCTGACAATGATAGATTGAATGCGGAATTTTAAAGAATAACACATACCAAAGTGTAGTAACAGTTCACAACCTCCGTGATTTTTGAATTGCACTTCGGACAATTTGAAATCTTCTTCGGCTTCGTCGCCAATGAGTATTTGCATTTTTTGCATCCACGATAAGCTTTTGGGCCAAAATCGATTATCTGCACCTTGGAAACCGCTTTGGTCTTGTTGGGATCGTTTCCCAACTCAAAAATTGCTAGACAACCATGATGCCGTTATTTAATCTTTGAAATAGCTTACCACAAGGTTGTCTAAGAAACGGCTGCATGGAAATCGAATGTTTCTTAATTCCAGTTATTTGTGAATCAAGAATCGTGAGTTTGGATTTGCCGAATTCCAGCAGCACTTCTGTTGGATGAGCGTCGCATTCATTAACAATTTGTGCGCATCGGATTTCAATTTTTGCTAACAATAACAGTTTTGCGGGCATTTCGGCGGGCTTCCGTACAATCAGATTGTGCGAATTGGCAAGTTGAAGTATTCCTCGAGTCTCAGCGAACTCGGCAAATTCGTCGACAAGGGTTATAACACCGATAAGATCTGAGAATTAAATTTATTATTTATCCCCAAACAGAAAATTACCTGTATATCGTTTGCCTGCAGTATTTGCCGTCTTTTTAATAGGCGGCTCCGCCGTGGTGTTTGTCATTAGTGGAGATTGAAAACTTTGATTAAATTGACGCTTAAGACTTTTTTGCCTGGAATTAATGATTTATAACGTTTGAACACGGATATAGGATACCCTTCTATTCTAAATGGCGAAATGAATTGTCCGGGCTTCGATTTAGTTACACTCGACGTAGAAAATGACGAATTTGACTGAAATTTTGGTAATTTTTGCGAGAAATTCAAAAAATTCTGATCAACTCACTTCTAGCATTGTTCGAGTCTTTTTTAAAGCCTCTTCGCTAACTTCTATTCGAATTCCAGACGCGGTTGAGAATATTGGTTCCATATTTGTATAATCCATTGCTTCGCCCTTTGTCTGCAAAAGAATATTTGAAACGCCTAATTTTTGTATGAAATACCTCATCAAAGTTACTAGCATCGTCCATTACCTTCTCGCGTCTGTAAAATATACAACATAATGCATTATAACGCATTTATTAACTTACAGAACATCTGACGGCACTAACGTTCCTTCGCTCATAAGGAGATCTGTAAAAAATGAATCGACATATAGAAATTGACACGCACGGACTAGGAAATACGAAGCGAAAATTCGGCCATTGCTGTTTATATATATGTCAGAACTTATGGAAGTTTACATATCGTTGCATTTAAATAACTAGTCTTATTAAAGTTAACTAAATTACGGAATCGGATCTCTATCTCGAGGAAAATGATAATTTTTATATAACTGTAGAGAAAAAATAACCTCCAGAGGCTTAAAATTCTAAAAAAACGATAAATGTGCAATGTTGCGTTCCAGTGTAATACACCGAATTACGGTTGTTTTGCACTTTAATTGACGACAGTCTTTCGTTTCGAATTTTTGCAGACCGCCCTTATTGGCTTGCCCCAATTTTCTTTCTGGTTTTAATTTATTTTGATTTTTGTTTATTTTAAGAATGCTTTTTCTACTTATTTTCACTTCTTTCTTTGTTACGACATTAATTTTTCGGTCGGAGACTATGCAAAAATTTCAATTTTTAAATTTCCACGAAAAACGTAACATTTCGAACTCATTGATCATCACGGTATTTGTTTAGAAACTCCCTTTGAATGTTGCAAAACCACTCAAAAACTTTGCGTCATAATAGTAACGTATTTACACACCGTCGGTCCTTTTGGACACACCTATTGAATGCCTATATTCCATTTCGAGAAACTTAATTTTAAACGACGACTATTATTTGAAATGACTTGCTTATTGTAAATTATAAAAAAAAATCAAGATTGTTGCGGAAAGTTATCGGGAATCTGGATTACGTCATGCGTTATCATTTCACATGTAGACGACAATTTATTTCAACGCGTGCATTAAAAGGAAAAAATGAAATAAATAACGCGTTTCCCACAGAAACTCCTACATATATTCATGTCCTTTGCTCATGATCTTCACGTGAATCATTTCCAATTTACTTTAATCGAAATTAGTGTGAATTAGTTAGTTCCTTTACATTGACAACCACCATAATTCGATGACGAGGTCGAACAATGACCAATTCTTTCATTTCTCTAATTAACTATCCATAAAAACTTAATCTTGAACATTTCGTCCGTCATGTTTTGACGAGTATTCGATATCCGCACAAAATCTTTTCCGTCTTCCCCCCTCACATTCGAAATAGCGTTGAGAAGCCGTATGTCTTTCTCTTATTTCACCCTCCACGTCAAGAAAATGCGAACATTCCGTTGGTTTTTCTTCCAAAGCTTATCGCGAAAATGTTTGAACCCTTATCAATTTTCATCATTTAATTTTCAGAAATGGCGGCCGCCAGTGTCAAATGCTACTTTGATATTGTCTGTCCAAATTCTTGGATGGCCATACAGGTACTAATTGAAAAGTATAACTTCAAAAATCCTAACATTTAGGCACTAACGGCCCGATCCCATTTATTTGGTGAGCTTCATTTCGAGCCGGTTTGTGATTTTAAAATAGGAATTTTGCACAATTCAAACATATGGAATCAGCGGAGGAAAGTGCATAATTCGAGGATTTGGAAAAAGAAAAATGAAGGTTAATAGTTTTTAGGTGAAAACTAAATTCCGCTGAAAATCTTTAATTTTTTGCAATTTAATATTAAAAAAAACTGAAAAGGGTTATAAATTAAATACATCGGGGAACTTACGTGAACGTTTATTTACCTCTCTCAACTGTTTCATTTTAGATAACGAAGATTCGATAATCGATAAAAACGATCACGACATCTAAATTGTTTAAATTTTAGACTGTGGTATGTATTAAATTTTTCTTTAAAATCGGGGCATCCATCGAGAAATCGGGGCATCCATATGGTTATTTTTTCAATTCCATTAATTCCCTTATTTCAGTTGATGAACCGCTACAACAGTCTGAGGGTTTCCTTCGTCGTATCGATGAGCGCGGCAAAAATGTTCTCATACTCGAGAACTTCCCTCAACCACCGGAGGATTGGAAGCAGGTAGTCTATAAATTTAAACTAATAGTTTCAATCTTTTTAAGATTTACCGAACTGCCGTTTCCCGCGGTTCTATTATTCCCCAACTTTATCTAATATCGATAAAGCAAAAGTTTCCTGATTTATATCTGAAAGCTATAAATCATATAGGTAATCTTCGCGATGAAAAAGCTTTATACAAACTATTTGAGGGAATCGTTTGTGGGTTTCGAAACTTCCTGTACACTATGGCTGTCATATGTCAACGGTATCCCGCGAGCTGGGGATCTCATTTAAGAACTCGGAGGATATTGTTGCGAGGCTTTCAACTCCCGAAAATCGCCACATTCTGCACAACAATTGCCGGGAAGCTGTTGAATTGAAGGTATATTGATTAAAAATGTTTGATAATGCGAAAATGAATAATGGGGACAATTTTCAGCTGACAGAGGCCCCGGGTATTATTGCAACTTTAGATGGTGGTGAAGTTGTGAAATACGATCATATTGGACATTTGCTTAGCATTTACAATAATTTTCCTAATCATCACATTAATGAGCAAGATAGGCTAAGAAACTAATCCGAACTAGTTAAAAAAAAAGTTGAATGATTTTTAACATTGGCATTTAACCATTTCACACTCTCGGTGCTCGTTGTATTTTCCTCGCAAAACCAAAAAAATCAAAAATTTCACATTTTTTTGCATGCACTTCACCGCCCATTCATTTTTTAGAATAAATTTATTTATGAAAACTAAAATGAGGAAAGGCACAAATTTTCAGAATGTTATCATGGCAGCGTGATTAAAATAAGAGAAATGTTGTCATTTTGTAACAAATACTGTGGGTAGTGGCAAATAGCAAGATCATTTCGAAATGGATTGAGATGAGTGAAGAATGAATATTCACGCACATGGAAAAAACACAAAGAAGTGGTTATCACCGAGAAACATAAATTAAGGGTTTGATTTGGGAAACATATGAAAACGTATTAGAAGAGCCATTTGAAGGCTTTTCGCACAACATCTGGTACGTGAGACCATTCGAATGTAATGGTCTTGTCGTCGGAAGATTTTATGGTTGCCTAAAATTAAATTTTTGTTGTTTTTGTTTTTTTTTTAATGTTAGATGACTTTATAATTGGTTTTTCCTCCATTATTTGTAGACGATACTTGGGCATTGTTCTTATCGGTGTTGGCTTCCAAGTAATTTGCTAATAATTGTGCGATCTTGTCAAATCTGGAACGACATGCTTATTGATATATAAGATTTCTCCGGCATACGAATTGGCTGTGTTGACGCAGTTGAACGGATCCAGTGGGTCTCTCATCATTCCATGGGGACACGCACAGTAGTAGGATCCCGGCGTGTTCACACATCCCTCGGAGCATTTTCCGTTGTCGGTCGCGCACTCATCAATGTCTAAAATGTGAACATTAACTATATTGAACCGTTAAAGGTTGAATACCGTAACATTGCCCGTCTTTAGCAATGTAACCCTTCGGACAACGTCCTCCATGCGATTTAACCTATAATTAATTAGCTATGAATGATAAAAATAAGATGTTGTGTCTACTTTGCATGGGCATTCTTCAGTTGTTGCTGGCGGAAGGGTGGCGATTGGTCGATTCGTGTCGATCACAAGATCGCATGAGGCTCGCAAAATCGCCCTTCCTTCAGAACACTGGCAATTGCAGCTGGATGGTGTCGGTTTGACGTATCCTTCTGGGGCCGTAGTGTCTAACAAAAAAGTTTATTGCGGCATTTTTGCAAATTTTTGACGTACTCTTGTTTAAATATAACGTATCGCAATTGTTATCGACTTCCAATGCTGTGTCGTTGAAGATTCTTTCTGCAGTCATAACACAGACTGTGTATGTGTGATCGGTTGGTAGATTCTAAAAGTAGAGAGATTAAATTTAATAATATAAACTTTGGCGTACCTCGACATGCGTTCCAAAGCTGTCACGACACGTTGCATTTTTCTTGAGCCAATTCTTCTTCGGAATCGACAAATCGTGTGTGTAGAGAATCGTGTAGTTCTAGAAAATGTTATTGCAATTTTTTCGTATTTTATTTTATACCGATTTGCTGTTTGTGCAACATGTCCATGAGACAGATAACGAGCTGGGTGATAGTGGGATAAGCTCAATATTGGTGGCGTCTTCTTTGGAAGCATCTCGAGCTGAATCGAAATGTTGTTTCCGTTTATATGCTTTACCATTACCATATGGTCTTGTTGTAAGTCTTGGCGTTGTCGTTTTTCTAGTCGTTGTTGCCGTTGAATAGTCGCACGTGATATATGCTAACCAGCTGTCGAACAGCTCGTTTGGAGCGGTCCATTCATCAAGATGAATAACTCTTGTAGCCAAGCCTGCGATCTTCGAAAGCAAATCAGTCGCTGGTTTTCTGACCGAAATTGTGATGATGTTGTGTTGGAAATCGCCATTGGCGTATTCTGCTGATGGAAGAGCTTCGTCACTAAAATTCGAATATTCTCTTTTTCGAATTTTAATCAATTACCTAGATGTTCCGTCGCTGCTCACAATAAGCATTAGTTTAATCGCTCCATTGATGTAGTTCTCATTGGACAATTCAACCAAATTATCAATTCCCAAACCAAGTTTTGGGGACATCGAATCATCGCTGAAGCAATGCAAACATTATTATAAAAATTGCTTCGTTGATTACCTTTTCTGTGAAATTTCATTGAGAACTTCGGAAAGTCCCTCCACGGTAACATCGTTATTTACGTATTCAATTTTGTCGCTGTTGATTGTCATTAAATTAATTGCAATCATGCTATGTTCATCACGTAGCCGGTTTTTGAAGAAGTTTTCCATGTGGCTGAGAACTCTACGGAATTCTTCTGGTGATGATCGTGAGGTCACATCAATCAAGATGTTGAATTGATACGGCCTTCTAATTCCGTCATTGCAGAGACCTCCAGAGACAGCTCTGGTCGTTCGAGTAATTGGTGCTGTTGTGAATTTCTTGGCACCGTCGACATCACGCTTTGTGGTGAAGTGTGCTGGAAGTGTTGTTTGTTTTGGCGATCCGAATCCGCACAGTGTTCTAGTAATGCTTGGAAGTTGATCGTCAATCTCGGAAGCTTGTTCCACTCCAAAAACGCGCTCAGAATTGGAAATTCCAGTGAGTCGTCGTATCGTTGCCAACTCATCAGCGTTCGAGCCGACAGCAATTGCGTAAATTTGTACACCGTACATTTCTCGCAAATCTTCGGCAGCCGCAGCAGCATTTCCTCTGAAGTATACGATGTATCAATAAAATATTGAAATTGATAATATTAATATTACCTATTCTTTCCGTTTGTAATTATTATAACCATTTTCGTTGCGTTTTCGCGACCATGAAGTTGGAATTGTTGTCGAGCAGCATTCAGTCCATATAGAGCAATTGAAACTCCATCATTAATTTTTTCGGCTTCAACAATCTTCTCCATGAGTTCGACCTTATCGTCATAATGCCCTAAGGCCACTGGCACTGCCACCTTATCACTGTAAATTACGAATCCAATCCTCGCGACATCGGGAGACAAATCGAATCCGGTATCGACGAAACTTGCGACAGCGTCCTATATATAATAATGTAGAGAAATTGAATTAAAAGCCAATTTACCTTCATATATGTGAACTCATCTGGGGAAAAGTTTTCGGAGGAATCGAGGATTATAATAACATCGGATTCAAAGTCAACAGATGAGCACAAGCGACCAACACCGCTTGGGGTTGTTGCTTTTTGTCTCGGCGATGGCCACGTTTGTGACGTTTCCACATTTGAAAAGCTTTTGCAAATGTAGTCAGCAAGCGGGCCGAGTATTTCAGAGTCGGCTCCCCTCCATTGCGGAACGCGAATTATTTTATCCTCATCGGTTATAACTGCGTTTTGAGCTTGACTTTCTTCATCTCCTGAATCAATCACGAAAAGGGTTGCATTGCGTTCTGATTTCAGCGAGCTTGCTGGCGATCCAAAATCGTCTCTGAAAAGAGGATTTCGTAATGAAATTGAAAATTGATACATACACTGCTTTTCCGTTCTTGACGATGAGTACAATTTGTGGAACACCATCGACACCGGAAATTGCTAGTTCGTCAAGGGCTTCTCTTAGACCAGCTCCAAGTTGAGCACGTCCCTTCATTCGTCTTGTCTCGCTTATTCGATGGAGCAAGTCTTCTTCATTGTCGTAATCTCCAAGAGAGATCGGAATTTCTCCGCCATCACCGTATTTAACAAGGCCGACACGAACTTGATGTTTCTTCAAATTAAAATGATCCGTCAAGAATGTTTTGATCAATTCCTTCATAACTCGATAGTCAAGAACCTGAAATGTATGAGTTCGGATATCCGAACCAGAAATATCCTACCTTGATGTTGTTTGAGGTATCAATTACAAGAAGAAGGTCGATATGCGCTCTAACAAAGCAGAATTGTGATGGTCTTCGTGTCGGTACGAGCGTGTGCAGCTTTCTTGTAGAATCCGTAGGTAGCACGATTCCATAAGCGTCCACTGGATATCCGTTTTTGTCCGTCGGAATGGGTGAACCGTCAGAGATTGCTCGACCACTTGAATCAGTCGGCAATAATTCGTCATCTTTTCCAATAACCTTATAAATCGGTTTGTTGTTCTCATCAAACGGAATAGGAGATCCATCTGGGCCAATAATAGGATAAATGTAATGACCATATCCAGATGTTGGCAAAATAACTCCATCAGGACTTAATGGTTTTCCATCCGAAGATCTTTCGATTGGTAAACCATCGACGCCGATGTAATCTCCATTTGCATTTTTAGGCAATTCAGTTCCGTTACCAAACGTTATAGAATATATTGCCATTCCAGTATCATCTGTTGGCAATACTCTACCAATTTCACCTATCGCTGGAACGAGAACGTAGTTGCCCTTTGAGTCAGTTGGAAGTGGAGATCCCTCTTCGCTGATTGGCTTGCCGCTCGAATCTGTTGGAATAGGTCGTCCGTCTGGTCCGATGTATGCTCCAGATGAGTCAGTTGGAAGTTCAGTTCCGTCTGGGCTCACAACTGGGTAGATTGGCTTGCCAGATCCGTCAGTTGGAAGAACTTGACCATCAGCACCAACATGTGGGTAGATGTAGTTTCCAGAAGCATCCGTTGGCAGAACTTGGCCGTCTGGTCCGATTGGTTGATTGTCTTCGTTCTTCTCCACGATGGTTCCGTCATCAGTGATGAAGTTTCCAGAGGAGTCAGTGGCGAGTGGGGTTCCGTTTGGCTTGGTGATTGGGTAGATGACATTTCCAGATTCATCAGTTGGAAGCACCTTGGTGACTCCTTCTTCTCCAGCTGGAACGAGAACGTAGTTGCCCTTTGAGTCAGTTGGAAGTGGAGATCCGTCTTCGCTGATTGGCTTGCCGCTCGAATCTGTTGGAATAGGTCGTCCGTCTGGTCCGATGTATGCTCCAGATGAGTCAGTTGGAAGTTCAGTTCCGTCTGGGCTCACAACTGGGTAGATTGGCTTGCCAGATCCGTCAGTTGGAAGAACTTGACCATCAGCACCAACATGTGGGTAGATGTAGTTTCCAGAAGCATCCGTTGGCAGAACTTGGCCGTCTGGTCCGATTGGTTGATTGTCTTCGTTCTTCTCCACGATGGTTCCGTCATCAGTGATGAAGTTTCCAGAGGAGTCAGTGGCGAGTGGGGTTCCGTCTGGCTTGGTGATTGGGTAGATGACATTTCCAGATTCATCAGTTGGAAGCACCTTGGTGACTCCTTCTTCTCCAGCTGGAACGAGAACGTAGTTGCCCTTTGAGTCAGTTGGAAGTGGAGATCCGTCTTCGCTGATTGGCTTGCCGCTCGAATCTGTTGGAATAGGTCGTCCGTCTGGTCCGATGTATGCTCCAGATGAGTCAGTTGGAAGTTCAGTTCCGTCTGGGCTCACAACTGGGTAGATTGGCTTGCCAGATCCGTCAGTTGGAAGAACTTGACCATCAGCACCAACATGTGGGTAGATGTAGTTTCCAGAAGCATCCGTTGGCAGAACTTGGCCGTCTGGTCCGATTGGTTGATTGTCTTCGTTCATCTCCACGATGGTTCCGTCATCAGTGATGAAGTTTCCTGAGGAGTCAGTGGCGAGTGGGGATCCGTCTGGCTTGGTGATTGGGTAGATGATATTTCCAGATTCATCAGTTGGAAGCACCTTGGTGACTCCTTCTTCTCCAGCTGGAACGAGAACGTAGTTGCCCTTTGAGTCAGTTGGAAGTGGAGATCCGTCTTCGCTGATTGGCTTGCCGCTCGAATCTGTTGGAATAGGTCGTCCGTCTGGTCCGATGTATGCTCCAGATGAGTCAGTTGGAAGTTCAGTTCCGTCTGGGCTCACAACTGGGTAGATTGGCTTGCCAGATCCGTCAGTTGGAAGAACTTGACCATCAGCACCAACATGTGGGTAGATGTAGTTTCCAGAAGCATCCGTTGGCAGAACTTGGCCGTCTGGTCCGATTGGTTGATTGTCTTCGTTCATCTCCACGATGGTTCCGTCATCAGTGATGAAGTTTCCTGAGGAGTCAGTGGCGAGTGGGGATCCGTCTGGCTTGGTGATTGGGTAGATGACATTTCCAGATTCATCAGTTGGAAGCACTTTGGTGACTCCTTCTTCTCCAGCTGGAACGAGAACGTAGTTGCCCTTTGAGTCAGTTGGAAGTGGAGATCCATCTTCGCTGATTGGCTTGCCGCTCGAATCTGTCGGAATTGGTCGTCCGTCTGGTCCGATGTATGCTCCAGATGAGTCAGTTGGAAGTTCAGTTCCGTCTGGGCTCACAACTGGGTAGATTGGCTTGCCAGATCCGTCAGTTGGAAGAACTTGACCATCAGCACCAACATGTGGGTAGATGTAGTTTCCAGAAGCATCCGTTGGCAGAACTTGGCCGTCTGGTCCGATTGGTTGATTGTCTTCGTTCTTCTCCACGATGGTTCCGTCATCAGTGATGAAGTTTCCAGAGGAGTCAGTGGCGAGTGGGGATCCGTCTGGCTTGGTGATTGGGTAGATGACATTTCCAGATTCATCAGTTGGAAGCACTTTGGTGACTCCTTCTTCTCCAGCTGGAACGAGAACGTAGTTGCCTTTTGAGTCAGTTGGAAGCGGAGATCCGTCTTCGCTGATTGGCTTGCCGCTCGAATCTGTCGGAATTGGTCGTCCGTCTGGTCCGATGTATGCTCCAGATGAGTCAGTTGGAAGTTCAGTTCCGTCTGGGCTCACAACTGGGTAGATTGGCTTGCCAGATCCGTCAGTTGGAAGAACTTGACCATCAGCACCAACATGTGGGTAGATGTAGTTTCCAGAAGCATCCGTTGGCAGAACTTGGCCGTCTGGTCCGATTGGTTGATTGTCTTCGTTCTTCTCCACGATGGTTCCGTCATCAGTGAGGAAGTTTCCAGAGGAGTCAGTGGCGAGTGGGGATCCGTCGGGCTTGGTGATTGGGTAGATGACATTTCCAGATTCATCAGTTGGAAGCACTTTGGTGACTCCTTCTTCTCCAGCAGGAACGAGAACGTAGTTGCCTTTTGAGTCAGTTGGAAGCGGAGATCCGTCTTCGCTGATTGGCTTGCCGCTCGAATCTGTCGGAATTGGTCGTCCGTCTGGTCCGATGTATGCTCCAGATGAGTCAGTTGGAAGTTCAGTTCCGTCTGGGCTCACAACTGGGTAGATTGGCTTGCCAGATCCGTCAGTTGGAAGAACTTGACCATCAGCACCAACATGTGGGTAGATGTAGTTTCCAGAAGCATCCGTTGGCAGAACTTGCCCGTCTGGTCCGATTGGTTGATTGTCTTCGTTCTTCTCCACGATGGTTCCGTCATCAGTGATGAAGTTTCCAGAGGAGTCAGTGGCGAGTGGGGATCCGTCGGGCTTGGTGATTGGGTAGATGACATTTCCAGATTCATCAGTTGGAAGCACTTTGGTGGCTCCTTCTTCTCCAGCTGGAACGAGAACGTAGTTGCCTTTTGAGTCAGTTGGAAGCGGAGATCCGTCTTCGCTGATTGGCTTGCCGCTCGAATCTGTCGGAATTGGTCGTCCGTCTGGTCCGATGTATGCTCCAGATGAGTCAGTTGGAAGTTCAGTTCCGTCTGGGCTCACAACTGGGTAGATTGGCTTGCCAGATCCGTCAGTTGGAAGAACTTGACCATCAGCACCAACATGTGGGTAGATGTAGTTTCCAGAAGCATCCGTTGGCAGAACTTGGCCGTCTGGTCCGATTGGTTGATTGTCTTCGTTCTTCTCCACGATGGTTCCGTCATCAGTGATGAAGTTTCCAGAGGAGTCAGTGGCGAGTGGGGATCCGTCTGGCTTGGTGATTGGGTAGATGACATTTCCAGATTCATCAGTTGGAAGCACTTTGGTGACTCCTTCTTCTCCAGCTGGAACGAGAACGTAGTTGCCCTTTGAGTCAGTTGGAAGTGGAGATCCATCTTCGCTGATTGGCTTGCCGCTCGAATCTGTCGGAATTGGTCGTCCGTCTGGTCCGATGTATGCTCCAGATGAGTCAGTTGGAAGTTCAGTTCCGTCTGGGCTCACAACTGGGTAGATTGGCTTGCCAGATCCGTCAGTTGGAAGAACTTGACCATCAGCACCAACATGTGGGTAGATGTAGTTTCCAGAAGCATCCGTTGGCAGAACTTGGCCGTCTGGTCCGATTGGTTGATTGTCTTCGTTCTTCTCCACGATGGTTCCGTCATCAGTGATGAAGTTTCCAGAGGAGTCAGTGGCGAGTGGGGATCCGTCTGGCTTGGTGATTGGGTAGATGACATTTCCAGATTCATCAGTTGGAAGCACTTTGGTGACTCCTTCTTCTCCAGCTGGAACGAGAACGTAGTTGCCTTTTGAGTCAGTTGGAAGCGGAGATCCGTCTTCGCTGATTGGCTTGCCGCTCGAATCTGTTGGAATTGGTCGTCCGTCTGGTCCGATGTAGGCTCCAGATGAGTCAGTTGGAAGTTCAGTTCCGTCTGGGCTCACAACTGGGTAGATTGGCTTGCCAGATCCGTCAGTTGGAAGAACTTGACCGTCAGCACCAACATGTGGGTAGATGTAGTTTCCAGAAGCATCCGTTGGCAGAACTTGGCCGTCTGGTCCGATTGGTTGATTGTCTTCGTTCTTCTCCACGATGGTTCCGTCATCAGTGATGAAGTTTCCAGAGGAGTCAGTGGCGAGTGGGGATCCGTCGGGCTTGGTGATTGGGTAGATGACATTTCCAGATTCATCAGTTGGAAGCACTTTGGTGACTCCTTCTTCTCCAGCTGGAACGAGAACGTAGTTGCCCTTTGAGTCAGTTGGAAGTGGAGATCCATCTTCGCTGATTGGCTTGCCGCTCGAATCTGTCGGAATTGGTCGTCCGTCTGGTCCGATGTATGCTCCAGATGAGTCAGTTGGAAGTTCAGTTCCGTCTGGGCTCACAACTGGGTAGATTGGCTTGCCAGATCCGTCAGTTGGAAGAACTTGACCGTCAGCACCAACATGTGGGTAGATGTAGTTTCCAGAAGCATCCGTTGGCAGAACTTGGCCGTCTGGTCCGATTGGTTGATTGTCTTCGTTCTTCTCCACGATGGTTCCGTCATCAGTGATGAAGTTTCCAGAGGAGTCAGTGGCGAGTGGGGATCCGTCGGGCTTGGTGATTGGGTAGATGACATTTCCAGATTCATCAGTTGGAAGCACTTTGGTGACTCCTTCTTCTCCAGCTGGAACGAGAACGTAGTTGCCCTTTGAGTCAGTTGGAAGTGGAGATCCGTCTTCGCTGATTGGCTTGCCGCTCGAATCTGTCGGAATTGGTCGTCCGTCTGGTCCGATGTATGCTCCAGATGAGTCAGTTGGAAGTTCAGTTCCGTCTGGGCTCACAACTGGGTAGATTGGCTTGCCAGATCCGTCAGTTGGAAGAACTTGACCATCAGCACCAACATGTGGGTAGATGTAGTTTCCAGAAGCATCCGTTGGCAGAACTTGGCCGTCTGGTCCGATTGGTTGATTGTCTTCGTTCTTCTCCACGATGGTTCCGTCATCAGTGATGAAGTTTCCAGAGGAGTCAGTGGCGAGTGGGGATCCGTCGGGCTTGGTGATTGGGTAGATGACATTTCCAGATTCATCAGTTGGAAGCACTTTGGTGACTCCTTCTTCTCCAGCTGGAACGAGAACGTAGTTGCCCTTTGAGTCAGTTGGAAGTGGAGATCCGTCTTCGCTGATTGGCTTGCCGCTCGAATCTGTTGGAATTGGTCGTCCGTCTGGTCCGATGTAGGCTCCAGATGAGTCAGTTGGAAGTTCAGTTCCGTCTGGGCTCACAACTGGGTAGATTGGCTTGCCAGATCCGTCAGTTGGAAGAACTTGACCATCAGCACCAACATGTGGGTAGATGTAGTTTCCAGAAGCATCCGTTGGCAGAACTTGGCCGTCTGGTCCGATTGGTTGATTGTCTTCGTTCTTCTCCACGATGGTTCCGTCATCAGTGATGAAGTTTCCAGAGGAGTCAGTGGCGAGTGGGGATCCGTCTGGCTTGGTGATTGGGTAGATGACATTTCCAGATTCATCAGTTGGAAGCACTTTGGTGACTCCTTCTTCTCCAGCTGGAACGAGAACGTAGTTGCCCTTTGAGTCAGTTGGAAGTGGAGATCCGTCTTCGCTGATTGGCTTGCCGCTCGAATCTGTCGGAATTGGTCGTCCGTCTGGTCCGATGTATGCTCCAGATGAGTCAGTTGGAAGTTCAGTTCCGTCTGGGCTCACAACTGGGTAGATTGGCTTGCCAGATCCGTCAGTTGGAAGAACTTGACCATCAGCACCAACATGTGGGTAGATGTAGTTTCCAGAAGCATCCGTTGGCAGAACTTGGCCGTCTGGTCCGATTGGTTGATTGTCTTCGTTCTTCTCCACGATGGTTCCGTCATCAGTGATGAAGTTTCCAGAGGAGTCAGTGGCGAGTGGGGATCCGTCGGGCTTGGTGATTGGGTAGATGACATTTCCAGATTCATCAGTTGGAAGCACTTTGGTGACTCCTTCTTCTCCAGCTGGAACGAGAACGTAGTTGCCCTTTGAGTCAGTTGGAAGTGGAGATCCGTCTTCGCTGATTGGCTTGCCGCTCGAATCTGTCGGAATTGGTCGTCCGTCTGGTCCGATGTATGCTCCAGATGAGTCAGTTGGAAGTTCAGTTCCGTCTGGGCTCACAACTGGGTAGATTGGCTTGCCAGATCCGTCAGTTGGAAGAACTTGACCATCAGCACCAACATGTGGGTAGATGTAGTTTCCAGAAGCATCCGTTGGCAGAACTTGGCCGTCTGGTCCGATTGGTTGATTGTCTTCGTTCTTCTCCACGATGGTTCCGTCATCAGTGATGAAGTTTCCAGAGGAGTCAGTGGCGAGTGGGGATCCGTCTGGCTTGGTGATTGGGTAGATGACATTTCCAGATTCATCAGTTGGAAGCACTTTGGTGACTCCTTCTTCTCCAGCTGGAACGAGAACGTAGTTGCCCTTTGAGTCAGTTGGAAGTGGAGATCCGTCTTCGCTGATTGGCTTGCCGCTCGAATCTGTTGGAATTGGTCGTCCGTCTGGTCCGATGTAGGCTCCAGATGAGTCAGTTGGAAGTTCAGTTCCGTCTGGGCTCACAACTGGGTAGATTGGCTTGCCAGATCCGTCAGTTGGAAGAACTTGACCATCAGCACCAACATGTGGGTAGATGTAGTTTCCAGAAGCATCCGTTGGCAGAACTTGGCCGTCTGGTCCGATTGGTTGATTGTCTTCGTTCTTCTCCACGATGGTTCCGTCATCAGTGATGAAGTTTCCAGAGGAGTCAGTGGCGAGTGGGGATCCGTCTGGCTTGGTGATTGGGTAGATGACATTTCCAGATTCATCAGTTGGAAGCACTTTGGTGACTCCTTCTTCTCCAGCTGGAACGAGAACGTAGTTGCCCTTTGAGTCAGTTGGAAGTGGAGATCCGTCTTCGCTGATTGGCTTGCCGCTCGAATCTGTCGGAATTGGTCGTCCGTCTGGTCCGATGTATGCTCCAGATGAGTCAGTTGGAAGTTCAGTTCCGTCTGGGCTCACAACTGGGTAGATTGGCTTGCCAGATCCGTCAGTTGGAAGAACTTGACCATCAGCACCAACATGTGGGTAGATGTAGTTTCCAGAAGCATCCGTTGGCAGAACTTGGCCGTCTGGTCCGATTGGTTGATTGTCTTCGTTCTTCTCCACGATGGTTCCGTCATCAGTGATGAAGTTTCCAGAGGAGTCAGTGGCGAGTGGGGATCCGTCGGGCTTGGTGATTGGGTAGATGACATTTCCAGATTCATCAGTTGGAAGCACTTTGGTGACTCCTTCTTCTCCAGCTGGAACGAGAACGTAGTTGCCCTTTGAGTCAGTTGGAAGTGGAGATCCGTCTTCGCTGATTGGCTTGCCGCTCGAATCTGTCGGAATTGGTCGTCCGTCTGGTCCGATGTATGCTCCAGATGAGTCAGTTGGAAGTTCAGTTCCGTCTGGGCTCACAACTGGGTAGATTGGCTTGCCAGATCCGTCAGTTGGAAGAACTTGACCATCAGCACCAACATGTGGGTAGATGTAGTTTCCAGAAGCATCCGTTGGCAGAACTTGGCCGTCTGGTCCGATTGGTTGATTGTCTTCGTTCTTCTCCACGATGGTTCCGTCATCAGTGATGAAGTTTCCAGAGGAGTCAGTGGCGAGTGGGGATCCGTCGGGCTTGGTGATTGGGTAGATGACATTTCCAGATTCATCAGTTGGAAGCACTTTGGTGACTCCTTCTTCTCCAGCTGGAACGAGAACGTAGTTGCCCTTTGAGTCAGTTGGAAGTGGAGATCCGTCTTCGCTGATTGGCTTGCCGCTCGAATCTGTTGGAATTGGTCGTCCGTCTGGTCCGATGTAGGCTCCAGATGAGTCAGTTGGAAGTTCAGTTCCGTCTGGGCTCACAACTGGGTAGATTGGCTTGCCAGATCCGTCAGTTGGAAGAACTTGACCGTCAGCACCAACATGTGGGTAGATGTAGTTTCCAGAAGCATCCGTTGGCAGAACTTGGCCGTCTGGTCCGATTGGTTGATTGTCTTCGTTCTTCTCCACGATGGTTCCGTCATCAGTGATGAAGTTTCCAGAGGAGTCAGTGGCGAGTGGGGATCCGTCTGGCTTGGTGATTGGGTAGATGACATTTCCAGATTCATCAGTTGGAAGCACTTTGGTGACTCCTTCTTCTCCAGCTGGAACGAGAACGTAGTTGCCCTTTGAGTCAGTTGGAAGTGGAGATCCGTCTTCGCTGATTGGCTTGCCGCTCGAATCTGTCGGAATTGGTCGTCCGTCTGGTCCGATGTATGCTCCAGATGAGTCAGTTGGAAGTTCAGTTCCGTCTGGGCTCACAACTGGGTAGATTGGCTTGCCAGATCCGTCAGTTGGAAGAACTTGACCATCAGCACCAACATGTGGGTAGATGTAGTTTCCAGAAGCATCCGTTGGCAGAACTTGGCCGTCTGGTCCGATTGGTTGATTGTCTTCGTTCTTCTCCACGATGGTTCCGTCATCAGTGATGAAGTTTCCAGAGGAGTCAGTGGCGAGTGGGGATCCGTCGGGCTTGGTGATTGGGTAGATGACATTTCCAGATTCATCAGTTGGAAGCACTTTGGTGACTCCTTCTTCTCCAGCTGGAACGAGAACGTAGTTGCCCTTTGAGTCAGTTGGAAGTGGAGATCCGTCTTCGCTGATTGGCTTGCCGCTCGAATCTGTTGGAATTGGTCGTCCGTCTGGTCCGATGTAGGCTCCAGATGAGTCAGTTGGAAGTTCAGTTCCGTCTGGGCTCACAACTGGGTAGATTGGCTTGCCAGATCCGTCAGTTGGAAGAACTTGACCGTCAGCACCAACATGTGGGTAGATGTAGTTTCCAGAAGCATCCGTTGGCAGAACTTGGCCGTCTGGTCCGATTGGTTGATTGTCTTCGTTCTTCTCCACGATGGTTCCGTCATCAGTGATGAAGTTTCCAGAGGAGTCAGTGGCGAGTGGGGATCCGTCTGGCTTGGTGATTGGGTAGATGACATTTCCAGATTCATCAGTTGGAAGCACTTTGGTGACTCCTTCTTCTCCAGCTGGAACGAGAACGTAGTTGCCCTTTGAGTCAGTTGGAAGTGGAGATCCATCTTCGCTGATTGGCTTGCCGCTCGAATCTGTCGGAATTGGTCGTCCGTCTGGTCCGATGTATGCTCCAGATGAGTCAGTTGGAAGTTCAGTTCCGTCTGGGCTCACAACTGGGTAGATTGGCTTGCCAGATCCGTCAGTTGGAAGAACTTGACCATCAGCACCAACATGTGGGTAGATGTAGTTTCCAGAAGCATCCGTTGGCAGAACTTGGCCGTCTGGTCCGATTGGTTGATTGTCTTCGTTCTTCTCCACGATGGTTCCGTCATCAGTGATGAAGTTTCCAGAGGAGTCAGTGGCGAGTGGGGATCCGTCGGGCTTGGTGATTGGGTAGATGACATTTCCAGATTCATCAGTTGGAAGCACTTTGGTGACTCCTTCTTCTCCAGCTGGAACGAGAACGTAGTTGCCCTTTGAGTCAGTTGGAAGTGGAGATCCGTCTTCGCTGATTGGCTTGCCGCTCGAATCTGTCGGAATTGGTCGTCCGTCTGGTCCGATGTATGCTCCAGATGAGTCAGTTGGAAGTTCAGTTCCGTCTGGGCTCACAACTGGGTAGATTGGCTTGCCAGATCCGTCAGTTGGAAGAACTTGACCATCAGCACCAACATGTGGGTAGATGTAGTTTCCAGAAGCATCCGTTGGCAGAACTTGGCCGTCTGGTCCGATTGGTTGATTGTCTTCGTTCTTCTCCACGATGGTTCCGTCATCAGTGATGAAGTTTCCAGAGGAGTCAGTGGCGAGTGGGGATCCGTCGGGCTTGGTGATTGGGTAGATGACATTTCCAGATTCATCAGTTGGAAGCACTTTGGTGACTCCTTCTTCTCCAGCTGGAACGAGAACGTAGTTGCCCTTTGAGTCAGTTGGAAGTGGAGATCCGTCTTCGCTGATTGGCTTGCCGCTCGAATCTGTTGGAATTGGTCGTCCGTCTGGTCCGATGTAGGCTCCAGATGAGTCAGTTGGAAGTTCAGTTCCGTCTGGGCTCACAACTGGGTAGATTGGCTTGCCAGATCCGTCAGTTGGAAGAACTTGACCGTCAGCACCAACATGTGGGTAGATGTAGTTTCCAGAAGCATCCGTTGGCAGAACTTGGCCGTCTGGTCCGATTGGTTGATTGTCTTCGTTCTTCTCCACGATGGTTCCGTCATCAGTGATGAAGTTTCCAGAGGAGTCAGTGGCGAGTGGGGATCCGTCTGGCTTGGTGATTGGGTAGATGACATTTCCAGATTCATCAGTTGGAAGCACTTTGGTGACTCCTTCTTCTCCAGCTGGAACGAGAACGTAGTTGCCCTTTGAGTCAGTTGGAAGTGGAGATCCGTCTTCGCTGATTGGCTTGCCGCTCGAATCTGTCGGAATTGGTCGTCCGTCTGGTCCGATGTATGCTCCAGATGAGTCAGTTGGAAGTTCAGTTCCGTCTGGGCTCACAACTGGGTAGATTGGCTTGCCAGATCCGTCAGTTGGAAGAACTTGACCATCAGCACCAACATGTGGGTAGATGTAGTTTCCAGAAGCATCCGTTGGCAGAACTTGGCCGTCTGGTCCGATTGGTTGATTGTCTTCGTTCTTCTCCACGATGGTTCCGTCATCAGTGATGAAGTATCCAGAGGAGTCAGTGGCGAGTGGGGATCCGTCGGGCTTGGTGATTGGGTAGATGACATTTCCAGATTCATCAGTTGGAAGCACTTTGGTGACTCCTTCTTCTCCAGCTGGAACGAGAACGTAGTTGCCCTTTGAGTCAGTTGGAAGTGGAGATCCGTCTTCGCTGATTGGCTTGCCGCTCGAATCTGTTGGAATTGGTCGTCCGTCTGGTCCGATGTAGGCTCCAGATGAGTCAGTTGGAAGTTCAGTTCCGTCTGGGCTCACAACTGGGTAGATTGGCTTGCCAGATCCGTCAGTTGGAAGAACTTGACCGTCAGCACCAACATGTGGGTAGATGTAGTTTCCAGAAGCATCCGTTGGCAGAACTTGGCCGTCTGGTCCGATTGGTTGATTGTCTTCGTTCTTCTCCACGATGGTTCCGTCATCAGTGATGAAGTTTCCAGAGGAGTCAGTGGCGAGTGGGGATCCGTCTGGCTTGGTGATTGGGTAGATGACATTTCCAGATTCATCAGTTGGAAGCACTTTGGTGACTCCTTCTTCTCCAGCTGGAACGAGAACGTAGTTGCCCTTTGAGTCAGTTGGAAGTGGAGATCCATCTTCGCTGATTGGCTTGCCGCTCGAATCTGTCGGAATTGGTCGTCCGTCTGGTCCGATGTATGCTCCAGATGAGTCAGTTGGAAGTTCAGTTCCGTCTGGGCTCACAACTGGGTAGATTGGCTTGCCAGATCCGTCAGTTGGAAGAACTTGACCATCAGCACCAACATGTGGGTAGATGTAGTTTCCAGAAGCATCCGTTGGCAGAACTTGGCCGTCTGGTCCGATTGGTTGATTGTCTTCGTTCTTCTCCACGATGGTTCCGTCATCAGTGATGAAGATTCCAGAGGAGTCAGTGGCGAGTGGGGATCCGTCTGGCTTGGTGATTGGGTAGATGACATTTCCAGATTCATCAGTTGGAAGCACTTTGGTGACTCCTTCTTCTTCAGCTGGAACGAGAACGTAGTTGCCCTTTGAGTCAGTTGGAAGTGGAGATCCGTCTTCGCTGATTGGCTTGCCGCTCGAATCTGTTGGAATTGGTCGTCCGTCTGGTCCGATGTATGCTCCAGATGAGTCAGTTGGAAGTTCAGTTCCGTCTGGGCTCACAACTGGGTAGATTGGCTTGCCAGATCCGTCAGTTGGAAGAACTTGACCATCAGCACCAACATGTGGGTAGATGTAGTTTCCAGAAGCATCCGTTGGCAGAACTTGGCCGTCTGGTCCGATTGGTTGATTGTCTTCGTTCTTCTCCACGATGGTTCCGTCATCAGTGATGAAGTTTCCAGAGGAGTCAGTGGCGAGTGGGGATCCATCGGGCTTGGTGATTGGGTAGATGACATTTCCAGATTCATCAGTTGGAAGCACTTTGGTGACTCCTTCTTCTCCAGCTGGAACGAGAACGTAGTTGCCCTTTGAGTCAGTTGGAAGTGGAGATCCGTCTTCGCTGATTGGCTTGCCGCTCGAATCTGTTGGAATTGGTCGTCCGTCTGGTCCGATGTAGGCTCCAGATGAGTCAGTTGGAAGTTCAGTTCCGTCTGGGCTCACAACTGGGTAGATTGGCTTGCCAGATCCGTCAGTTGGAAGAACTTGACCATCAGCACCAACATGTGGGTAGATGTAGTTTCCAGAAGCATCCGTTGGCAGAACTTGGCCGTCTGGTCCGATTGGTTGATTGTCTTCGTTCTTCTCCACGATGGTTCCGTCATCAGTGATGAAGTTTCCAGAGGAGTCAGTGGCGAGTGGAGATCCGTCGGGCTTGGTGATTGGGTAGATGACATTTCCAGATTCATCTGTTGGTAATGCAGTAGCCGTTTCAGGCACATGAGGTTCGACAACATATCTACCCAAGTTATCAGTTGCAAGTGGTGTTCCATCTTCCTTCAGCGGGTGTCCGGAAGAATCGGTCGCAATCACTTTTCCATCGGGCCCTATTATTGATCCAGCGTTGTCTGTTGGCATAGGTGAGCCATCAGGTGACACAATAGTAGCTGTTGTTGGCTGCAGCGTTTTTGGTTTGATGAACTGTCCTTCCTTGTTTTTTGGCAACGGTTGTCCTTTCTCGTCGATTGGTTGCCCCTGTTTATTAGTCGGATAAATATTCCCTTCGGAATCTTTGAAAAGACCATCTTCTTCAATAATCGGGTCACCATCAATTGTTACCAGTGGAATTATGGGCTGTTCGGATTCTTCTGATTCTTCCTCGTCAGCTCCATCTTTATCTGCTACCACAAATTTTCCAGATTCGTCTACCTTGTATGGCTGCCCGTTTTTATCTAGCGGTCTTCCAAGTTCATCAGTGTCAACGTTGTTTCCGGATAAGTTAATCCAATTTCCATCTTCGTTTTGTTTGAATTCATTTCCTTTGTTGTCTATCACGGTGATTATTGGTTTATCATTCTCATCGGTTGTCAATGGTCTTCCAAGTGCGTCGACCAATGGGTATATCCATTCACCTTTTTCATTTTGCTTTTTATCTGCTCCTTGTGGGAACTTCGGTTCATTTCCTTCAATTTCGATAATATTTCCGTTATTGTCCAAGTAGTTTCCTGATGAATCTGTGGGTAATGGCTTTCCACTTTGGTCCAATATGACTGGTATCGAAGAGGCTTGCGTCGCTGGAATGTCTTGAAGTGCGAGTTTGGTTTGATCTGGAGGTAAAACATATCTTCCACGCTCGCATTCTTTTTCGATCTTCGTCCGGATGACGGATAAGGGTGACGAGACCTTTGATGTCACGTAAAGAATTCCTCTGATTATCTTGTTTTCTTCAGCAATAGGCTTAATAACAATAACAACTTTACCAGCCGAAACTCTTGGAAATGAGTTAAACTGTTGATTGGCCGCTTCCACATACGACACCATATCGCTAGATTGTGCGACTGGCAGCTGGTATGATTTCAAAATTGCTGATAAATGTTCTCGTTCTTGATAGCCACCCAACGAAAGCGGTACTGACACAAAATCAGCAACTGCTAATACGGCGATGCGGTGTACATCAGGGGACATATCGATGACGCGTGTATACTCGACAACCAATTGTTTGAATTTGTCAAAATCAGATTCGGTGTTTTCCGAGTTGACAAAAACGAAAATAGTATCGACCAATGATGATGATAAACTACATTTTGGTGAAACATTTACGCTTGTTTCTGGATAGATGTAGTTTCCAGAAGCATCAGTTGGCAGAACTTGGCCGTCTGGTCCGATTGATTGATTGTCTTCGTTCTTCTCCACGATGGTTCCGTCATCAGTGATGAAGTTTCCAGACGAGTCAGTGGCGAGTGGGGATCCGTCGGGCTTGGTGATTGGGTAGATGACATTTCCAGATTCATCAGTTGGAAGCACCTTGGTGACTCCTTCTTCTCCAGCTGGAACGAGAACGTAGTTGCCCTTTGAGTCAGTTGGAAGCGGAGATCCGTCTTCGCTGACTGGCTTGCCGCTCGAATCTGTTGGAATTGGTCGTCCGTCTGGTCCGATGTATGCTCCAGATGAGTCAGTTGGAAGTTCAGTTCCATCTGGGCTCACAACTGGGTAGATTGGCTTGCCAGATCCGTCAGTTGGAAGAACTTGACCATCAGCACCAACGTGTGGGTAGATGTAGTTTCCAGAATCATCCGTTGGCAGAACTTGGCCGTCTGGTCCGATTGGTTGATTGTCTTCGTTCTTCTCCACGATGGTTCCGTCATCAGTGATGAAGTTTCCAGACGAGTCAGTGGCGAGTGGGGATCCGTCGGGCTTGGTGATTGGGTAGATGACATTTCCAGATTCATCAGTTGGAAGCACTTTGGTGACTCCTTCTTCTCCAGCTGGAACGAGAACGTAGTTGCCCTTTGAGTCAGTTGGAAGTGGAGATCCGTCTTCGCTGATTGGCTTGCCGCTCGAATCTGTTGGAATTGGTCGTCCGTCTGGTCCGATGTATGCTCCAGATGAGTCAGTTGGAAGTTCAGTTCCGTCTGGGCTCACAACTGGGTAGATTGGCTTGCCAGATCCGTCAGTTGGAAGAACTTGACCATCAGCACCAACGTGTGGGTAGATGTAGTTTCCAGAATCATCCGTTGGCAGAACTTGGCCGTCTGGTCCGATTGGTTGATTGTCTTCGTTCTTCTCCACGATGGTTCCGTCATCAGTGATGAAGTTTCCAGACGAGTCAGTGGCGAGTGGGGATCCGTCGGGCTTGGTGATTGGGTAGATGACATTTCCAGATTCATCAGTTGGAAGCACTTTGGTGACTCCTTCTTCTCCAGCTGGAACGAGAACGTAGTTGCCCTTTGAGTCAGTTGGAAGTGGAGATCCGTCTTCGCTGATTGGCTTGCCGCTCGAATCTGTTGGAATTGGTCGTCCGTCTGGTCCGATGTATGCTCCAGATGAGTCAGTTGGAAGTTCAGTTCCGTCTGGGCTCACAACTGGGTAGATTGGCTTGCCAGATCCGTCAGTTGGAAGAACTTGACCATCAGCACCAACGTGTGGGTAGATGTAGTTTCCAGAATCATCCGTTGGCAGAACTTGGCCGTCTGGTCCGATTGGTTGATTGTCTTCGTTCTTCTCCACGATGGTTCCGTCATCAGTGATGAAGTTTCCAGACGAGTCAGTGGCGAGTGGGGATCCGTCGGGCTTGGTGATTGGGTAGATGACATTTCCAGATTCATCAGTTGGAAGCACCTTGGTGACTCCTTCTTCTCCAGCTGGAACGAGAACGTAGTTGCCCTTTGAGTCAGTTGGAAGCGGAGATCCGTCTTCGCTGACTGGCTTGCCGCTCGAATCTGTTGGAATTGGTCGTCCGTCTGGTCCGATGTATGCTCCAGATGAGTCAGTTGGAAGTTCAGTTCCATCTGGGCTCACAACTGGGTAGATTGGCTTGCCAGATCCGTCAGTTGGAAGAACTTGACCATCAGCACCAACGTGTGGGTAGATGTAGTTTCCAGAATCATCCGTTGGAAGAACTTGGCCGTCTGGTCCGATTGGTTGATTGTCTTCGTTCTTCTCCACGATGGTTCCGTCATCAGTGATGAAGTTTCCAGACGAGTCAGTGGCGAGTGGGGATCCGTCGGGCTTGGTGATTGGGTAGATGACATTTCCAGATTCATCAGTTGGAAGCACTTTGGTGACTCCTTCTTCTCCAGCTGGAACGAGAACGTAGTTGCCCTTTGAGTCAGTTGGAAGTGGAGATCCGTCTTCGCTGATTGGCTTGCCGCTCGAATCTGTTGGAATTGGTCGTCCGTCTGGTCCGATGTATGCTCCAGATGAGTCAGTTGGAAGTTCAGTTCCGTCTGGGCTCACAACTGGGTAGATTGGCTTGCCAGATCCGTCAGTTGGAAGAACTTGACCATCAGCACCAACGTGTGGGTAGATGTAGTTTCCAGAATCATCCGTTGGCAGAACTTGGCCGTCTGGTCCGATTGGTTGATTGTCTTCGTTCTTCTCCACGATGGTTCCGTCATCAGTGATGAAGTTTCCAGACGAGTCAGTGGCGAGTGGGGATCCGTCGGGCTTGGTGATTGGGTAGATGACATTTCCAGATTCATCAGTTGGAAGCACCTTGGTGACTCCTTCTTCTCCAGCTGGAACGAGAACGTAGTTGCCCTTTGAGTCAGTTGGAAGCGGAGATCCGTCTTCGCTGACTGGCTTGCCGCTCGAATCTGTTGGAATTGGTCGTCCGTCTGGTCCGATGTATGCTCCAGATGAGTCAGTTGGAAGTTCAGTTCCATCTGGGCTCACAACTGGGTAGATTGGCTTGCCAGATCCGTCAGTTGGAAGAACTTGACCATCAGCACCAACGTGTGGGTAGATGTAGTTTCCAGAATCATCCGTTGGCAGAACTTGGCCGTCTGGTCCGATTGGTTGATTGTCTTCGTTCTTCTCCACGATGGTTCCGTCATCAGTGATGAAGTTTCCAGACGAGTCAGTGGCGAGTGGGGATCCGTCGGGCTTGGTGATTGGGTAGATGACATTTCCAGATTCATCAGTTGGAAGCACTTTGGTGACTCCTTCTTCTCCAGCTGGAACGAGAACGTAGTTGCCCTTTGAGTCAGTTGGAAGTGGAGATCCGTCTTCGCTGATTGGCTTGCCGCTCGAATCTGTTGGAATTGGTCGTCCGTCTGGTCCGATGTATGCTCCAGATGAGTCAGTTGGAAGTTCAGTTCCGTCTGGGCTCACAACTGGGTAGATTGGCTTGCCAGATCCGTCAGTTGGAAGAACTTGACCATCAGCACCAACGTGTGGGTAGATGTAGTTTCCAGAATCATCCGTTGGCAGAACTTGGCCGTCTGGTCCGATTGGTTGATTGTCTTCGTTCTTCTCCACGATGGTTCCGTCATCAGTGATGAAGTTTCCAGACGAGTCAGTGGCGAGTGGGGATCCGTCGGGCTTGGTGATTGGGTAGATGACATTTCCAGATTCATCAGTTGGAAGCACTTTGGTGACTCCTTCTTCTCCAGCTGGAACGAGAACGTAGTTGCCCTTTGAGTCAGTTGGAAGTGGAGATCCGTCTTCGCTGATTGGCTTGCCGCTCGAATCTGTTGGAATTGGTCGTCCGTCTGGTCCGATGTATGCTCCAGATGAGTCAGTTGGAAGTTCAGTTCCGTCTGGGCTCACAACTGGGTAGATTGGCTTGCCAGATCCGTCAGTTGGAAGAACATGACCATCAGCACCAACGTGTGGGTAGATGTAGTTTCCAGAATCATCCGTTGGCAGAACTTGGCCGTCTGGTCCGATTGGTTGATTGTCTTCGTTCTTCTCCACGATGGTTCCGTCATCAGTGATGAAGTTTCCAGACGAGTCAGTGGCGAGTGGGGATCCGTCGGGCTTGGTGATTGGGTAGATGACATTACCAGATTCATCAGTTGGAAGCACTTTGGTGACTCCTTCTTCTCCAGCTGGAACGAGAACGTAGTTGCCCTTTGAGTCAGTTGGAAGTGGAGATCCGTCTTCGCTGATTGGCTTGCCGCTCGAATCTGTTGGAATTGGTCGTCCGTCTGGTCCGATGTATGCTCCAGATGAGTCAGTTGGAAGTTCAGTTCCGTCTGGGCTCACAACTGGGTAGATTGGCTTGCCAGATCCGTCAGTTGGAAGAACTTGACCATCAGCACCAACGTGTGGGTAGATGTAGTTTCCAGAATCATCCGTTGGCAGAACTTGGCCGTCTGGTCCGATTGGTTGATTGTCTTCGTTCTTCTCCACGATGGTTCCGTCATCAGTGATGAAGTTTCCAGACGAGTCAGTGGCGAGTGGGGATCCGTCGGGCTTGGTGATTGGGTAGATGACATTACCAGATTCATCAGTTGGAAGCACTTTGGTGACTCCTTCTTCTCCAGCTGGAACGAGAACGTAGTTGCCCTTTGAGTCAGTTGGAAGTGGAGATCCGTCTTCGCTGATTGGCTTGCCGCTCGAATCTGTTGGAATTGGTCGTCCGTCTGGTCCGATGTATGCTCCAGATGAGTCAGTTGGAAGTTCAGTTCCGTCTGGGCTCACAACTGGGTAGATTGGCTTGCCAGATCCGTCAGTTGGAAGAACTTGACCATCAGCACCAACGTGTGGGTAGATGTAGTTTCCAGAATCATCCGTTGGCAGAACTTGGCCGTCTGGTCCGATTGGTTGATTGTCTTCGTTCTTCTCCACGATGGTTCCGTCATCAGTGATGAAGTTTCCAGACGAGTCAGTGGCGAGTGGGGATCCGTCGGGCTTGGTGATTGGGTAGATGACATTTCCAGATTCATCAGTTGGAAGCACCTTGGTGACTCCTTCTTCTCCAGCTGGAACGAGAACGTAGTTGCCCTTTGAGTCAGTTGGAAGCGGAGATCCGTCTTCGCTGACTGGCTTGCCGCTCGAATCTGTTGGAATTGGTCGTCCGTCTGGTCCGATGTATGCTCCAGATGAGTCAGTTGGAAGTTCAGTTCCGTCTGGGCTCACAACTGGGTAGATTGGCTTGCCAGATCCGTCAGTTGGAAGAACTTGACCATCAGCACCAACGTGTGGGTAGATGTAGTTTCCAGAATCATCCGTTGGCAGAACTTGGCCGTCTGGTCCGATTGGTTGATTGTCTTCGTTCTTCTCCACGATGGTTCCGTCATCAGTGATGAAGTTTCCAGACGAGTCAGTGGCGAGTGGGGATCCGTCGGGCTTGGTGATTGGGTAGATGACATTACCAGATTCATCAGTTGGAAGCACTTTGGTGACTCCTTCTTCTCCAGCTGGAACGAGAACGTAGTTGCCCTTTGAGTCAGTTGGAAGTGGAGATCCGTCTTCGCTGATTGGCTTGCCGCTCGAATCTGTTGGAATTGGTCGTCCGTCTGGTCCGATGTATGCTCCAGATGAGTCAGTTGGAAGTTCAGTTCCGTCTGGGCTCACAACTGGGTAGATTGGCTTGCCAGATCCGTCAGTTGGAAGAACTTGACCATCAGCACCAACGTGTGGGTAGATGTAGTTTCCAGAATCATCCGTTGGCAGAACTTGGCCGTCTGGTCCGATTGGTTGATTGTCTTCGTTCTTCTCCACGATGGTTCCGTCATCAGTGATGAAGTTTCCAGACGAGTCAGTGGCGAGTGGGGATCCGTCGGGCTTGGTGATTGGGTAGATGACATTTCCAGATTCATCAGTTGGAAGCACCTTGGTGACTCCTTCTTCTCCAGCTGGAACGAGAACGTAGTTGCCCTTTGAGTCAGTTGGAAGTGGAGATCCGTCTTCGCTGACTGGCTTGCCGCTCGAATCTGTTGGAATAGGTCGTCCGTCTGGTCCGATGTATGCTCCAGATGAGTCAGTTGGAAGTTCAGTTCCGTCTGGGCTCACAACTGGGTAGATTGGCTTGCCAGATCCGTCGGTTGGAAGAACTTGACCATCAGCACCAACATGCGGGTAGATGTAGTTTCCAGAAGCATCCGTTGGCAGAACTTGGCCGTCTGGTCCGATTGGTTGATTGTCTTCGTTCTTCTCCACGATGGTTCCGTCATCAGTGATGAAGTTTCCAGAGGAGTCAGTGGCGAGTGGTGTTCCGTCGGGCTTGGTGATTGGGTAGATGACATTTCCAGATTCGTCAGTCGGTGGTATAATACTAGTTTCGTCTTCAGACTCTATATTTTCTATAAAGTTTCCGTCCGAATCTGTTGGCATTACGGATGGTGCAGGCACTAAAATGAAAAAGTGTTTTTTTTTTATTTTTATTTACTGAGTTACCCTCAGGTGGAACGCAGACATAACTGCGAATCATTTCTGCCCGTTCTGGCTCATTGTCCCATTTGTTCAAATCAATATGAATTAGACGTGTGTTTGGAGCTTGGCGGATGCGTTCTATGACTTCTTGGCTATTTTTTCTAAAAAAGAAACAGTTCTTAAATATAAATATATATATACATATATGTACATATGTATTTTGGCAGCTGCGCTTGTTTTGATTTAGTGCTCAACCTATCTATTTTGAAATACATCCTAGTAGGACGCAAGAACTTCAGATCCTTTTGTTACGTTATTACTTAGAAATATTGAAACACTGGGAGTTCTTTCGCCGAGTTTTCTTGAATTACAACCATTAGGTATGAAATTAAGACGTGTTTTGAGTTAGAAAATAATTCAGGATGCGTTTATAAATGTGATGTATAACGATTTCGTAGATTTCATAACATTTTCGATATTTTAGAATAATTTCGGAAATATTTCCGCGGTAATATGTTTTCCTAATTTCTTGTAAGTCGACAAAAATAGTGCCCCATATATGAAATAATATTTTTTCCGGGCTTGTGAAATCCTGTTCTAATCCGGCCGCCAGTTTTCTGTTCAGTTTCGAAATTGATGAGACTGATCTTTCTCGGTGCTACATTTTGTTTTTTGATAATATTAGGGAAATGGTGCAAATATTTTATTTTTATGTTTACAACGATCCGTGCAATAACATGGTGGTTCGCGGAGTAGAACTGGCGTGAATTGAATTTGTTTTTTTTCTTAAATTTTGAATTATTTCTATTAACAACCAAGTTCAATTTTTAAGAGTTCTACTCTGTGGTAATCATCTATAAGATTGGAATGATATTAAAATTGGTTTGGTTTTTGTTTATCGAGGCCAATAAAAAAATATAGTCTGCGTCCGGCGACAAATGTATGACTGATAGATTTACGGGCATACGTGTTTCGCTATTGTCTCGTGCGGGATAACTGGTTATCTCGCACCCTAGGGGCCATTTACACAAAGAAAACGCTCAATTCTAATTTGAGATATGTACTTTATAATGAGACAATTTGTCTAAAACTAAGTGCTTACCTCATTGGAGATGCAACAAAATGAAGAACTACTGTGTTTCCACGATCCGTTTCTTTCAATATCATCTCTGCAGTTTTTAGAGCGTTTGGTGCATCTGGGATTCCGCCGATTTCACGTATTTCGTCCATTGAACGGTATAATTCATTAAAACCAGAGTAACTTCCAATATCGATAGTTACTTCAGCAGTTGCACTGTAGATAATTTTTCCTATTTCCGGAAGATAATCTTTTGGTGTTTTCAAAAGGAAATCTTTTAGAACGCGTTTAACTTTTTCCAAGTACGGTTCAGCGGCATGTGATGCTTCGACAACGATCAGTAAAGTGTTGATCTTTCCGCCAACGCTATCACAGTTTGGTTCTTCCGGGCTACGTATTATTTCATCTATGGAAGCGGTTGGCAAAACTACGTAGTTGCCCTTTGAGTCAGTTGGAAGTGGAGATCCGTCTTCGCTGATTGGCTTGCCGCTCGAATCTGTTGGAATTGGTCGTCCGTCTGGTCCGATGTATGCTCCAGATGAGTCAGTTGGAAGTTCAGTTCCGTCTGGGCTCACAACTGGGTAGATTGGCTTGCCAGATCCGTCAGTTGGAAGAACTTGACCATCAGCACCAACATGTGGGTAGATGTAGTTTCCAGAAGCATCCGTTGGCAGAACTTGGCCGTCTGGTCCGATTGGTTGATTGTCTTCGTTCTTCTCCACGATGGTTCCGTCATCAGTGATGAAGTTTCCAGAAGAGTCAGTGGCGAGTGGTGTTCCGTCGGGCTTGGTGATTGGGTAGATGACATTTCCAGATTCATCAGTCGGAAGCACCTTGGTGACTCCTTCTTCTCCAGCTGGAACGAGAACGTAATTGCCCTTTGAGTCCGTTGGAAGTGGAGATCCGTCTTCGCTGACTGGCTTGCCGCTCGAATCTGTTGGAATTGGTCGTCCGTCTGGTCCGATGTATGCTCCAGATGAGTCAGTTGGAAGTTCAGTTCCATCTGGGCTCACAACTGGGTAGATTGGCTTGCCAGATTCGTCAGTTGGAAGAACTTGACCATCAGCACCAACATGTGGGTAGATGTAGTTTCCAGAAGCATCCGTTGGCAGAACTTGGCCGTCTGGTCCGATTGGTTGATTGTCTTCGTTCTTCTCCACGATGGTTCCGTCATCAGTGATGAAGTTTCCAGAGGAGTCAGTGGCGAGTGGTGTTCGTCGGGCTTACTTTAAGAGGCTCTGGTCCGATTGGTTGATTGTCTTCGTTCTTCTCCACGATGGTTCCGTCATCAGTGATGAAGTTTCCAGAGGAGTCAGTGGCGAGTGGTGTTCCGTCGGGCTTGGTGATTGGGTAGATGACATTTCCAGATTCATCAGTTGGAAGCACCTTGGTGACTCCTTCTTCTCCAGCTGGAACGAGAACGTAGTTGCCCTTTGAGTCAGTTGGAAGTGGAGATCCGTCTTCGCTGATTGGCTTGCCGCTCGAATCTGTCGGAATTGGTCGTCCGTCTGGTCCGATGTATGCTCCAGATGAGTCAGTTGGAAGTTCAGTTCCGTCTGGGCTCACAACTGGGTAGATTGGCTTGCCAGATCCGTCAGTTGGAAGAACTTGACCATCAGCACCAACATGTGGGTAGATGTAGTTTCCAGAAGCATCCGTTGGCAGAACTTGGCCGTCTGGTCCGATTGGTTGATTGTCTTCGTTCTTCTCCACGATGGTTCCGTCATCAGTGATGAAGTTTCCAGAGGAGTCAGTGGCGAGTGGTGTTCCGTCGGGCTTGGTGATTGGGTAGATGACATTTCCAGATTCATCAGTTGGAAGCACCTTGGTGACTCCTTCTTCTCCAGCTGGAACGAGAACGTAGTTGCCCTTTGAGTCAGTTGGAAGTGGAGATCCGTCTTCGCTGATTGGCTTGCCGCTCGAATCTGTTGGAATTGGCCGTCCGTCTGGTCCGATGTATGCTCCAGATGAGTCAGTTGGAAGTTCAGTTCCGTCTGGGCTCACAACTGGGTAGATTGGCTTGCCAGATCCGTCAGTTGGAAGAACTTGACCATCAGCACCAACATGTGGGTAGATGTAGTTTCCAGAAGCATCCGTTGGCAGAACTTGGCCGTCTGGTCCGATTGGTTGATTGTCTTCGTTCTTCTCCACGATGGTTCCGTCATCAGTGATGAAGTTTCCAGAGGAGTCAGTGGCGAGTGGTGTTCCGTCGGGCTTGGTGATTGGGTAGATGACATTTCCAGATTCATCAGTTGGAAGCACCTTGGTGACTCCTTCTTCTCCAGCTGGAACGAGAACGTAGTTGCCCTTTGAGTCAGTTGGAAGTGGAGATCCGTCTTCGCTGATTGGCTTGCCGCTCGAATCTGTCGGAATTGGTCGTCCGTCTGGTCCGATGTATGCTCCAGATGAGTCAGTTGGAAGTTCAGTTCCGTCTGGGCTCACAACTGGGTAGATTGGCTTGCCAGATCCGTCAGTTGGAAGAACTTGACCATCAGCACCAACATGTGGGTAGATGTAGTTTCCAGAAGCATCCGTTGGCAGAACTTGGCCGTCTGGTCCGATTGGTTGATTGTCTTCGTTCTTCTCCACGATGGTTCCGTCATCAGTGATGAAGTTTCCAGAGGAGTCAGTGGCGAGTGGTGTTCCGTCGGGCTTGGTGATTGGGTAGATGACATTTCCAGATTCATCAGTTGGAAGCACCTTGGTGACTCCTTCTTCTCCAGCTGGAACGAGAACGTAGTTGCCCTTTGAGTCAGTTGGAAGTGGAGATCCGTCTTCGCTGATTGGCTTGCCGCTCGAATCTGTTGGAATTGGTCGTCCGTCTGGTCCGATGTATGCTCCAGATGAGTCAGTTGGAAGTTCAGTTCCGTCTGGGCTCACAACTGGGTAGATTGGCTTGCCAGATCCGTCAGTTGGAAGAACTTGACCATCAGCACCAACATGTGGGTAGATGTAGTTTCCAGAAGCATCCGTTGGCAGAACTTGGCCGTCTGGTCCGATTGGTTGATTGTCTTCGTTCTTCTCCACGATGGTTCCGTCATCAGTGATGAAGTTTCCAGAGGAGTCAGTGGCGAGTGGTGTTCCGTCGGGCTTGGTGATTGGGTAGATGACATTTCCAGATTCATCAGTTGGAAGCACCTTGGTGACTCCTTCTTCTCCAGCTGGAACGAGAACGTAGTTGCCCTTTGAGTCAGTTGGAAGTGGAGATCCGTCTTCGCTGATTGGCTTGCCGCTCGAATCTGTTGGAATTGGCCGTCCGTCTGGTCCGATGTATGCTCCAGATGAGTCAGTTGGAAGTTCAGTTCCGTCTGGGCTCACAACTGGGTAGATTGGCTTGCCAGATCCGTCAGTTGGAAGAACTTGACCATCAGCACCAACATGTGGGTAGATGTAGTTTCCAGAAGCATCCGTTGGCAGAACTTGGCCGTCTGGTCCGATTGGTTGATTGTCTTCGTTCTTCTCCACGATGGTTCCGTCATCAGTGATGAAGTTTCCAGAGGAGTCAGTGGCGAGTGGTGTTCCGTCGGGCTTGGTGATTGGGTAGATGACATTTCCAGATTCATCAGTTGGAAGCACCTTGGTGACTCCTTCTTCTCCAGCTGGAACGAGAACGTAGTTGCCCTTTGAGTCAGTTGGAAGTGGAGATCCGTCTTCGCTGATTGGCTTGCCGCTCGAATCTGTTGGAATTGGCCGTCCGTCTGGTCCGATGTATGCTCCAGATGAGTCAGTTGGAAGTTCAGTTCCGTCTGGGCTCACAACTGGGTAGATTGGCTTGCCAGATCCGTCAGTTGGAAGAACTTGACCATCAGCACCAACATGTGGGTAGATGTAGTTTCCAGAAGCATCCGTTGGCAGAACTTGGCCGTCTGGTCCGATTGGTTGATTGTCTTCGTTCTTCTCCACGATGGTTCCGTCATCAGTGATGAAGTTTCCAGAGGAGTCAGTGGCGAGTGGTGTTCCGTCGGGCTTGGTGATTGGGTAGATGACATTTCCAGATTCATCAGTTGGAAGCACCTTGGTGACTTCTTCTTCTCCAGCTAGAACGAGAACGTAGTTGCCCTTTGAGTCAGTTGGAAGTGGAGATCCGTCTTCGCTGATTGGCTTGCCGCTCGAATCTGTTGGAATTGGCCGTCCGTCTGGTCCGATGTATGCTCCAGATGAGTCAGTTGGAAGTTCAGTTCCGTCTGGGCTCACAACTGGGTAGATTGGCTTGCCAGATCCGTCAGTTGGAAGAACTTGACCATCAGCACCAACATGTGGGTAGATGTAGTTTCCAGAAGCATCCGTTGGCAGAACTTGGCCGTCTGGTCCGATTGGTTGATTGTCTTCGTTCTTCTCCACGATGGTTCCGTCATCAGTGATGAAGTTTCCAGAGGAGTCAGTGGCGAGTGGTGTTCCGTCGGGCTTGGTGATTGGGTAGATGACATTTCCAGATTCATCAGTTGGAAGCACCTTGGTGACTCCTTCTTCTCCAGCTAGAACAAGAACGTAGTTGCCCTTTGAGTCAGTTGGAAGTGGAGATCCGTCTTCGCTGATTGGCTTGCCGCTCGAATCTGTTGGAATTGGCCGTCCGTCTGGTCCGATGTATGCTCCAGATGAGTCAGTTGGAAGTTCAGTTCCGTCTGGGCTCACAACTGGGTAGATTGGCTTGCCAGATCCGTCAGTTGGAAGAACTTGACCATCAGCACCAACATGTGGGTAGATGTAGTTTCCAGAAGCATCCGTTGGCAGAACTTGGCCGTCTGGTCCGATTGGTTGATTGTCTTCGTTCTTCTCCACGATGGTTCCGTCATCAGTGATGAAGTTTCCAGAGGAGTCAGTGGCGAGTGGTGTTCCGTCGGGCTTGGTGATTGGGTAGATGACATTTCCAGATTCATCAGTTGGAAGCACCTTGGTGACTTCTTCTTCTCCAGCTAGAACGAGAACGTAGTTGCCCTTTGAGTCAGTTGGAAGTGGAGATCCGTCTTCGCTGATTGGCTTGCCGCTCGAATCTGTTGGAATTGGCCGTCCGTCTGGTCCGATGTATGCTCCAGATGAGTCAGTTGGAAGTTCAGTTCCGTCTGGGCTCACAACTGGGTAGATTGGCTTGCCAGATCCGTCAGTTGGAAGAACTTGACCATCAGCACCAACATGTGGGTAGATGTAGTTTCCAGAAGCATCCGTTGGCAGAACTTGGCCGTCTGGTCCGATTGGTTGATTGTCTTCGTTCTTCTCCACGATGGTTCCGTCATCAGTGATGAAATTTCCAGAGGAGTCAGTGGCGAGTGGTGTTCCGTCGGGCTTGGTGATTGGGTAGATGACATTTCCAGATTCATCAGTTGGAAGCACCTTGGTGACTCCTTCTTCTCCAGCTGGAACGAGAACGTAGTTGCCTTTTGAGTCAGTTGGAAGCGGAGATCCGTCTTCGCTGATTGGCTTGCCGCTCGAATCTGTTGGAATTGGCCGTCCGTCTGGTCCGATGTATGCTCCAGATGAGTCAGTTGGAAGTTCAGTTCCGTCTGGGCTCACAACTGGGTAGATTGGCTTGCCAGATCCGTCAGTTGGAAGAACTTGACCATCAGCACCAACATGTGGGTAGATGTAGTTTCCAGAAGCATCCGTTGGCAGAACTTGGCCGTCTGGTCCGATTGGTTGATTGTCTTCGTTCTTCTCCACGATGGTTCCGTCATCAGTGATGAAATTTCCAGAGGAGTCAGTGGCGAGTGGTGTTCCGTCGGGCTTGGTGATTGGGTAGATGACATTTCCAGATTCATCAGTTGGAAGCACCTTGGTGACTCCTTCTTCTCCAGCTGGAACGAGAACGTAGTTGCCTTTTGAGTCAGTTGGAAGCGGAGATCCGTCTTCGCTGATTGGCTTGCCGCTCGAATCTGTTGGAATTGGTCGTCCGTCTGGTCCGATGTAGGCTCCAGATGAGTCAGTTGGAAGTTCAGTTCCGTCTGGGCTCACAACTGGGTAGATTGGCTTGCCAGATCCGTCAGTTGGAAGAACTTGACCATCAGCACCAACATGTGGGTAGATGTAGTTTCCAGAAGCATCCGTTGGCAGAACTAGGCCGTCTGGTCCGATTGGTTTATTGTCTTCGTTCTTCTCCACGATGGTTCCGTCATCAGTGATGTAGTTTCCAGAGGAGTCAGTGGCGAGTGGTGTTCCGTCGGGCTTGGTGATTGGGTAGATGACATTTCCAGATTCATCAGTTGGAAGCACCTTGGTGACTCCTTCTTCTCCAGCTGGAACGAGAACGTAGTTGCCTTTTGAGACAGTTGGAAGCGGAGATCCGTCTTCGCTGACTGGCTTGCCGCTCGAATCTGTTGGAATTGGTCGTCCGTCTGGTCCGATATATGCTCCAGATGAGTCAGTTGGAAGTTCAGTTCCGTCTGGGCTCACAACTGGGTAGATTGGCTTGCCAGATCCGTCAGTTGGAAGAACTTGACCATCAGCACCAACATGTGGGTAGATGTAGTTTCCAGAAGCATCCGTTGGAAGAACTTGGCCGTCTGGTCCGATTGGTTGATTGTCTTCGTTCTTCTCCACGATGGTTCCGTCATCAGTGATGAAGTTTCCAGAGGAGTCAGTGGCGAGTGGGGTTCCGTCAGGTTTCATTATCGGATATATAATATTCCCAGCTTCATCTGTTGGTAACGTCACTTCTCTGGTTTCATCGTTCTTTGGAAGAATGAGGAAATTGCCGGATGAATCAGTCGGAAGTGGTGAACCATCTTGATTAACTGGTTTGCCGCTAGAATCTGTGCTGAGAGTCTGTCCATCAGCAGTTATAATTGCACCAGTGGAGTCAGTGGCAAGTTGTTTTCCGTCCGCGTCAACGACGAGATAGATGGGTCTTCCGCTGGCATCTGTTGGCAATACTTGTCCGTTTTTGTCAATGAATGGATACACGTATGAATCGGTATTGTCGGTTGGCAGTATTCGTCCATCCGGATCCATTGGATTTCCTTCGTCGTCAATTTGAACAATATCACCGACTGTGTTGATATAGTTTCGGCTTGAATCAGTTGCCAAAAGCGTGCCATCGGGAAGCTTAATGGGACGAATGATTTTTCCGGTTTCGTCTGTAGGGAAAATGCTTTGTTCCGTTTCAGGAGTCGGGAAAACGAATCTTCCTTCGGAATCTCTTGGCAATGACGACCCATCAATATTAAGTGGGTTTCCACTGGAATCAGTCGGTAGAGGAAAACCGTCGTGTCCGATTATCGCTCCAGAATCGTCGGTAGGCAGTTGTGAGCCATGGATGTCAACAACTGTTGGCGTTGTGGCGGATACTGCTTTTGGCATCACAAACTTTCCTTCTTTGTTCTTGGGGAGCGGTTTTCCTTGATTATCGATTGGCTCACCCTTTTCATTCGTCTTGATTTCATTGCCATCAGCATCTCGGAATGTTCCATCATTATCTTCAGTGATTGGATCGCCATCGACAATTACCAGTGGAATGAAACTCTGACCATCATCCTCATCATAATCCTCTTCTATGGCACCATCAATGTCTTGAACTACAAATCTTCCTTGGTCGTCGACGAGATACGGATTTCCGCTTTCATCAAGCGGTCTTCCGAGAGCATCGGAATTGATTTCATTTCCATTTAGGTCGACCCATTTGCCCTCGTCATCTTTCGTCATTGGATTTCCGTCTTTATCGACAACAGTGATAATCGGCTGATTCTCATCATCCAGAGGCAGCACGTTTCCGGATCTATCAACCAATGGATAGATCCATTCTCCCTTATCGTTCTGGTCGAGTTGAACACCGCTTGGCGCCACCGGTTTTCCATCATCGTCGAACTTGATGATTTTTCCGGAGCTGTCGACCTCTTTGCCGTGCTTGTTCTTGAATAGTGGCTTGCCGTCTGGTCCGACAACTGCTTGACGCGGTTTGGCGGTTGAGAGTTCTTGAGGCTCTTTGGTTGTGATTGAGGGCGGTGTAACTTGCAAGATGTTTTGCGACGTGGCGGTGTCAGTGTCGCGTTCGCACGTTTTGCCATCGCTTGCCAAAACGAATCCCTCGTGACAATAGCACTTTGGAATGAGTTTGTCATCGTCGTTGATCTCAAAAGTGCATGCGTGATCACATTCACACGAAACGTCTGTAAATGATCAATACCATTGCAATCATGCTTGATTTTCACAAACCACGTGGCGGTGTTTTGATGATGATCGGTTCACTCGGAAGATCTTGACCTTCGAGGAATTCGGCGGCGACTTGCACGTTGTACTCGGTGTCTGGCTCGAGACCATCGACAACTACACCCGTTGTAACGTCGACTGGAGTCGTAAACTTTTTCACGACACTTGGATCATCCGACTTCCAAACGCTAATTGTATATTCTTTAATGGGTTCAGAAGTAATTGCTGGTTTGAAGTCAATGATTTGTTCATCGTCATTGTTGACACCGAATCGGATATCGCTTGGTGGCTCTGAAAAACCCGAGCTTCGTAAAAAACTTTGTAAACTTTGAAGAGTCTTTACTTGGCGTCATCACTATCAGAGTCGGCGTTTGGATTCCCTTGTCTGGATTGTCGACAACAAGATAGTAATATGTTCCTGGATTCATGTTGGGAGCTTCAACGCGGGTGAGTGGAGCTCCGCCTGATGGAATCTGCTCCCATTGGTCTTTTGGAAGTTCTGGATCGTCTGTATAGAGAATGGTCCAGTCATTCTACAAAAATTCATTGATTTCGTTATAGTTTTATCGGACTTACTGGAGATCTTAAGTAATCTGGCAAATCATCTTGGAAGACTAAAACGATCTGACCGCCATCGGGCTTCGACACAACGAAGTCGTCTCGCCAATTTGGATCAAGATTTTCAATAAGGTTCACATGAATTGTCCAGTTTGCTTGACCCAACGGATTTTGTGCGACGCAGTTGAAAGTAGTGTCTTCGGTGATGTTCGCAACTTGGAGTGAGAATTGAGCATGGTTTCCATCAGCGTCGACTCGGCTTGGATCGATCTCGTAGTTTCCGCCCTTTATCCATTTGACTTGAGGCTGCGGAATACCGGTGGCATTGCAAGCAACTGTCATTTGTGATCCCGGAAGAATTTCGATCGTCGAGCTTCCATCAACACCATTATCGCCAGTGGACACTTGAATGTAAGGCGCGTTGCCGTCTGGCAGCGTTTTCATGATGCAAGGCTCTGAGAAGACGCTCGGACCATCTTGATAAATTGCTCTCATCTTGAACACGTAGTCAGTGTCGGGAAGAAGAAGATTCTGGATTTTGTAGCTCAACTTGCTTGGATCATCAATCGAGATTTTAATCCAGTCGCTTAATCCTGCAGAATCATCCTCTTCGACTTTCTTGTCTCCGGGAACATAGTAGATTTCGTAGGCTATCGGCTTCTCGTCCGATGTTACCGGCTCCTTCCAATGAACAATTGCTGATCGTTGACCATCTGGCTCGACACGAAGATCGACTGGAGGTCCTTCTCTAGCCTTCGACATGGTGCGAATAGTGTATTGGTTGGAATACGGACCTGGACCATCGTCATTTATTGCTTGAACCACAATAGCATAAGCGGTATCGGTATTGATGAAATCAGTTATATCTACCCTTCGGGGGCCATCAACATCGTTTACGTCGTGCACATTTTGCCACTCGTTTATTGGTTTGGTTTGAACTTGACCAAGCTGATGCGCTGGATCCTGATCATCCAAAGGAGTGTAGTAGATGATGTACTTGGTGATGTTTCCATTGGTGATCGATGGCATATCATAAGTGACGGTGATTGTAGCTGGCTTGTTCGCGTTCAGCACAATATTCTCCGGCGACGTTCCCGGTCCGGCAACGAACACTTTCAAATCAGTCTCTTTGAGCCCACCACGATTCTCTGCGAGGCATTTGGCGTTCAATGTTCTCCGAATATCGATGATCTTGAGAACAGGACCATCAGAGATTTGCTGAAATTGAAGACTGTAATAGAAGAATTGAAGCAAAACGACATACAACTCCTTGCGAATCGACCCATCTGACATCTGGTGCTGGGAATCCTTCTGAACTGCATGTGATTACATAGTCTGTACCAGCCGGAACTCGGATCACTCCGTCCTCCGTTTCGACATTGAATGTTGGTTTACTAGGTGCAATGACTGAAAATATGTTAAATATCATACAAAGATTCATTTCAAGGCGTTCTACCTCCATCACCGGTTTCGAACGGACTAATCTCGGACGGCTGAGAATCGATTTCTCCTCTGGCAATGATTCGCATATTGTATTTGGTATCAGGATTAAAGTTCTCTCCATCGATGTTGACCGCCTAAAATGTAGAATAAACAAAAGGAATGTTTTATGAAATACTAACAGTGACGTCATCAGAATCGTTCGGATCGCTAAACTTGAGTTCCTTCCATTCGGTGTCTTCTGTTGGATCTTCTTCGTCGGTATACTGAATCACAAACTCTCTGATGCGCTTTTCGGGATTTTCAGGATCGACGGGCGGGGTGAAGGTTATCGACACGGTGTTGTTCGGTTGTACTTGAACATCAACGTCCTTAACCGACTCCGGAGCCTTTGGAAGAGTGGTAATGACTTGTGGAGCCGATACAACTCCTGGACCTCTATCGCTGACAGCTTGGATCTTTACAGCGAACTTCTTCTTAGGCTCAAGATTGGCCAATTTGTGATTCACCTCACCACGATCAATAGTGACCTGGTTCCATGTGGTCGGTTCCGTACCGTCTGAAAATAGTCGGATGTTCCATTGTTTAGAAATGTGAAACCATTACTTTCAGGGATTTCTCCATAGTGAATGACGTAGTTAGTAATTTGGCCGTTCACATCATCGGGAGTTGTCCATTCGACATTGACCTCTTGATTTGGCATTGGGAGCAAGACGATCTCGTTTGGTGCACTTCCAGGTCCTGTGACGAGCACTTGAACGACTTCTTGAGTTTTACCAGCATTGTTGGAAGCGGTACAAGTTGCACTAGTATCCTGAAACATTGATATATTTTATTTAGTTTTCAAGTAGAAATTTGACCTTGGCAACGTCATAGAGCACAAGACTCGAGCTCTCGATGATCTCGCCATTTTCTTTGATCCATTGAACCGCTGGTTGAGGAACACCTGTAGCTGTACACATGATTGTCACGGCGCCGAGCGGCTCAACGTAATATGTGGAATTGTTCGGATCCAATTTGATGGTTGGCGGAATCTCGCCACTGCCAGTCTCGAAGTGCGCCAAATCCGATGGAGGTCCTTCCGACAAATCATTGGTTGCTGATATTCTGACCTTATATGGGGTATTCGGTTGGAATCGCTCTTTCGGCAAAGTGATCACGCCATGATCATCGCCGCCCTTAGCATCAACGGTGACTCGCTGCCACGTTTTGTGATCAGAGTCGTCATAATCCGGCGCATAGTAGATGGTGTAGCTCTTGATTGGTCCAAGTGGTTGACTCGGTGGCGACCATGTGAGATTCACCGTGTTGTCGATGGAAACTGTTGGAAGGATGTCCTTCGGCGAATCGAGCGGAGCTCCGCTGACAGTGTCGAAATGCTTCGGATCCGTGTGAATTCCCTCGCCATACGGATTCACCGCGGCGATCTTGACGTAGTATGGGGTTTCCGGTTGAAGTGAACCGCGTTCAAGGGTGAGTTTCGGATCATCGATTTGATCCACAGGGAACATTTGCCACTGATCGACAGGTAGTGATGGATCACCGGTGATATAAACATTGTACTTCTGGAAATTGGAAAGGTTGAAAAGATGCTCACAGTTGAATCCAACCTGGATATCTCCGTTTGGATGTTTTGGCGGTTGCCAGGTGATCGTGACGCGATTATCTGGATCGACGATGACTTCAACGTTTTGCGGTGCGCTTCCAGGTTCTGATAATAATAATTCATTTCAGGAAATATTTTGAAAAATCGAAGTATAAACTCACTATTGACGATGAACACGTGACGATCTTCGACAGTTCCGTCAGAGTTCCTCGCCTGACACAACAGAATTCTCTTCGTCGCCGTTGTCGAATAGACTTGAATCGAATTGTAGTGATGCGGTTGATTCTCATCGGGATTGATTGGAATTGGTACCGGCTCGTCGCCGCTTTCGGACGCATTGATCGGAAGCCATGAATAGGAAACGCTTGGCATCGGCCGGCCATCGGCGACACATCGGAAATGAATTGGCTGTGTCGGCTCGACTTCGGTTTCTTGTGTCGATGGCGCAATGACCGGATCAGTGACTTCCAATCGTACGGAAAGTGGAACCTCTGGAAATAGGGTTTCAATTATGATATTAAACATATTAGCTTACGTTTTCTTCCGGTAGTGACTTCGTAAGCTTCCGAAATGATTCCGGGCCCGTCATCGGTATTTGCCTGGACCTTGACAACGTATGGCGTATCTTCATCGTCAACTGTGACAGTCAAATTTCTGAATATAGCCGGAAACCATTTTCCCAAAATTCGATAAAATCAAACCTGGTGTCAGCTGGAACTGTCTTCGATTGCCATTCGGAAAGTGGACTGTCGGGATCCTTCGAATAGTAGACGACATAGCTGGTGATTCTTCCATTCGTGATCTTTGGCGGTTGCCAGGCAACGTCGAATCCAGTATGCATCGGTGTTGGCGTGATAGCCAATGGCGGACTTCCTGGCCCGAGAATGGTCACTGGCACCTTCTTCTCGTCGGATCCTTCGGTATTGATTGCCTGACACGTGGCTACACCGCTTCTTGAGGTACTTTGAGCAATAAGCTTGCTTCGAGTTCGATCTTGTGCATCAACAGGAGTGGTGTCGTAAATTCTGAACTCGTCTTTGCCGTCTTCAATCAGACTTCCACTCCAGAGCCAAATGATCTTTGGCTTTGGAACACCTTGAGCACCGCATTCAATGATCATCTCATCATTGCTCGGTGGTTTCCTGATTCCTTCCTCTGGAACGACTTGCACGACAGGCGGCTTGGCAGCAAGCCAGGTGGTGGCTGTGAACGGTGAGCTCGGCAGACCTGGTCCAAGGCGATTCCTTCCAAGGATCACGAAGGTGTATGGAGTTTTTTCGTTGAGCCTCGGAACTGTTGTGGTTCTTGCGTTCGGATCGTCGATATGAAGAACTTGCCACTGATCTCTTGGCAGCGATGGATCGTCGGTGTAAAGGACGTCATAGCCAGCCATCGGACCATTGGTGATCTGCGGTTGTTCCCATTGAAGTGTCACCTTGTCGCCATCAATCTGATAGCGAATTCTTTCCGGCGCACTTGGTCCAGTAACTGTGATGTTGATTTTCTTGGCGGATTTTCCAGCCTCATTTTCGGCAACGCATGAGAACACCGTGTTCTCGAGAACTCCACCATTCTGCATTCGCATATGCACCGACTTCTCGCCCTTATTCAATGGCCGCCCTTTGTGAACCCAGGTGAGACTCGGCACTGGATCGGCCTTGGTCACATTGCATGAGATCTCGAACGGCTTCATCGGTGGAACTCGAAGCTCGTCGCCTTCGACAATCGAAACGTAAGGTCGAACGGCCGGTTTGAGCGTTCGGATTTGCACTTGATTTCCTAGCTTACCCGAACCGAGTTGGTCATTCGCACGTACTCTAATAAAATAACCCGTGTCTGGTCGCAATTCTTGAATTGTCACTTCCCGTGTCGGCTCTTTCACTTTGATTTTCTTCCAGTTTTTGATTGGCTGTGATGGATTATTGGTGTAGTAAACGGTGTAGGTGGTGATCGGACGATTGATGATCACCGGCGGATCCCATCGAACGGATATCGACGAGCGTCCCGATGAGGCGGACTTGAGGACCGGCGGCGATCCGGGACCGGTGATGACGATCGAAACGGTTCGTTCGGCTTGTCCGTTGCTGTTGTTGGCGTGGCATGTGAACTCCTCGTTTCGGTAGAGCTCTTTGATAATGAGAATCTGATCGCTTTTCACGACTCCTTTGTTAGCAGCGCTTCCCGAAACAACCTCGCCATTTCTAAAATTCCAGTCAAAAATAGGACCATCCACAATGCTTACTTGGTCCAATAAATATCTGGGAACGGGTAGGCTACTGTAGAACAAGTGATATTGATGTTGCCACCAGGCGCAACTTCATACGGTCCTTGAGGCTCAACATAAAGTTTGGGAGCTCCGGCGAGAACTGAAAATCATCAAAATCGGTGGCTCAAAATCTCATTCATTTGCTATTCTTACGTAGACATTTCTGCTTATTGGCGCATGTGCATGAGAATTGCGTTTCTGTGATGGCGTTACATGTGCATCCGGCCAGCGATCGGCAAAGATGCTTCGGCACGGGCTCTGTAATTCAAGATTGAGCATTTTGCACATATCTTCGACACCTACTCATGCAGGTCTTGTTGTCCGTGTCGAGAATCATTCCGCGCGGGCATTTGCATTCCATTCGGCCATCCTTGAACGAGGTGCACGTGTGACTACATCCGCCGTTGTCGTTGGCGCACAATCCCTCTCCCCTACAGACAGGTCGTGTGAGCACCCATTGTTTATTCTGGCAGAACAGCGTGTCGACCTCGTCGATCATCTCGTAGCCGTAGTCGCAATGATATTTGACGAATAGAAATGATCTGAAATTGTTGATTGAAACAAATTTGGAAGAAATTGAAGCTTATATTGGGATACTTTGGTGAAAATGTGAGATTTTTTGGTGCATGCTTTCCCTGTTGGCGATAATATTGAATGATGAGACGTCGGAGATTGTCTGGCGGCACAAATGCCATCGCTCGAACACTGCAAATTAAAAGAATTGCAAGTTTGTGTCGAAAATAGATTGATACGTGGCGTGCGGGACGACCGGCGGTACAACCAATGCGCTCGTCGATTTGCCGGTGACATCGGTACAACTGGTGTCGAGTTGGCCGTAAGATGGATAGCAAATCTCGCGACCAGACGCCTAAAATGGTAGAAGGGACGGGATATGCCCGGTGAATTAAATATAGTGCCTCAATCTACCTTGGAGATCACACATTTTCCTTCATCCGGCGGCGGAATCGGCGGAGCAGACACTGAAAAATGACGACGCGTTCGTTATTGTTTTTGACGAAAAGCCGAATGATGGGGATTCACGGCATGCAGCGGCCAAGACCACAACACGAGGGGGGAATTGTTTTTAGTTGGCGAGGGTTTCGGGGGTTTGGTTTTAGATGGGGAGAGTTTTATAGCATGCACACGTTAGAATTGGGTTACGCACATTGTATTTTATCACCAAATCCACTGTACGACATATAGTTAAGTAATTTGTGAATTCAAAATGAACGAATTGAAAAAAACAACAACAACAACAACCACTAGTTTTTATTTTGAGGTAATTTCAACGACAGCAAAATCAACTACTAATGACAGTACTAGTTTGGTGATAACCTTCTTCTTCCATGCCGCAAAAGTGAGATGCGCGATCCGCGGAGATCACGCATTTGCCGGTCGTGTTGCGACCGACGACAACCGGTTCCGGTCGCGAGCCTTGAAATGGGAATGATGGGCCTATTTTATATTTTTGTTGAATTTTGGGGGTGATTATCTGCATCATAACCTGGGTGTGAAAAAAAGCGAAGAGAGATAGTATAAAGGAGAGAGAGAGAGCGATGAGGAAGCAGAGAGGAAGCTTGGGGGAAGAGCACCAGACACGCCTTATTTGGAGCATGTCTGGCAGGTTAACACATTGGGCGATCGCATTCGCATTGTCTACCTAGAATCGGACAGTAGCGTGCGCGTTTCGCACGTCTGCGATTCAATGGCTCGGGAAACATGAGATTGTGATAATAGGGCGATGCGCGGATCGGATCGAAACCCGGCAGCACCACGATGATCGGTTGGACATCTTGAAAATTTCGAGCTCACGTTTCGGAGTTTTGGTTTTGAGAATCGATGAATGCAGCACGCATAATTGAAAGTTAAATATGTTGTATGTATAAATGTTCAATGCTGCATTCATATGACATAAATGTGCTGTTGAAATGCAATTAAAAAATGAAACGACAAGAAAAAAAATAGAATTCATATTCACCTGGAAGTGTTCGTCGCGACGAACTACGCACCGTACAGCAATCTTTGATAAGACCTGAGTTTGATTGTATATCATTTTCGTCGGATTAACATTAAACAGAAATCATTTGAGAGTGAGAGAGAGAGAGCGAGAGAAAAAGAGAGTGAGAGTGTGTGTAGAATGATAAGAGACATAGAGAAAAATGGTGGAAAAAAATGGAATGAGGATTATGAGACTTACTTCGTGTTGGAGCGCGCTTGACGCGTCGCAATGTTCGCATCCATTCTTGAATTTGCAGATCTTGGGCCAACGGCTCTACTTCAGTGATTGGAAGTAGTTCCTGAAATGTGGGCGGATAATCGAAATCAAGTGATGGTGGTACGATCGATTTGGTTTTGCTGAAGCCCCATCTACCTGTGCGAAGCAAAAACATATGAAAAGTGTGGAGACGAGTGCGGAACGGACCGGCCAGTTCCGACCTCCCATGATGATTTTCGATTTTCTCTACTGCTCTTCTTCTGAACACCAAAAATATTAAGGAAAAAAACAATAACAAAGAATCGCGGCGTGTACCTTTAAACGCTATTCAATTGGGTTTGATGCCATAAAGAAGCACGTTGAAGAGAATAATTGGGAATGTTGCTTTTTTTGGAGGTTCGTCTGTAAGAAAAATAACAAGTATCCTTTAAAAGACAGAAATGCGATTTGAGATAAATATGATTTTGCAAGGTTAACAACACAACGGGGTAAACATGTAACGCCGAAACAAAGAAGCTTGGGCGGAGACGCAGTGAGAAGAAGGCCACGCCCCCCTCTCTCCTCCAGCAGGGCAATTTCAAGAAGTTTCCAAAAATGGAACAGAAGGGGGGGTGCCGAGTCAAACCGAAGAAAATTTGCTTATCAAATGTTGCATTGATTTATTTTCGAAGAGAGGTGTACGGTATTGCGCAATAATCCCAATGATAACCGACTTTCTGCGTCTCTAGCTATCTTTGGTTTTTTTTAATAATAATATTCATCGTTATTGTTGTTTGTTGGATGAATCGAATGGAACGCAGGGGGGGGGCAAGCAAGCAAGAATGGATGAGAATCGGCGCGCTTTTGTCTCTACCGTATGACGTGTCGCCCCACAAAAGCGGCCGTCGCGAGCGAGCACGCTGGCAGCCAACTCAAAAATGTGTGGAAAATGGGTTGGAAAAACAGAAGTGAAATGTTTATAAAATGTTGATGACTCGTGGCACTGCGGAACAGGGTTCGGTTACACACCACGCCCACAATTCACCGTTTTTTTTTGGTTCTACAAAAGCGTCGGATTGGTTCTGGAACGAAAAACGTGCGAGAAGGTCGATAGGAAGTGGATTAGGTTTTCAAGTATGTAGTTGAAGAAGCTCGAGCGATTATTTTGTTTTTCTTTTATTATTTTGCTGCGGACATCTCACTAGAATTTTTATAAAGTGCAAATTGCCAAAAGTTCAGATTGTCAGTGTGTGTGTGTGTGTGTGTGTGACATCGAAACTCTCGGGACCCCGGCTTGCTTTCCACCGATGCCTCATTTTGTTTACAACCCCTTCTCACGAAGAGTCCGATGTTTCGACCCATCATCATCGTCATCAAAAAAATTGACAATGATGACACATTGTGAACTCTGACAGCGATTGAAATAAGCCGAAAAAAAAACTAAAATTGGATAGGAATGCAAATTAAGCAAAATGGAAAAAAATGAGAGAGAACAAAGAACATGCATGAGCCGGTGTGCGCACACACCTGGTCTCTCAGCTCATCCTGGAATTTGTGTGATCACTGATTAAGCGCGACGCAAGCATAATGGAAGTATTGTGGGAAATCTGTGGAACGGAAGCATAATGCTTCCATATAGGAAGCATAATGTAATTCTTAGTGGCTGTGGAAGAATTATGGGACGAATATGGATGGAATGAAAACGGGATGAATATGCTTCCGGTGTTTGCGAGCCGTGGAACGAATATGGATGAAATATGGATAAAATAATCATATACATGATACATGATACACAACATACGAAATTTAGCTTCTACCATTTAATGACTTATGCTACTCAGATTTATGTTAATTCAGTCAACTGTTCCTCACTTTGTTTAAAGATTGCCAACTACAATTTAGTCGTATTAATATATTTTTGCCGGTTTTTCCGAAATTGGCATCGCAAACTACTCACAATTTGCTCCAAACTGGTAGCAGACGCGCGTAGAAGAGGCGTGCCGCAGCATTGCAAAACCGTGCGCCGCTTTGCACAATGCGGCCACGCCTCACATTTTCGAAATTCGTTTTCAAAATTGTTGTCCTTTTGCTTTTTCTCAATGAATTTTCAAGATTTTTTGTGTTTTTTTTGTCAAAAATTAAAGAATTTTTTTCAAAATTAAAGAAAAAATGTTTTTAAAAAATAAAGGAAAAATTTTCATGTTTATCATTTTCATGTTTATCATCATTCGAAAATTTTAAAATCGATACGATGTTTTCAAATCGTTTCCGACACTTTTAAAATCGAATTTAAATATTTTCTCAATCGAATTGTGTTTAATTTCTCATCGAATCCGTTTTATTTTTATTTACTTTAACATATTTTTTATTACCGCTCGCTTTTTTCTTTTAATAAAACATAATGTTTTGAAATTTTTTACAGATGAAGACAAGATCGAGAGTGTTGTCAGATATAACTGAAACTGCTCTAGAAGTCAATAACAAAGAACCAGAAGTCCCTAACATGGAACCAAATTCGCTCGACACTTCAGATCCAGATAGTCCAATTTATTCGCCAACTCAGCAAAAAAATTTTTCTCCACAGTCCTCACAAACAACAAAATCAACGCCAATTCCTAAACCTTCGTACGCCCAATTTGTAAGTTGTTATCATCAAAAATTGGCCTGTTCGACTCCAGAAATGGTTTCAATTAGAAAAATATGCGCAATGAAGTCTTTATAAAGTACTTCCTAAGTTTAAAGCTTGTTGATTATTTGGTTCCAATCAGGGCTGTGCGGCAATGGAATTGCCGATTGCCGAAATTGCCGGTTTTTCAAATTGCCGAAGAAAATTTCGATCGGTAATTTGCCATTAGCCGAATCGCCGAAATTTCCGATTGCCGTACAGCCTTCGTACCAATATCATTCAGTGGCATTTATCTTTTTAAGTGGGGCTCTAGTACAGAAGTCGCCAGACGCCGACTATATAAAGATCCTATACTTTATTGCAAATATCTATATTACAGATGTTCTTATGCATGGCTTTGGGCAACAACCGACAAATGACTTCAAAGCGAAAGCATTACGCATGGTTCGAGAAGTCATGGATAATCTTCTGTAAGATTTTGAGCTATGACTATTAATTTATTTATTTGATTAAGCGATAGAATGCGCCAACGACTTCAAAGGAAATTTGGTGTAGCGCCGGAAGCGCTCGCGGCGCAATTAAGGAAGCTGCTTGATTCTACCAGCAACCCTCAGATGTGAGTATTCATATGTCTTTGAAATTTTAACCAAAATGCCTTTTTGCTTCAAATTTTGGAGTTGTTCTTTCTTCCGCCAATTCACTTTTTATTTTGTGCACTAAAGGGTTTCCAAAAATGCAATAAAAATAAATTATTTTTATTTTTAAGAAAATTATTGATGTAAAAAAAACTGATTGTATTTTCTCGAAAAATTTAGTTTACGTAACAATGGTTTACAAGTTTTTCAAATTAATAGGCCCATTATAATCGAAGTGTAGCGACTAGGAAAAGTGGAGAAAAGGTAAAAATTCGATAACGGTTTCTTTCTACAAGCGTATATTTGCGAAAAAAGGATAGGTTAAATGTGCATTAGGACTTTTGCCTAATTTCTTAGCAATAGTTGTTGTTTTTAAAAATATCATAACACGGCTTTTTAACCAAGTGTGAACGATATGAATTCTACTTATTACAGCGTCCCGCTCGATGTCAGTACTGACAATGATTCGAATAGTTCGGCAGTTGCCAGTAACTAATGGTTTGATTATATCTTAATTGAAATTCATTTCATTGTTGTTTTTTTTATTTTAAATTAAATAAATGTGTTAATATGAAATAAATTTTGAATACAGCAATCAAATTGTTTTCTTATTTGCCCATATGGAAGGCATACGGCTCATTCCATATACGAAACACGCGGTTCCGCAAAAAAAATGCTTCCATTATGCTTCCATATAACTTGCATATAAGATTCCTATGATATCCACAGCCGTTCCATTATGCTTCCATTGTGCCTATGCTGCCGTTTATCTGTGATAATTCATCATTTTGTGTTTCGAAATTGCGACACGCCAACTGATCATCACTCATCCCAAAAGTTTTGGGTGTTGGTGTCGTTGAAGTTTTCACACAATTGCCGCTTCATGAGATATCGGCTGCCGACAATTTGAACGTCTCAACGCAACAACAAAGAAGTAACGCATCTGCGGACAATGTTGGGGGGAGAGAATTTCCACAATTTTGAAGGTGTGTTAATGAAAAAAAGAAGCTGGTGTGAAAACGAGTTCGGATATTTCGTTTTTGCCTCGTTCTGCCATATGGAACATGTGGTGAATAAATCAAACACAACACTTTTTAATGGGTCCGTTGTTGGAAATGCGTAAAACCAAGAAGACGATGGTGGTTGGGGGGGGGTTGAAACAAAACGAGACGAGAAGAATGCGGCGAAAATGGGAATTGGACTGAAACGGCGTGCAATTGACACATGCATATGTCATAAACCTCTACAAAACACTTTGTCGAGATTGGGGAGAAACGAGCCAGCTCAGGATGCTCCAAAATTATTTATTATAAACAAAATGGCGGCTGGGCGCTAGGGCGAATGTGTATATGGTGTCAAGTGCGCGCGAGCACCATAAAAATGCATAAACTATTCGAGTTGCACTTTTTTCTTCCATCCATCGTCAATAAACAATGCTGCGGACATTTTTACGGTTTTCGGAGAAAATTAATAAAATCGATTTTTTGCGTTACCTGGGCCAAGAATTTCTACAAGATCCCCTGCCTTAGAAGGCCCCGCCCATTTTCAGGGGGCACCGTAATGCTGAAGGGGGGGGGACAACAAAAAACGATTCGACTCTCTCTCTCTCTCTCTCTCTCTCTCTCGAGGATCCGTATTGTTTGTGTTGCGAACAAAATCGTTTAGCGCGTTTTTGTGCCAAAACAACTGACGGTCAGCATCATCATCAAAAAAAATTCGCCGACGATGTGGCGGCGGCGTCAAAAGAGTTTGTCAAAAAATTTCGAGCAACAAAAAAAAATAACACGTGTCAAATTACGACAATCAGGCACGAACAAAAAAATTGCCCTTAGTCCCCTTAGTCTCCCCTCGGGGGTTGGTTTGTTGATCGGAGGGAACGGGGAGGGGGGGGGAGGGGGCGTGGCCTCACTACTGTGGGAAGGGGTTGAAACAAATGCTACCGTAATCGTTGGACATTTTCGCCTACTGTATTACGGTTTCTCCACTAAATTGTTTGAAAAGAGCGGAAAACCCTAGGAAATTCGATTTTAGCAACAACAACAACAATTTTGAGCGAGACTCAAAACCATTTGAATACTTATTTTCACTACAAGACCGTCGCCTAGTGGGCGGAGCTTGGTAGATCAAAATCGATGATTGGCAACAAAAACAACAACAACAACATTAAGAAGAAAAACGGTAATGGGATTTACATCGGTGGGGCCAATTTGTCGTCGGCGCAGCGGGGCGGCAAGCGCAACACAAGAAAAGATAAGAATGAGTTGTCTCGGCGGCCGTCGACTGATGAGAATTGCACAAGAAGCCCCGCCGAGAGGAAGGGATTGTGAAGAGCGGGGGGAGGGGGAAGGGGAAGGGGGTCCATCGGCGAGGCAATCGTCGGAGAGATGCGGACCACTTGGCTCCATGGGGGCAGGTGTAAAGTCGGAGCTCGACGCCAGCGCGAGCCCAAAACTCATCATCAACGAATTGATAATGGCAACATTATGATGTTCGGATGAGATCTCGCCGTCGGTGTTGTAATAGCTCGTCGCGCGCGTTTTTTTTTTTCTCCTTACAACCGCCAACAACAAAAAAAAGCAATAAATTGTTGCCAAAATGAAAACCACACTTGAAAATGTTTATCTGCGGACACTTTTTTGTTAATTCGCCGCCGCAATCCAGATGGTCCGTCTTCGAGCGCTAGCCTTTTTTTTTCGCGTGCACTTTTTTGACTGGCGACTTTTGGTCCAAGAATTCAAGAATTCGAGAGCTGTCCGTCATCGTCGAAAATTTGAGCACGATCTCATCGAGCCGTTTCGAGCTCTCAACAATTGCGACGGGCAAACACAGCCAAAGTGTACAGTTCATCCGTGTGCACCGCCCATCTCCTTTGATGTCACAATGATGATAAAGGCTTCTAACTGCCAGATAACGACAACGGCAGGTGGGGATTAAGGGGTCAGGTCAACCGTTATCTCCATGCAATAACACAACAAAAAAAAGAATTTTGAAAAATGGCACGCTCTTCAATTAAAAGGCTTAGGTGAAACCGTGAAAATTTGAATTGGTTTCGCTTTTCAAACAGTTCGCTTAGCGGCTTTGAGCAGCAACTCGTTCGGGCTATATAAGCCCAAAACTGATTGCCAATTTCTTGTTAGCCTAAAGCGCGCAAAAACCCGCATATGGATCAATGTTTGATGAGAACGGGTACAAAAAAAACGTGATTCAACATGTATTTGGAGTTGTGGAAAAAAATTGTTTTTTTTTCATAATTTCCAAAAAATTTTGTGGTCTCTTTTTTTTTGCTTCTAAATAAAAACCGACTCGAGTTGCGAGAATCGCGTTGATTTTACAAATTCGGCGATGAACGCGTTTCTCATGCGCCTTGATTTCCCCATTTTGGGCATGTGTATCGAATTACGAGGAGACGCTCCCACTCCGTGTTGCGTGCGCACTTTTGAAATCGAGAGAAATTGTTGCAGAAATTCACAAACGCGACTTATTGCGAAAATCATCTGCGGACCATTTCAGCGATGAAATGGTCCGCAGACGCATAAATTATCATAGAAAAGCGTTAATCTCTCTGAAAAAAAAACGTGGATAGTCCATTTCGTAAATCCCCTCATTAATTCCAATGACGTTTAGGCTTGAATTAGTAAAAATCACTAGTCCGCAGTGCACGGTGACGCAAACTCACACATACTTTCCCCTATTATTTCTTTTTTGAATTTTCTTCTAAAATTTCCCATTTTTTCAAATTTTCTCGCAGTTCCGCTTCAAACTACAACGAAGTTTTTTTTTTTGAATAAAAATGAAAAACATGAGAAATGTGAGAATTTCGATGATGGAAAAACACAAATCGCGAAGCGTTTCGAGTTTTTTTCTTTTTTGGCGAACCATCGAAACAAAATCGGCAAAATCGATTCCAAATCTATCGAAAATATCGTCGATAAACATTTTTGCGACTAATAATAAACATTTCGACAATTTTTGCAGCGCTTTCTCGCCATTTCAACATATTACTACTTTTTTTCGTTCGTCTGACGTGTGATTCCATATCAGGTAATTCGACACCGATTCTAAACAATCCGACTACCGTATGCTTGACGCCAAATTTGATAAACATGCACTTTCGCGAGCAATTTCAAATGTTTCGATGTTTTGTGTAAAAAAAATTGTTTCGACGGGACCAATTCGAATGGCGTCGCGACGGCACTCATAAAACTTATCGGTCGACAAATGAGCTAATCAAAACCACGGCGGTCCTCACACACACACACACTTTTTTCATCAACAACATCTGTTGATGTTCAACGAGCTTATGGGATTACGGTACGCGCGTCACGCCGGACCATTTATTTCAATTACGCAGATGGTTACTGTAGCTGCGTCGAGGATAGCGGAGGAGAGGGGGGGGACCCGCAAGATTGTCGGCAGCTAACAAGAGGGCAAAATAAATAATATAAACGAAACGCATTCGAAGCCAGCAAACAAACGGGAAAAAAACTGAAAATGGATATTCCTGAGAAGTGCCGCGTCAAAAAATCGCGGAGCGAAAAAAAACAGCAACAAGAAAACCTATGAATTGAAACCAAAAGAAAATTGGAATGTGCAAAAATAAAACAGAAGTGGAAGAACATGAAAACGCGAGAAAAAAAAATCTCATGAATTAGTGATCAAAATGTGCTCGCTGAGGTGTCAAGAGGGCCGGCGATAAAACATTCATTCATTCATATTAATCAAAAAAAATGCACGCGAACGAACAATTGAAGAGAAAAAAAATTGCGACCTCGTAGAAATCATAAGAGAGGAATGATATGATGAGCAAGACGGCGAAAGAGACCCGGATTGATCTACTCGCGTTTGAGGACGCCCTTCTTGTAGATCAAAAACACCGAGTCCATGACGTCGCGCCAATTCGGCACTGACGACTCGTTCAAATCGATGTCGAATTTGATATTGAGTTTGTCGAATGCGCGACGGCATTTTTCAATACAATCTCCAAATAATGGATCGTCATCGGGAAACTGTAAAAAAAATATCAATATCTCCAATAAAACCCAGAAAATTCAACAACAACAGAAGAAATATCAACTTGCCAATTCCGGGAAAAACTCATAAATCAGCGCGCAAAATGCTCGACCATCAGCCCAATCCGTGCTGAAATTCGACACAGTCACGTCATGCTGCTCATAGGGTGCCAGCTTCTTCTGCGCCCACATCAGAAGCGCGTTTCTGCGAAGCGTGTGACGGTGTTGCGCCATCAGAACACTCCAATCCTCGTCATCGCCCGATGATCGCATAATCGCTTCCAAACGCGACTCGGCGTCTTCGCGTTGGCGTTCGGCAAGTCGGACGACGGTGAGGAAATCGCGATAAACCGCCTTGTGCTCTCGTCGTTCTTCCTTTAAAACAAAGCAAAAATTATTTCTGCAAAGGTTGACACAAAAAAAAGCCAAACTCAAGAATCTTACCTCAAGCTTCATCAACGCTTGTTTGAGTTCCGCCTTGACATTATTCTCCTCGTCGAGACAAATGATTTCCGGTGTTTTTGAGGGATTCTGAAAGATGAAATTTAATCGCAATTATCTATTTAAGGCATTATTAATAATACAATGTTTTATATCGAAAAAAATGCGAAATTTGGACAAAACAAAAGTGGGTTACGGTTAAAGGCGCATGATGGTTAAATGTTTTGGTCTCGACGCGACCATGCTACAGTACCATAAGTTTATTGTTTTTTTTTTAAATTTATTTTTGAAAAAATCGCAATTTTCTCGTCGTTTCTCACCACATTTTCTTTATCCGTCTTTCGAATTTCGCATTCCGCCGTCTCATCAGTCATCGTGCCAACTTCGTTCGAATCTTTGACAATATTAACTTGACATTCTTCAGATTTCACGATTTTCTGCGATTTTTCAATGAGCGTGTTCGCCTAGAATCGAATTGAACCAACATAGCGTACAGAATGAACGCGAAAAACCTTATTCAATTGAACACGCGTGAATTTGAGCTCATCTTTGAGGCGATCGATCTCCTCGTTCAGCGATTTCTCAATTTCGCGGAATTCGCTCTCCGATTTCTGAAGTGCCGCTTTCGACGACGACGATCTTCAATTCATTTCCACCCATTCAAATTTCATTGGATTTCATATTCCAAACAAAACCTTGAAATAATTTTCCGGAATTTGTCCATCGGCGAACCAGCGCGATTGCGGAACATCGATGTCAGCGACGAGGTCGACGGACGCGTCTTCTTCGCGCCGGTGGAAGAAGTCGGAAGCGCCTCAAGAGCCTCATGTGGTCTGCAAAAAAAAAAGAAAGAAAATTTGAAATGTAATGACGACATCTGACATCTGAAACCAAAAAAAAACCCAATTATGCCCGCCATTCCAATCAACCCATAATTGCCGTCGCAACAATGGCAATTCAACAAAAAAAAATCGAAGGAAGAAACAACTTCCCCCAATTGGCTAGACAATGACTGTATTACAGCATTTCGCGACAAGACCCATCCCGAAAAAATTGCGCGTTGCAGGAATGATTGATAAGCCGACCGAGAAAAAACGGAACATTCGAGATTTGTTTGAGTTTCTAGTAATTTTGGCGAATAATTCCGTTAAAATTGTGTGAGAATCATTTTCATTTAATTTTCGCTTGCTTGAAAAACATAATCATTTTTAATTCGCCAATTTCTCTGATGGTCTCGAGGCGAAAATAAAAAATGCCCATTCATATTTCAGTTCGCGAATCCACAACAATCGTGCAAATCGCCAGATGTTCGCCGCTCATCATTCAAAGTTTATTGTTTACGAGGCAAATTGCGCTCGATAAACAATTCGATGGCCGATTGGTTATTTCGTGTTTGTTTGTTTTTTTCTGATTGAAACATTTCCGAGAGTCGATAAAATCAAAACAAAATTTGAAGACCGAAAAAAAAATCGACTCGATGTCACGAGATTCGATCGACGCGATGACGAAAAAAACATAAATATTTGGAAAAATATGTTTTTTTGTTTTTTATTTCTCAATTCAAATAGGACATTAGAAATTGTCGCATTAAAGCACAAAACAAGAATTTTCTTTTTTTGGTTATGGGCCGATTTGATTGAAAAAAAATGGAAAAAAGCTATTCCAAAAAAAAAAACCAACAAAATTCGATTGATAATTTTGATACAAAAAACGGAAGACCCAATTCATGACCCAAAAAATAACGAGTGCCTTGCAGATCTGTGGACCATCGCACTTTTTCGAGGCGGTAATTCAAATTCGAATTTCAACGATAAGAATTCTAGTACCCGGGCGGTTCAAAACAAAAAATTTTGCAAACTTCATCTCACCTGCGGAATCGATGCCAAAAATAGGGCATTGCTAGAATCGGGCGATTCGCATTCGCAACACACAAATGAATGAATCGAGTGTCAAATGCGCGTCTGGAAGACAATCGAACGCAAATGCGACGAGAGAGAGAGAGAGAGAGAGAAAGTACAAAGACAAAAAGGTGTCATAAACCATCAAAAAATAATTCGATTTCGAACCGCGAGACAGAAAAAAATATGAGAAAACCAAATGGGCGGGATCGTCGAGAAACGACAACGACGTACACCGTTGAAGTGTGAAAACGAAACCGATTTGCAGTCGGGGGCGGCTCGTCGCTTATTTGCACACATTCTCGGCTCCGTGTCTCTTAGTAGTATGAGTCAAGGAGCAGAAGAAAAAAAAAATATATATATAAAACAAAACAAATAATATCATAATGTTTTGTAATTGTCGATTCAATTATTTCCACCTCTAGTCGACCGATTCTTGCAATAAAAATTGGTTTTCAAGAAATTCAAATTTTCTCAATTAAATGAGAAACAATCGACCTTGAAAATAATTTCGTTTTCAATCGAAATCGAATATAAATTTATCTGTTTCGAAGAATTCCAAAAATTCAATCGAATAGAATTTCAAAATTGAAAATAAGAAATTAATCAATTTAAATTTCCTTCGAATCCTATTTTTTTTTCATTTTTCTGAGTTTTCACTGTAGGATTGCAAAAGCAATGCACAATTTATGAATAAATCAACATAAAAATTTTTTAAACCAACCAGCTAGACGCGTTTTCATTTTGTCGAAATTCTATAAGGTCTCGCAGCGAAAAATTCGAGTAACCGCCAATTTTTTTGCGGGATCGGAAATTTTTTCTGCTTTGATCTTTAAATTGGAAGATTTTTCTTTTGAATTGAAACCCAAATTTTTGAAAAATCACATTTTTCTACGAATCCGATTGATTTTCATTTTTAGCTAGGCTTCACATTTTTCGCAATTCAATTTTCAAAAAATAAATTGCCAAAATTTAAGCAATTTTTCAAGAAAAAAAATTTACCAACCATCTCGATTCTTATCAATGCCTCGGCAAAAAAATATATATGCAATTTTTTTGTTTGTATTGACAATTGCGATAAACGCGCAAAAACTAAATAGACACACACACGCACAAAAATTGCGCAGCGCGAGCGGTATTTTTAAACATTTTTGCGAACGGTTTAAAGGCGCATTCAATTGTGTGTGTGTTTTTTTTCTGCCAAAAACTAACTCGTCGTTATCATCGATACGCCTTATCTGCGACAATCGCGCTCCATCGCTCTCATCCATTGAAGCCGTTCGAGTGCGCAACGGCGATACTGTCGATCGTTGGTAGCAATTTCGCGGCGACGCCGTCACAACAGCTGAAAAACAACAAATATTGATAATAATCATCAAACGACGTAGAAAATTGAGCGGATGCGCCTTTAACCTCTCCAAATTTTGACATTCATTTGCGAAAATGTTCAGCAACCAAAAAAAAAATTAAAATGTCGGGTTTACCGTATCTTTTTTGTTAAAGGCGCATGATAAGAAATTTTTTGAAAACTAAAAGAAGGCAATGCAAAAATTTTTTGCACAATTCGGCTTTCGTCTGGGTCCCGCCACGAAATCGAAATCAACTGGGTTCGGTAGAGTTTTCTTTTTGTTGTTGCCAAATTTCACACCTACCATCATCGCCTGTCATCGATCGCGAGACCGCCGACAGCTTCTTCCGATGCGTGATGTTGTTCTCATTGAAGTACGACGACGTCGCTGTCGTCGTCGTCGTCGGCGCGCCATTGCCAAATTTCGTGTATTTCGCGAACAACGACATATCAAATTTTGTCCGCAGCACGTCTCACATAAAACAATCTGGAAACACACATTCACACAAAACAACGTGCCAAATGAATGTGTCGGGGGTAAGAGATAAGAATTGCGGGTTAAAATCACACCAGCCAATAACGAGAAAAAAAAACACACACACATCATGAAGAAGGAGAACAACAACGATGGCGAACATCGGATAAACTTCTTTATTTGTACATATCCATAAAACTACGCGGAACAAAAAAAAATTACAACAATGTCTGTTTTTTTTTCTCAACTGGGGCAAAATCGAGAAGGAGAAAGGGGGGGGGAACCCGTGTACGAAATTCAATCTATATCACTTAATCATTCCATCACAAAAAAAAGAACACATTAGGGAAGGGCGTCGCAAAAACCAGATCCGATTCGATTCGAAAGCTGTCGTGATGGAAACGAAAAGCAGCAGAAAAACGACGAATCGATCAGCGATGTGGAAAAAAAACACAGATACACACACATTATATCTTACAATTCTTCAAATTTCTCATGAGAACGTCTCGAGTTTCGTCGACGTTTTGCACACGGCGCAATTGAACAACGCTATCGGCAACTCTTCTTCGGCGTCCGCATCGATATAGGTGATTCGTTGTTGCATTTCTTTTGACGGCAAAAAATATCGCATTTCGCATCTGCAAAAAAATTGAGTGTCTTCGCGAAAACACAAGTTCGCAAAAATCGAAGTGCTCCGGGCCGGCGTCGAACCAGCGGCGTCATATTGAACCCCCTTTTGCGCTATCATTTATAATCTAGCGACGCTGGTTCGAATCCAGGCCGCAGCAATCTTCAAAGCATAAATAAGTTTTTCGAAAAAATTGTTCTTTTTCCGGGAAACTCAAAATTGCACAGATTTTTTTAAAAACATATATTGCTTTTCTTTCTTCCAAATTTTTCTAACCAGTATAATTTCTACTGTAATCGGTTTAAAGGCGCATGCAAAAAAATGTGTTCAATCACTATTCGCTCAAAATCGCGTTTCAATCAAAAGAATCCCTCAAAGGCAAAAATCCTACTTTTGACACGTGGCACTTTCAAATCCAGCAATCGAATTGACTTTTCCCACTTGATTTCTGCAAAATTTTAAAAATACAATTTTTCGAGGTCACTAACAACTCAATATACCTAAATCGCCGATTGTCCAATCGTTGTGCGGCATAATTCATTCGAATAGCCGCCGATTCGCCATATTCGGTTCGAGGCATCGGAAGGAACGGGTCCGCAATATAGTACATTTGCCTAAATGCAATTCAATTTCATTAAAAAAAATAATCTTCCAAAAAAATTGAAAATTTTAGGTTTCAGTTTTTTTTGTTAAAAGAAAACACACATTTTTGAAATCTTCAAATTTCCAAAATAATATTTCAAAATTTCATTTCATTTTTTTTCGAAATGACGCCAAATTTTGGGCAAAACTCGTTGAAAAATTACCCCTCCGCGTCTTTTTCGGCTTCATTAATCTCACACGCCTTCTGATAGCTCCATCGATTTTTATTCTCAACCATTGTGCTGAAAAATAATTGGAGAAATTTTCCAATTGTAAAAAAAAGAGTTCAAACCTCTGCGCGTGGAATTTCCTCGGCGCATGATATTTCAAATTTCCGCAATTTGGGTTCCTCTCCATCATTTTCTTCCATCTTGCGACACTTTTCTTGAAAAAAAAACACATATACACAATATTTCAAAAAAAAAACGTGGTTTCGATGGCGAAAAGCTTACTGGAATCGTTGCCTCTTTATGAATCTGCTCAGTTGTCTCAGAGGATCTGCTCAAAGAGCACCGAGCGACTTCTTCAATGGTTTCCTGAAGGCTCGAAGTCTGCAATATTTTTATTGATTTTCTCATTTTAGTTTTCAAAAAATCTTTATTTCCCCTTTTTTTCTAGGATTTTTCTTTTTCTTACTGTATCTCCCCATAAAAAAATCGAATATCGACTATTAATGGTCCGAAACCGAAAAAAAATATGTCTACCAAAAAAAACACAAAAATACGGATTTTTCATTCAAATTTTCATACAAAATTCAATATTTCCCAATTCCCATTTTTCTTCAACAATCTCAATTAACATTTTATTTCTTAAAACCATAATTCAATGAGAAACTTCGTACCGACGATGGTGCAGTTTCAATATGCTGACTGTTCGCGTCGGATCGCGTCATTCGACTCCGAAGGCCATCAGCGCGAATTTTCACCATAATTTTCTCATCGTTCGGGCAAAATAGGAGCTCTAGAAAGAAATTTCAAAAAAAAAATTGTCTCATTGAGAAAAAAGTAATAATAGAAATAAAAATAATCCAAAAAATAAAATTTAAAAAAAACTCACTCATTTTTCGCGTTTCAGTAGTAGCAGTCGACATAATTCGAAAAGTTGGATGTCTGAGAATGGCAAATCAAATGATTCCTTTTTTCTCAATAATAGACGGCGAGGGGGTCTGACGGTGTTGTGTCTCAAATTAGGACGATTAATATATAAGATAAACGAGAGGGCGCAGAGAAAAATAGGTGAGAATAGTCACGTCCGTCACTCGATGATGATTTTTGGCCAAGTAGTACACTTTGAGTGGGGGAGGGTTCTATAATTATATCACGAAAAATTTGGAAAACGATTGTTTTTTGATATCGCAAAATGACGTATTCTTCACTTAATTCAGACGAAATGCAATCGCCGGAAATAAAAAAAATGGAATTTCAAGACGGAATAAAAATAGTCATCTCAGAAAAATCAAACAGCATTTCGAATTGCAGAAATTGTCAAAAAATCCGATGATGTGAAATGCGCGTACGCCAAAATGCAGAGTACGCAAACACGCGACACGTCTTTCTGTGCTTCAAGACACCTGGCAAATAGCCAACATTTTTTGAAATTTTATTCAGTCATTTGACGTCGATAATTCATAAAAACGAAACAATACCAATCAATTTTTTATTTTATTCGCAAAATTTCCAATCGAAAATCACCAAAAAAAGTACATAAAAAAATCCATTAGATTTTTTACGAGTACATAAAAAAATCCATTAGATTTTTTTCCTTCAAAAACCATTGTTTAATTTATTTCTTTATTTGAAGCATCAATGCAGAGATAATAAAATAAAAAATAGAGAAAATTTCAATGCAGAAAAATGAAAAACGATTTCTCTAATTTTTTTTCCAGTTTTCCGCCCTATTAAATTAAATAATCGTATTCTTCGAAATCAATTTATTAAAATTTTCAATTCAAACAAAAAAAACGCAAAAATTTCCGAAACTCGTTTCATTTTCGTTAACCTACAGCGAAGAGGAGAAAACCGAGAGTGAAACAACCGTTGACACAAACAAACGTTTTACAACAATGATCGATTTTTTTTTCGAGTGAGAGTGGAAAAATTTGCTAAGCCGTTTTTCCAGCAGCCGTGTTTCATTCAATCTACATTCTCACCACGACAGATTTTTTAAAAAATTTTCGACTTCATCGAACGCGTTTCAAACCCAACAAATGTTAAATAATTCATCGATACGCTGTTTGGCCAAAATTTTTCAGAATGAATCGCCACGAGACCCAATTTCAAATTTGCGATTATTCATTATTCAAAAATTTTATTCAACTCCAAGGCCACACTTATAATTGTTTTAATTTCTGAACCCGCTAATTGAAGAAACGCGTTGCGTCATTGCCGTCGGGTCTCGTGACGACTAATTCCAGCAGCCGCGTTTCCTTCAAAAAATTGATTATATCGCAAAATGACCACACTATTAGAGTGGTGTGCAAAAGAAATGCAGGCCGAAGAAAAAAAAACAATTTCCAGGAGAAATAATAAAACCGCATTTCCTGTGCAACCACTCTGGTAAATGAAAATCAATCGGATTCGAAGAAAAATTGAATAGAAATTAACCTGTTTCGATTGAAAAATAATTCAAATTCAATTAAGAAAACGCTTAAATTCGCGATTTTAAATTTTGGTTTCGATTCAAAAATCATCGAAATCGATAGATTTATTTCTCATTCTCAATTTTTCGATTGAAATTTTGGAATAATTCAAAACAGATTAATTTATATTCGATTTAGATTGAACGAGACCTCAAAAAACAAACCGATTCTCCTCTCATCAAATCTCATCGCAAACAATGTCAAAATACGTGCAAAATTTCAAAATAAATATCAAGGCTATCAAAAACCGGCATCAAAATTGGTTTAAACAAGAAACAACACCAAATCTCTTTGCATTTTCAAATTTATTCAGCAGTTATTCGAGATAGAAAAGATGGGATGGGAAAACAAATAAAAAAGAAAAATCTTATATGTTGGGAGGGGGGGGGAGTTAAAAGAAACACGCCATTACTCAATCAGCCAGGATTATTTCTTGCGATAAAAAAACGCACACACAAATTACAAAAACAAAGAAAATTAAAATTTTTGGAGAGAAGGAAAAATAACGGAAACGAATCTGCATAATAATAATAATAATCATAATCATATAGTCAAAATGGTTAAATATGGATTGAAAGGGGCATCGGGGACAAGAATGTGCACGAAACACCTCAGAGCCTAGAAAAAAAAGGGAGCAAAAAAAGAGTGTACAAGTCATACAAAATGAAATGATTAATTTTGTCGGATGTGGGGGGGGACTCCTAACAGTTAGCGAAACACAATTTTGACAAAAAGAAAAGAGAAAGAAGTTGCGCGGAAATTGTCAACGAAATGAATATCACCTCGACGCGATTTCCTGTATACATGAGGTAGAGAGAGAAAGAGAAGAGAAAAAAAGTTTCTTTTTGTTTGGAAGGACAACGAAATGAATAATCTCATATGATTCGACTTTTTTTCCTAATCAATTCATCAAGGAGGGTGTAACAAAGAAAAATTCTGAAGAAAATGATTCGAATTACAATTTTTCTCTTTTTGAAATGGAGAACCCGTCAAACGGAGACTTTCAAACTAGAAATTCTCTTGGAGCAATAATGAAAATGAATTATGGGCGACACACACACACACAAAAAAAGGAAATATAAGAAACAAATAAATGAACAACTTATTCTCTGGGCTGACTGAGCAACTAGGTAGGTCAAAAAAAATAAATGGACAATCAAAATTTTCTCTATTTTGTTTTTCTTGTTGTCGAGGCAATTTTAAAAAGAAAACGAAGGTTTTGCGAGGCAATCTCTAGAAGAAAAAAATCCGAAACTTGCAAACTTGCACAAGGCCTTAATTAAATAATAATAGAAACTCTAACAAAACTCATATAAAAAAAAGGAGGAAAGCCAGAAGAAAAATAAATGAAGAAAAGGAAGTGAGTAGTATTATGAGGTTCGAAAAAAAATTTTTTTTTTGGATTTTTGGAATTTTTCAAGAAAAAAGAACGTGGGATAACCGGATGATTTACAAAGAAAACGAAACAGCGGGGCTATATAAATAAATCAAAAAAGAAAAATAATTAAATTAAATATAAACTTTAAACACTTTCAACAGTGAATATTTACATTTAAGAGATGATGGAGGAAAAAAGAAGAAACGAAACGATGAAAGATTTTGTTGTGCTGAATGAATGATAATTGGAATCGGAAGCCTAATATAGATTTTAGGGTGCGGAGGGAAGAGCGACGGAAAAACATATCTGAACCGGATTCGATGAATGGATGAATAAATGATGGTGCGCGAGAATTACAGACAAAAGACAAAAAATAACATAAACAATGAGGCTAATTGAGGAAAATAATAAGAATAATAGAAATTTGATGAAAAATCCAAGGAATTAATGAAAAGAAGTGGCTATTATGGAATGTACAACGGTGCTGCTTTTTTCTTTGCAGATCGGCTCTGTGTGGTGCCATTTACGAGAATTTGGTGAGAAGCGATTGGGGCGCAGGAAGTGGCTGCGGTACCGGCATGCCGTTCGGAAGGACCAACGGCTTAAACACGAAAAGTGTGTGGTTGTGCTTGCACAATGTCACAATATGACCACTCTTCGCGATGCGAAGACCAACGCAACGAGACAGCTGAAAATTTCGATTGTTTTTTTTCAAGAAAATGAGCAAGTTCTAAACAGTGACTTACTCTAAACTCATTATGGGTGAACGAGTGCTGATGGACACCGTCCGAATTGAACACGACAACGTGCAAATGATTGCCGTGAGTGTCGGCGACGAGGATCTCGCCAGACTTGGCAACGTCGATTCCAATCGGATACGGCGTCTGCGATGGTTCTCCCATTTTACGAACAAAAGTACCTAAAAATATTTATGTCTAACATTCACGAACATCATAAAACGCCAACCATCAGCAGTGAAGACTTGAACGCAATGATGCTTGAAATCAGTGATGTAAATATGGGTATCCGACATGGCGACGTCGCTAGCCTCACCAAGTTGATCGGAAGTGTCGAAACAGAATGTAATTCTCGGTGTATCAACATCTAAGAATGGCATAATTATCATGATTAATGCTTGCAATTTAGTATACCAATTGAATATACATATCCCGACGTGTCAACAAGCAAGAGTCCGCCATTGGGTGTCGCTGTCGCCGCCGAAACCTCAATTCCTCCTCTTGGAAGTAAGGTGACTGGGAAAAAATAAAAAGGCATTTTCACAAGGTTTATCATTAATTACCCATATTGAGGCGCTTGACAAATTCACCGCGAGCCTCAAAGACTTGCGCGCGAGTTTTTCCGTCTCCTCCTTTGTCAAGAACCACATATCTTGGAGAATCGCCGCGAAGTGCAATCACTTTACGTGGGAAGCACAATTGACCGTCGTCCTAAACAATTTTGGGAGTTCAGCAGTCAAAATATTGAAATTAGGTCACTTACCGTTCCCGGGCGCCCGATTTTCCACGGATGCGGAGGTCCGCAGAACACAACGCGATGATTGTTGGTGTCAGCGATCAAAATATCATCATTCTCCGACAAACAGAATCCCGATGGGCAATGAAGCTCGCGAAGGGAGCTTCCCTGCTGCGACGTTCCGAACACACTGTGCACTTTGAGCTCATTGCTACGCTGAGAAAGCGATTGCTGAGAGACGACAGGAGCCGGTGGCGGTTCGGGCACAACCGGCGCGCCGAGCGGTCCAAGTCCGGGGGTGCCGTTCGGACCATTCGTCGACAAGTTCAAGTTGTTCATGTTGAGCAACAACGGATCGATATTCTGTAAGCGATTCTGCAAATAAGTAAGGTCGAATTTGAGGCCTCGAATCAATTACCAATGCAAGTAGCGGATTCGCGTTCAACTGCTGCTGAATATTCGACGATTGCACGTTGATGATCATTCGCGAAAGCGCAAGCTTCTGCTGCTGAGCCAACATATGAGCCGAGTTGTTCGCGTTCGGCAGACCCGATAGATGCGGTTGCGACCAGACGAGATTCGGGAACAACGATGTCGAGTTAGTGTGAGTGCCGAGGCTTCCATTCGGCAGCTGCACTTGTCCCGAGTTCGAGTTCACCGCTTGAGCGGCGTGAGCAGCCGCCAACGCGGCGATATCGACACTTCCAGCGGCGGCCAAAGCCATCAATTCCGGACGAATTCCGGCAGCAGCGGCAGCGGCGCTCAGGTTCAACCCCTGATGATTTACATTGTTCACACCGCCCGAGTTGAGAAGTGAAGGAAGCTGAGCGTTCTGTGGTGGCGGTGACGGCGGCAACTCCGGCGGATTGCTGCTTGGCGGCCATCCGAATGCCTCCGCAGCATTTGTGGTGGATCTCGACGATGTGCCATTCGATTGAGTCGACGAGTTATTATTGAGATTCTTGTTCTTTCTCTCGCCACCAATGGCGCCAAGTCCCGTGTTGGTGGTGATTGGTGTACTGCCACGCCCCCATTCGTCTTGTGGAGCAGCACGAAACGGAGCGAAATCATTCGATGGCGGAGTGATGTCCTTAACCGATTGAACAACCCGTCCTGAAACGTGCAATTTTCAGAAATTCCAGAATTTTCCAAAAAATCGCTTACCGATGACATTTCCGCATAATTGATTCAAGTTATTTTCCATCTGCTTCTTGCTAAGCGGCTGGAATTCAAGCTCAACCTAAAAAAGAGCGAGGGAATGAAACATCAAAACACAACTCTCAAATAACTACCGCATGCCCTTGACTGGGAATGGCGTGCGACAAGTTTCCCAGCTGCTGTACGACTTTTCGACGCGACGCCAGCAATTCGATGCCATTCGCTTTCGAGAGAAGTCTTCTCACAAATCTAACAAATTGAGAAAATCGAAATTCGTCGGAAATTACACAAAAAAATAACTCACGCAAAAGCATCATGAACTCTCGCCTCGTTCACATTCATCTTGCGATAGAGTTCCTCGATATTATGCTCCTGACGATGTCTTGCGTCTTCCAATTCTAGTAATTTCGTCTGTTTCGCCTCCTAGAATCACCAAATTTCAATGATAAAACAATTTAAGGAAAGGATTTACATTGATCGCTTTGAGAATCTCGTCGAAATAAGCTTCTAGTCTATAACGCGCGACTTCATACTGTTCCTGAAGCTGAGCAGTGCGGTCTGGCAGACGATTGAACTCTGTTGTGGCGTTGTCATACTGGAAAATCGGACAATCAATATTTGAAATATGAAATGATCTACCTTGTTCTCGACCTTATCGACAAGCGTGGTGACCTCGGTGCGAATTGCATTAATTACCAGATCGGTAATCTCGATGACCTTATGGTTAACATGCTCCATTTCCAAGCACTGCTTGCACGCGAGCAGCTCGCAATTCGCGCACAAAAATTTGAACGGCTGATTGTGATTGGTGCAGACGACTTGACGGGTCGCCGCTTGATTGCCGCGCTTCTCAAGCTCTTCATAGGTGGTGACGACGTGTCCATCGAACATTCGCATCACTCCGTGCGCCGTCAAACAATTGGCGCACAAATCGGACTGACATTGCTCGCAAATCGCCACAGCCGGCTGCTCGCTTTTACAGGCTCTGCATCGTCGCTGAATTGTGCCGTTCGGTATTTCGCCGCTCTCAGCAATTCGTACCTGGAATACGAAATAATGATTTTGTAAAGTCGACCGAGCAAGTCTTACATAATCTAGAAGCATTCCGTGCACATATCGCACATCGTTGCCAACATGCGACTCCTGCGCACAAACCGGACAACGTATGACTCCTGGAGGAGTGGGGCGTTCAGTGACTGAAATATAACGTTTAGTAAAATATGTACCGCAAGCACAACTTTTCGGTGCTTCTAACTCGCATTCAAGTGTATTTTTCCGCTCGTCTCTTTGCTCTCGTCGGCCGTCAAGCTGCGCAATAATACAATCCTCGCACATCGAATGAAGGCAATCAAGGACACGCGGTTTCCGGAAATCCTTATGACAATATGGGCAATGCGCGAAATCGTCTTCTGGCAGCGGCTCGGTGCCGAACAATGGGCTCGAGGCATTGGAGCGCGTGTTATCGGCCGGCGATGCGCTGTGATTCTTGGAATTCGCCAACGACTCGTGACGGCTTCCGCTGCCGTTCGTTGTCACCGCTGATAGCGGTCTTTCCGATTTTCGTAGCATTCCTGTCGAAGACGAATTCTTCTCGATTCCGCGTTTTCTCTTTCTTTTCTTCAGGACGGATCAAATAATGCCGAACAAAAGATTGGGAAGTCTCTCGCTAGGGAGGTTCTCGCGTTTGCTGAAATGATCGAAAAATGATTAATAAAAATTTAAATGTCAATATCAAGATCCGTGATGTGAATGACACACTTCTACAAAAAAAAGAGAAAAATCAAGCACGAAGCAAATGCAAACTTCCAATATCGGCATAAATCGTAGTGAGATATCTTGTACCAAAATAGTCTTTGTCTTTAAAAGTACAGAAAAGTCACGAAAATTTTATTTTCAAAACCTATTACTTATTTTATAAAACATTTTTTTCCAGAAGTATATCGAATTATAAGGTTTTAAAATGTTTAAGGAACGTTTCACTATATGGAATTAAAAATCCCACAAATTTTTGTAGGAAATTGATATTTCTATAAAGTATCTCGATTGAATAAATTTTATGACGCCATTTCTAATTGGAAAAATAAACCAATAAACAAAAAAAGATTATCAATTAATTGCTTAATAAAAAACCACAATAATAATTATAATTTAATTCAATGAATTTTTTTAATTTGAAAAAACTGCAAAATAAAATCGCATGGAAATTAATAAACTTTTTGAAGAAGGAATGACAATTATAAAAATGTTTAAAAGAAAATGAAGGTAAATTTCATGAAGAGAACATTGGAAATCAAGAAAATTAATATTTTTATAAATAAAACATCCATTTGAGTGAAAATTAAAATAATCAACAAAAATTGTGCGACAGCTTCTGTTATTATTGTTTTCTCGCAATTTTGTAAAAATATATTTCCACAAAAAATATGCAAATACAAACAACAATATAAAATTATATATTGCATAATCAAAGAACATGACGTGTGCGCAATGTCGATCATGTGACATTCATTGGCAATATATGAATAAGTGATGATCGGAAATTTTGCACGATTTGAGATTGTTTTATACGATTCTAACGAAAATAATGAAATTGACCAGATAAAAGCGGAAGTCGACGGTTGAAAAAAGTGCACGCGCGGCTCGTTGTAAAGTATTTTCGAAAAAGTCGACAATCTTTCGACTTTCCAACAATTCATCATGGTCAAACGGAAACAATCAACACCATTTCATCGCGATTCGTGCAATGAGTCATGGAATCGAAACGCGAAACATCAAAAAACGCGAAGAAGTGGCGAAAAACGAGCGAAAATGGGTGGCCGGTTGGCCATCGACCCGTTGCGGCGATTCGGCTGCGTATCGCGAGACACCCATGACACACGGTGCGCGCGCTGACGCGCAGCGAATTCGCCGGCTGGCACGTGGCCAATTGGCGGGCGGCCAGCTTGCCTCCCCCTCCGGTTTCTCCCCTGCCGCCTCTCCCCCCGTCCCCCCCCCGAGTGGGCGGGGCTTAACAATTGCAATACGGCGGCGCGATTATGACGACTCGCCGGTTGCCGTCGTTCAAATAAACCACAGGGGTCTCATTTCAAACAATTATCGATTTCCTCATAGATAAGCGCTCACACTCTCATCACATTCAAGATTTCCTCCACGACCAACTATCAAACATTTTCGACGAAATCGTTAGAAAAATATCGAAAAGAAAAATTCGATGCGGTTTTTTTTAGAGCAAATAATGCCGCAAAATCAGCATTGAATTGGCTAAAAATGAGCGGCAGACATCCATTGATCAGCACGGCGCCGGCGAATTCGAGATATGTGAGCAAAGAGCGAAAACGGTGACAAATTGAATTTTCATTGTAAAAATTGAAATTTCTCGTTCAGATTCATAGTTTTATCCATTTTCGACACATCAATAACCATTTTATTGTGGCTCTTGTGCACTGTAAGTTGTTAAATATTCGAAAAAGTTGCCAAAAGGCGATGTGCCTTTAATCTAGCACAGTGATTTCGTTCATTGTTTTCAGGATTTTACCCAAATTAAAATTCTGAAAATGATTGCCTGTAATATTTCGAAAATACCGCAATCGTTCGCCACAAGACCTAACTAATTTTCAGCGATATTTCTCTATAAAATTGCGTTAAACCTGTGAAAATAAAAAATGAACTTAGAATCAGTTTGATATGGTAATTAAAGGCGCACAAAGATTTATTTGCGGCAAGCAAAAAAAAAATTATTTTTCATTAAAAAAAAGAAAAACTAAATTAGAATTGAGGATTCAGGTGACTCGCGATGATGATTGGGACAAAGTATTCTGGAACGAGATCAACATTCTCAATCCGAAATTCATTCGCGTCTCATTGTTTGACATCGTGATGCTCGCCACACTCCGAATGCTCATATTAGTCATCATCTATGGTGTGTGTCTTGTCAAACAATGGTATATTGTCGCGTTGACGACACTCGCCACTAGTGCTTATACTCTCGTCAAGGTATTTTCCAGACGCGAAAAGTTCTGAAATGACGCTGTTTGCAGGTTTTGCTCTATTTCAGCCATTCGCAAAGCGGCGTTCCTCCACTTCTCCTGATTATCACTTCATTCACACTGAGCTGGTGCGAGTTTTATTTGATGCCGTTTCAAATATTACCGAGAGAACGTCAGATTCTAAGACGTAATATTCAAAATGATAATTCCGAAATTGGCTGAAAATTGATCATATTGCAGATGCTCGATATGAAGGCGTCGATAATTCTGATATTTCAAGCGATGAGGAACGCCAAACAACGTAAGATTTTTGCGAATTGGTGTCCTAACGCAAAATGGGTCTCCACAAAAAAGATAAATCAAGTTCATGAAAAAAAATGTTGCATTTCATATTTTGATAGCTAGACAATTAATTCCCTTTTAAAAATTCTGAAAAATGTGTTTTTCTTTGACGAAATTTTCATTTTCCGAGAAAAGCACTGCAAAAAAATCAATTTTGACAGATCGCGCATGTCGCAAGCTCGTTCTCGTCGCCGAGCCGCACCTCACAATCATTCGGACGCTTATGTCACCGCTCAACAAATCTTCGTCGCTTCCGACTACGACGAATTCCGAAGTGCCGTCGAGTTCTCATCGGACGAGGAAGCGCGATGTCGATTGAGAGTTCCGCCGGAAACGAAGCGAATCTTCGAGATTGCGCTTCGCAGTTGCACCGATGAGGTCGAAGAGCTCCTACGCGACTCGAGGCTCGGCGGATGGAAGGCGCTGAGGGATGACGGCTCGATAATCGTGCTTCAAGGTCCCGACAGCTACTATTTGGTGCAGGCCGATTTTGCTGATGTCAAAGCACTTGTGCTGTTCAATATCGCATGGAAGGACATGCTCCGATGGAATACCCAAGTCATCGAGGTTTGGTTTTTTTTTTTGAAAGAGGGAAAGCAAAAATGACAAATTTGAGGGAAAAGTGATCGCATTGCTCGACCAGGAGACCGATTTGTACTATTCGGTGTCGGCGCCAGCGATGCGCGGCTACATCGCCTCGCGCGATTTCCTCGATCTTCGCAAAATCCGATTGGACCAATCGGCCGACACCTATTCGGGCTATTTCGTGTCGGTCGAGTCGAATTTGTGCCCGAAGAGCGGCGATCAAAATGTGGTTCGCGGTCACAATTATCCATCGCTCATTCGGACAATCGCGATCGACGGCGGAAAATCGTCGAGATTCGAATGGCTTATGAAGACCGACCTGAAAGGTTCGCGAATCGATTCGATCCGATCCAATCCAATGATCCTGTTCAGGTGGCCTTCCAAAGCGTCTCATTCATTCGGGAATGGTCAACTATTTTTGCGAGCACGTGAAACGAATGAGAGAATTCGCCGACAACAATTATAAGTGTCCGACGATTGCCGAAGAGCAAAATGTGGAAGAAGCTTAAAGTGTATGTATGCTAATTAGGAGGAAAATCAAACATCCAAATGGATAAAAATCAAATTGTAGATCAAAAAAATTCTACAATTTTCTGTACAAACTCGACATTATTTCATTTTTCTTGTAAATGCCCCCTCATTTTGTACTATTTCGCATTCCCACCCACTGAAATCGCTTTGTCTTTCCCGTCACTTGCCTTCTAATTTATATTGTTTATTAACTATATCATTGTTGTATTATTATTACTTTGAGAGAAAAAAAAAACAATGTTTGAATTCTTATTAATTATTAAAATAGATGCCGGCACACAAAAAAAATATATATGAGCAAATGAACATTGTTCGCTTAATTTCATTACGGGGACCCGTTGGCTATTAGCTTGGCTGTGTTGTCTTGTACAAGAAAAAAATTGAAAAGCGTTTCTCAAAAGGCATCGTAGGTTGTGATCCTTGGGGTACGACCATAGATGATGTTGGGGTTCGTCGATTGAATCGCCGGCATCTTCCAGCTTCTCGGGAAGTTTTGGCGTTCGCGCGATTCACGTTTTCTATTTAAAAAAAAAGTGCAAGTGTTTAATTGTAAAATTCAATTTCCATACCTTTTGCTCATTTTACAAAGAACGAGGACGATGAGAATGAGAAGCGCCCAGATGACAATGAGCGCAGCTGGTAGGATAACAAATGCCACTAAATATAACAATTTCAGGATCTTCTTTAAAACGAAAGAAAAGAGAAGCTCACAATGAATTCCATCGCCTTCTTCAACCTTCTCCTTGGATCCCTCAAGAACGTCGACATCCTTATCGTGCATGACTGGTTTGATAGGCGGCGCTGAAAATCGCACAAATAGGGCGATTTTTTTTTGAGGAAAACAAAATGCGCGAAGCGAAACACGAAGGCGGCTTCTCATTGAATTTCTAATTAGCGTCAAAGGATTACCGGTGTAGAGGAGTGGCGGCGTGCGCACGGTGGCGAACTTTGGTCTCGTCGCGATTTCCGGCCGCTCCGTCGTCCATGATTTCATCAAGAACGGATTCTCGTTGGGCGTCGTTTCGGTAGAGTCTATAAAAAAAGAAACAAACCAAAATTCAAGAAGAATCCCATCAATATCAAACGCCTCACTTTCATTCGTCGCCTCCATCAAATGATGCGTCAATTCGCTGAACAAATCATTGCCAATCGGCCGATTCGCTTTTCCCAACATGCACCTTTAAACCAGAAATTAAAAATTTCGCGGGAAGATGACAAAATAATTCTACTTGAATCCATCTCCCGAGTAGCCTTTATGACATGAGCATTGTGGCCCCGTCTCCAAATTGATGCATTCGCCATTTCTAGAGCACGGCACTCCAAACTTGGAAAGGCACGGATCAGTGGCTGAAAATGAAAAACAATTAATCCAAAAAAATTCCAAGCGTCATGAATCCGAACTCCAACAGTTTAAAATTCAAATTCTCTCGAAGAAGACGTTCTTATTTTATGCGATAAAAAACGAAATACTACTAATTCTCAAATTTAAAAACGGCTAATCTTTGATTCAGAAAATTAATTGATAAATAATGTGGGGGTGGTCAACTGTAGAGTTGGGTCTCGCAACACAAGCGTAGTATTTACGCTCGGGAATTTTTACACCACTTTTTTGTTATTAAGTGGTGCGTTGACCATATTTAGTCAATTTGTCGCACGATTTCAACAATTCGATAGGAATCTGATAATTCTACGGATAAGAGATTAAAATTGATGAATCCGATTGGATATTGATCGAATACGATTTGTTTCAATGTTTCGGATCAGATTCACCAAAAAACTAGTATTTTTCTTTTATGAGATTTCCTCCCAAAAACTTAAAATCTTGGTAATATTAGTCTGTATGTTTCTAGAAAATCTCACGTCGGCATTCTTTCCCAACGGGAACAAAGCCTCGCTTACAATCGCAACGATAACCGCCTCGTGTATTCACACACTCCGAACCTGTCGAGCACGTCACCAAACTCATTGCGCATTCATCAATGTCTAAAAGAAACCGGGGCAAAATCAAATAATCAATTTCGTTGTTTTTTTCGCCGAAAATTACCTTGATCACACGCGGCTCCTTCCCAACCAGCTCGGCACAGAGCACCAGGACAAGCTCCAGTGACAACATCGCACGCAACCGAGCCGTCGCAATGGCAACTCTGCTCGCAGTTCGTTCCATATCGTCCGGAATCGCATTCGAAAAATGGGAAATTTTGCAAAAATTGACTTTGTCTTGATGGACCAACCTCGATCACAAAACGGTTCGCCGTGTCGCCCAGGCGGACATACCAATAGTTCGGCGGTGTCAACCCGATACATCCATTTACCGGGCTGTCCGACATTGGAACCCCTCGTGAGACGATCATTCGGAATCATCATAAATCGATTCGGTGTGGCGATTCCAGTCAATGGCCCTTTGGCTTGCGCTTTCTCGTAGATCAAAAATAGAAAAGTCGCTTCAGGAGCCTCGGCGATGACGGCTTGGAACGAATTGAACTGAATTTGGAGTAAAGACGTGTTCGCAAAATAAATAAAACAAAACTCACATTGTCGGATCCCGCTTGCCTGACATGATCAAATGTGAAAATATGCATACTCTTGGTTTCATAACTCTCAAGACCCATTATCGATTGAACACTTAGAGAAGCCCTCATGAGAAGAGGAAATGTGCTCGAATCCGTGTCTACAATTCGTCAATCGTGTTTCAATCAATCTCGTCGGCGTCTCTCACCATTCACATACGTATACGCGACGAGACCATCCTTCAAATAGTCTAATTGGGCGTGAAGTGCAAAAATCGCCGGCTGATTAATGGTCTCGACGCGCTCCACAAGACCATCAAGTGGTGTCGCGAACGAGATAAGGCCATTTGTCGAAATCTGCACACCAACAATGATTTTGTGAGACAAACTCCCAAAAAGCTTACAAATGCTGAATTATACTTCTTTCCAAATAATGAAACCGGTTCGATTAGCGGAATCATTGTCACCGAGTTCCACGATCTCGGAATAACTCGCGAATCATTCGAAATTGGGTACATGATCGTCTCATGGCACGTTTTTCCATCGCCAATGAATCCATCAATGCACTCACAATTATAAGACCCTCTGAAATTCGACAATGCGCCTTTCAATCAGCCATTATCCGACCAACCTGGTGTTGCTACAAATCGCTGCTGGATGACAAGGCGACACTGCGCATTCGTCTCGGTCCGTGCAATGGGCGCCTTCGGCGATTCTTTCGAATCCCGGCAAACATTCGCATTCATAACCGCCAGGCTGCAATCGATTAAAATTGGCAATCGACCAAAATTTAAATCCTACCGTATTAGTACACCTTGAATTTGGTCCGCACGACTCCGGATTCTTACATTCATCGATATCTGCAATTATTTCAATTCAGCCCCATATATTTAATAAACAAAACCTTCACATAGCGTCGATGGATCTCCAATGAAACCTTCTTTGCACACACATTCAAAACTTCCATCCTTATTAATACATTGCGTACCGTGTCCCGGCTCTCCACAAACTCTTGGCGTCTCTCGGCACTCGTCAACATCTAAACACCGACAAATATTTGCAAGGCAAAAAACATTCCGTCGAGCCGGATTCGAACCAGCGACCTAAGGATAACCAACGGTTCTACAGTCCTCCGCTCTACCAACTGAGCTATCGACGGCACGTCGGACTGCATCGCCAACGGCGAACAAAAGATAGAAGGCGAGAGAGAAGAGGCGTAACAGTGTGGTGAGCGCGGAGGCGCAGAAGTGTGCGATAAAACTCACCAACACATTGAGCGTCTTCGAGGCGATAACCGCCAAAGCAAGTGCATTCAAAACTTCCAATCGTGTTCGTACAAATCGAATGGTTTCCACACACAGCTCCTTCAATTTCACACTCATCGACATCATAGCATCTGAACAAATAATGAAGTTATTGCAAAGAAAATCGAGTCGACTCACCTGAATCCATCGCCGGTGAATCCTTCTTGACATTTGCAGACACCATTTTCGCACCTCGCATTTGGATCGCAACGAGAGCATGCAATTATCTTAAATTGAAATTATAAAAGCATCGTTGTAGAATTTCAAAAATTACCACAGTTGTTGGCGCCTCGGTCGTCGTTGGTCTCGTCGTCGGAATCGTAGTAAGAAGTGGCTTAAAATAGAATTTGCGGTGTGCGCCTTAAAAAAAAACAAAAATTACCGTGTTAACAGTTGGTAACGTTTCGACAAAATCAATATTGGCCGGCCGCGTCGTCGTCGCCGCCGCCGCTGCGGTTGTCGTCGCCTTGAACCGTGTCCTCTGAACAGCCGCCGGTGTCGTCGTCGGCTGATTCCTCGTAAAGCTCGGCCGCATCGGAATCACATCAACTGGAATCGGCGCCGATGGCGGAGCCGGAATTGAGTTCTTGCACATCTGCCGTTGCTCGTCATACTCGAAGCAAAGACACAAAAAGCTTCCCGGTGTGTTGAGACAATCCGGCTGCTCATTTGGGCAATGATGCGTTCTCGCCTTGCATTCATCGACATCGACATCGCAAATCGGCTCGCCGGACCATCCCGGCGAACATTTGCCATTCGGGCATCGGCCATTCTCCTGATCGCAAGCGTCGCCGCCATCGCAATGGCAACTCCTCGAGCAATCATTGAACCATTGCGAGTTTCCGCACGACTCGATGCATTCCAAACCTTTGAATCCGGCGCCGCATAGATAAATATGCGGGCTATCAATTCGGAAAAGCCATTCGCCGGGTATTCCAATGTCGGATTTGTCGGCGAGCTGAATGGCGTCTTGAGTCGCCGAGTCGGGAAGCGAGTAGAAGTTTTGATGGTTCGAGAATCCCGCCTAAATCCCATTGTCATCAAGGCCCAAACAAAAACGAACAACTCACAATTGCGTTTTGGTTATAATTAAGTTTGCTGTAGATGAAATGCGCGAATGTCATCGAATCGCCCATTATTAACGCCAATTGAAACGTATTTCCTTCCGAATCCTACAACGGGATCAATTAGTCGAAAAAAACGAAGAAGGCAAGAAAAAAGTGACGAACCAGGTTCTGCGGGTCTTTCACACCTTCCCAAGTGATCAACACCACCGAACGAACGCGGAACTGCGAACCATATCGATATTGAATGTTGACCTCATTGTGGGCAAGGTTGATTATATTAATATCTAAAAATATTGGCAACATCATACGAAGTTGCGAGCAATTGCAAAGAATTTATTTTACTCAAAAACACTCTTACCATCAGTTTCCCGATAGTAAACCTTTCCAAGGGTGGCCGGCTGCCAGAAAACCGCAATCGTGGGCTCTTCAATTGGTAATGCTGAAGGCCTTGATCGCTTCTCCGTGAACCCAACAGCCCCATCTCGTCCAATCTTCAAAAAAATTGAGTATGTATTCATTTCTCTTGTCTCAAGTGGCCCTCCCAAATTTTCCTTTCGCCACCCCATCGCAACAAGTGGCACCCAGACAAGCAGGCAGTTACATTACACACTTGTATACACCGCCGCTCACCCTTCAATCGTGCTCCGTTGTGGTCTAGTGGTTAGGATTTATGGCTCTCACCCATAAGGCCGGGGTTCGATTCCCCGCAACGGAAGACGTTATTTTTGGTCGCGCGTGCCAGGTGCGCATAAATTGAGCTATTTGTTTGCTTTATTTGACGCTTGTGTCAATAACTTATTGAAGATGAACCTTGCCGGCTTTTAGACGAATAATAAGAGAAGATAAGAGACGAAGAATGATTCAAAAATCCACCTCACGAAAACTTTTTTAGTTTTCTATCAAGCCCTTCATATCTCAATTTATTGTACAAAACTTCGTATATAATAAATCTAGTTGATTTCCCTGGAACATAATCGCCGTTCCAATTCATCGTATTATCGCTATCGATGTCTCGAAAACTTTCTCCCGAGTGGATGAGGGAGGTCGCATCATATTCAATCAAACTGATATATTTACGCTGGCGCGAAAACTCGGATTTTTCCCTAATTATAAATGATTATATTATGCAATCGCATAGTTTTGGCGGCGCGCGCGACGATGATTCCACTATTTCTAACTTGCTAATCTCGAAATTTATCGAGTTTCGCAACCGCCTGGACTCGGGTTTTTTTTTTTCACGCCATCTTTTTGCCATCGGGCACAGGTGTGTGCGCGCGAATGTCGAAATATTTCAAGTTCCGACGACGTAAAAATTTTATGATTCATAAGAAAATGATGAGATAGTGCCGGTTCGACGAGTACGGAAAAGTTCAAGGAAGAGAAACTATATTACAATGATTAGAGGAAATCAATTTAGATTCCAAAAAATTCAAAATTCTACCCAAATCGGTAATTTTCAAGCTTGTTTTTAAACATTCAATCAAAATAACTAGCATTGTTTTTTTTTCACATTAAACATGAATTTAAATGATAAAAATGTAAAATACATTTTAAAAAATGTATATAGGAAAAAATCAATAATTAAAAAAAAAAAAACGGCATCCAGAAATCTCCGCGAAACAAAGAATCCGTGTTTGCAGACTTTGCAAGCTACAGTATCCAATTGGTAAAAGTTATTTTTTTACAACCTTTATCAAGAAGACTCAAATTTTTCATTGAAAACGTTAAAAATTCTCCATTATTTATCAAATACCATGCAATTCCAAAAAGACATGGCAACATGCTTAAATTCCGCTTGACTAATAATAATCCCTATTGTATAAAATGATTGTGGTGAGCGCGCGCGCGCCGCCGCCGCCGACAATTACCGCCGAATTCTCGCCGCTGTCTTATCATGCGAGATTCCATGGTGTTAACCCGAAAGCAAGCCGGCTTTTCGAATGTGAAGCCAAAAAAGTGAAAAACAATGGAAAATACTCACATAGATACTATCGAAGACATCGCCCATGAAATGGACGGGGCTCTCAAGCTTATAAATCTCCTGTCTTCCGTTCATCTCAATGTCTCCACGATTCGGACCATACGTGTAAAGGCGCGCCGAGAAAATATAAGGCACTGTGATGTTCAAGTCAATCTGCTGGCCCGGCTCGTCAAGAATTTGCCGTCGATATCGAGCATGGCCTAAAAGTGGCAAGTTGTTTTTTTTTTGAAACAACATTAAAAAAATAATATGAGCGAACCTTTAAATGGGTGCTCATCGGCGAAAACGGCGGCGAGCAGCGCGAGAATCGTCGTGACGAGACCAATCTTGCGGGGCCGCCTCATGTTTGATGAGATGACCAACCGAAGCAGCGGCAGCAAGCTTGTTCTTCTTCCCGAAGAATGCGTGCGCGATCCGTGAGATCCGCCGACCACACGAGGTCTGCGTCTCCGCCACTTGGTGAACTCTCGCCGCACGCTCCGCCCACCATATCGTGCTTTATTCTGCTTCTGAAACCTATATGTATGTGTTCATTGATATAAGGAGAAGAGGGAGAGAGAGAGATTCGATTACTATATGAAATCAAACGTCATCCCCATTATCGACATTCAACTGGGAGAAATGTGTTTGTGGTTTCCTGGTTGGGTCTCGACGCGAACAATACAAACAGCAAGTTGGATATTAAAACTACCGGAATTTCTATGTGGTCTTTTTTTTCGTGAAGTCTAATCTGCAATTAAACCTTCTTACATACTTTTCGCAAAAAAATAATGGTTTAAAGGCGCTGGAAACCAATCTTTATTTTTTTCTCCAATGTATTCAAAACACCAAAAACGGCCATAAATCACATCCGGAAGTCTCATTAACGCCAAATTTGAATAATTGCCCTAACGGTTCGCAGCAGGAGGCGGCCATCGTCGACCAGCAGTCTTATTTAATCAATAGGCACCTGCAGGAGTTTCAGTAAAACGCATTTCATCAGTCACTGTAGCCGCACTGGACTGTATTTTTTGCGAAGTAAATACCAGAATCAAATTCTCTTCAAAAACTACTGATTTGAAAAGACATTAAAGTTGGGTCTCGAGGCGCATTTTCTCAGAAACATCCAATAGAGGGCCATTAATTATTCTTTGACTGAACGTGGAAGAAAGAAAAAAAAACGGCGAAAGTCAGAATTCTGTGCAGCTCTGCATCACTACATTGCAGAAACCTAATCATTGATATCAAAATTGTTCGAAACTCAGAAAATCCGCGTGATCCAGTTTCTCGCACTTCCCGCCAAATTTTGCCTCATTTTTCTTCGCGCGATTTTCAGAATTTCAGCGCGCAAAACTTCAATAAATTCGCAAACATTATTCGAGATGAGGAAACAATTGAATCGCCCGAATCAGGTTGATAAGGTGAATTATATGCGAGCAATCGTCAGATTTAGGCTGCTCGTAAGCAAATGCCCGATTTGACCACCGAGATATTTGATAGCACCCAAATTAGAAAAAACAATAGCCGGGGGAGTTCGGCTAATATGAGCACTGCCAATGAGGGAGAGCTCGAGCATAATGAGGAGCTCGATCAGGCCTCTCAACCTCAATTAACTGCACCACCACCATCGCCGGAGACTTCTTCACGTCCGAATGTCAGCGCGAACAGCACTATGTGGAATCAGCGTTGGGATCAAGAAGCAACACTGTATACGAATCAGCCGCAATTTGAAGAATTCACGCCGGTCACGTCGTTGAGACCTGACAGACTGCCGAATCCATTCGCGAATCGCCGCCGATTCACCATGGACCCATTTGCTTATTCAAGAATGAGCAGCGGATTCGACGGATTGCATGATATGAGCGACGAGCTGGCGGAAATTGGTCTTGAGCCTAACGTACCTCTGGCCCCGGTTATCCGACCTGAAGTCATGCTGCCGGCATGGTGGAAGACGCGCTCATTCTCTTCAGCGAGTTGCTATTATCCGCAAAATGCTAAATCTCAGGTTTAGTAAAAAAAAAAATAAAGCAAAAATTTCAAACACTTGGATTTTTAGAGCTGCCACCAACGAATTTTGGGTGGTCCCGCAAATAGCCTTGAAGATATCGATGCCTTCCTGGCCGCCAACAGTCAGCATTCTAGAAGAAGCGATATAATGTCAAAGTAAGAAATTGCAGGAAAATAACGTTTTAAAGAAATTTAAAAATATTATTTAGTGTAGAAATGTGGGGGCAATGTAATATTCTTTGCCATTATTTTGGTTTGAAATTAGAATTAAAAAAATCAAAATGAATTCGAAAACAAGAAAGTTTCAACAAAAAATATTTAACACACTTTCAAATTTGAATTTGAAAAAATTTTTTAAAAAAGCAAATTTGCAATAATAGAGTAATGGCCGAGAATTTTGGGGCCGCTTATTTCTAGGCCAAACATTTTCAATGAATCTCGATTAATCATTCATTTAATTACAATTAATTTTCTTCGTAGAAAACGAATAAATTTAAAAACTACAGAAAAGAGCGATGGGCTCGCATCAAAGCACGCAAGAAGATTTTGCGTCGTCCCGTCGAAGACGAATATTTTAACGATGCTGACGAGGAAGAGGAAATAATGAATGGCCGTGGTGTGATGCTCAACCAGATCATCCAGCAAGGCACCAGCGGACAATACGAAGACGCCGATCTTCTGAGGAAGTATCGCCGCGACGTCGCCTATATAAAAGAAGTGCTGATGGCCGAAGTCGACGGCAACGTCGACAGAATTCGCGAACTTCGCTTCCTCATCGCCTCCGTTCAAACCTACGGCAACATCGACGGTCAATGTATGATGGCCGAGTTGGCGATGAACGAATTCACACTATTCGCCGGTGTCTTGGAGCGGTTCCACGCCATCGTTGGCCCGTGGTCGCCAGATACCGAAATCCAGCGACGACGGGCGAGTAGGCACGCGTTTGAAACGCACAAAATACCGCTTCAACACAATTTGGCGACAATGTCAATGCCGAAGCTGATTGAAGAGATTCTCGGCCGATCGGAACCGTCGATCGCGTATCGGCAAGGCGTAAAAGTCGGATTGTACAGTGATACGTGCGATGAGCAATTTCGAGTTCAATTGAATATCAAGAATACATTTAAAGGTGGCCGATTTAAGCGCAAACTCGAATTTTTTTACGTTTTCAGATCCCGCAATGATTGTCGATGTTAATGAGCGTCGCTTCATTCTCGTTCTCCAGAATGAGCTCGACCTCATGGTTGACTCAATGAAGCACCTTGCCGAGACCGTTGAGCTCCCCTACGAAGGCTTCCCGGCCAATCGCGATCGCTATGTGATCGTTGAGGCGTTTGTTGAGGCGATCGCCGAGATCATCGGCGAGTCAATTGGTCCCGACACGATGCGCTGGTTTGGAATTCTCGGTCAAAAAGTGTCCGAAGACGTGAGCACGCGGCAATCTCATAAAAAAATCGAACACCTTCTCATTCATTCAGAGCACGACGCCTTGGGAGCGCAACGTCGAACTTCACTGTAATCGTCATTCGGAGCAGAAAAACGATTTCTGCGCCCAAGTCACCGTATGCCGAGCCACTTTCATCATCCTTCACGTTCTGGGAAGCTTCTTCCGCCGATATCACCTCCGCAAAATTCCATCGAATCTCTCAACCACACTCTCGCAATCAAACACAAAAGCTTAATTTAGCAATATTAATTGAATCCGACTATTAGAATTTATTTCAATTATGAAAACGTAACAATGATATATTAATAATCAAATAATCATTAACGGAATACCTTAAGAGGCGTTCTTCCCTTAGCACAACGGCGGAAAATCGGCGTCAGTGAACACTGGAGGTTTCGAGGCTTTCGGTGCAGCCGTCGTCGTCGTCCGCGATTCTCGCTTCTTCTTCTCGTTGCTTCGTTTGGCGCGATTCTCGCGTCGATATTTTTGCACCACAATCGGTGCAACATTCTCGTCCTGCGTTGTTGGCGGACGCGGAGCCCCACCGGAGCCTAATGTGAGCATATTGAGTAGATGTTCGGTGTCAGGTCGGAATGTGTCAAACGTGTGCAAGTGTTGTTGATTCATCGGAGCGAACGCGTTGAGCATGTTGAGCTCTTGAATCGCTTGCTCGTTGAAAAGCGCCGCGTTCGACGAGAAGTTCGTCATAATCTCCGACCAAAATTGGCTAGAAAAAATATTAACAAAGAAATCGAGAAAAAAAAATGCTACTTTTCCGAATCGTCTGGAATCATCGGCTCGACTTTCACCAAATTGTTTCCCTGCAGCATTCGGAATCGATTGCCGCGCCTCAAATTCGGCATCAACACGCCATCGGGCAGCTGATGGGGCGCTTCAATCGAAATGACCGAATTTCCCGGCAAATATGGCCTAGAACAAAAAAGGTTATTGGAAATTACTCGATGTCTGGCATTTACAGCATATGCCGGTACAGATGAACGACTTGAACATCCCGCTGAAGATATTCGGGAAACGCGTGCGTCCAAATTCCGTCCAAATCGGTGAGAATGATGAGTTTCGCGCTTCTGAACGCGAACGTCGCCTTTTCGAGCTGAAAAATTTCCATTCAGAAACAATTGGATATCGAAATTGTGCTAACAATCGCTTGGCCGAACATGGGTGAGGCCAAATTCAAATTGTTCGAAGTGTCCAACAATCTCAAATTCGAGTTATTCTGCACCATCGTCAACACGCTGGCTTCGTCGACGAGCGTGTTATCAGAAAGAAATAGGCGTTCGAGTTTTCGATGTGCCATTATTCCCAATGAGATGTCCCGTAGAATTCCGTCAAGATTCAAATTTCTCAAACGTTCCATTCCGGCTAGTTTGGAGATACCCGTACTGAAAAATTCGAAATTTTTCTGAAATCACTAAAAAAAATGCTGAAACTCACGAGCTAATATTTTTACAATATGCTAGCGAAATACTCTGTATACATTTGGCGGCCGGCGATTTCACATGATCGCTGAGTTCGGCAAGAAATTTGTCGGTGACCAAATTCAAACCCTCGAGGCATAGCGTTTTGAGTTTGCCCATTTTGCGAATGTCGGACAATGCGCACGGATTGTCTGAAATTGAGCAATTTTTCGCTTGATTCCAAGCAAATTGATACGATTACAGTTTTTCGAGGCATCGCCGACAATTGAAAGCTCTTCGACATTCTTCAGAATATCTGTCATTTTTTCGAGGACGCCCTTTTCATCGAGAATCGTCAATTGTGAGACGTGAAGTACCTGAACATAGAATTTCTATCAAAAGAGAACATCTACGAGATGATTGAAACCTTCAATTTTCTCAATCTTGAACAAACGACAAGGAAGAAATATTTCACGAATCGATAGCATTGCTCGATTTCCAAATGGCGAAGGGACACCGGAGCTTTCTGAAAACAAAAACAGTTGTAAAATATTTAATCAATTTTCAAATTACCGTGAATGAGTGACCAATTATATACTGTCCATCCATTTTCAGTGTTTCGAGGTGCGGACAACTTTTGAAAATCTTGAATTGACTACTTTAGACTTAATTTTTATCTAGGAAATTGCGTACCACATTAAGATCGCCATCTCTCAATCTATGCCTGGTGCAGATCAGAATGTCGAGATGACGTAAATTTGTACATTTTTGAATCGATTGAATTACTGATTGCCTCCAGGCCCATTGAGAAAACTCCTAAATATTGGATTTATTTTTTTTTCTTTGAATAATTATTACTTTGAGGCTTGTTGATCTGAAAAGATCAAAGTTTAAATATTCAATTTGTTGTCCATATTTGGAAAGGAAATATGCGATTTTCGCATCATCTACATGATCGAGTCCATCGCGAAAAAATGCTATCGATTTAATCGTACGCTTCGCAGACTCGTTAAATTTTTTGCAAACTTTTCCAAAATTCAATCGCTCTAAAAAATCATCTTTAAAGAGAAAAAACTTCTGTCACACCTTTAAGCGGAACATATGACAAAATTCTGTCTAAATTTTCATCACCCAATGATAAAAGTGGAGCATTCTGAAAATTCCATTATTTTTGGGAAAAAAACGGGAAAACGATTTCACCTGTACAATATCTTCGCGAAGATCGTCTAGAGAGAACGTGGGTAATTCGAAATTAATTCCAAGATTCGGAAAATAGCTGAGCGACTGCGGAAACATTGCCGAAAACCGAATATTGACCGGAGTTGACGCCAAGCCGCCGATATCTTGAAATTGGCGCGCAAATCGAAACTTGCACGACAAACGTGTCAGTGTGCAACGCGAAACGCGCCAGTGTCCGCCGGGCCTGACGCGTCTCGCAAATCCAGTTTTTCAACAAATTTGTTGTCTCACTTTCGCTTATTTGTGTTCATTTCCAGTTTTGTTGTTTATTTTTTCCCAACTAAAACTCGATTAATTGCTTTTGCAGGGCTTCTGGCCATGTCGCTTGTGCAAGTGCAGCGCTCGCCGTCGCCATCCGTGCACGATGACAGCGATATTCTGGAGGCCGACGTTTCGCGATGCTCGTCGCGAAATCGATCAATGTCAGAATGCTATTTTGCGGTTCGCGGAGCGGCCGTCATTCTTCCACATCAGTAAGATATATTCCGAAAAAAATTTTCGAAAAATTTGATCTTGTCGATTTTAGCGATTTATCGCCGTCGTGCTCACACTCGGACAGTAGCGCCGAAATCGAGACCCATCTTCAAGCAATGTTCCATTTGTTGCGACCGCAAGACACTCTTATAATGGCAGTTCGACTTCAAACTCAAATTGCGGACCATTTGCGATATCTGACGATTGTTTCAACTTACACAGATAGCTCGAAACCCGAAAAACGCACATTACTGATTGGAATGGATTATTATAAAAATCAAATGACGTGAGACCATTTATTTTTCCATTCTTTAAAACCATTTTTGAAGAATTGGCGTTGTTCTCCCACTTCTATGGTGCAGCCGCGTCGAGCTCGCCGGCGATGGCGGGGTTACGGTACACGGAGCGGGACAAGCGTGCAATGAGGAGGACAACACACTCGTATTCCGTCCAATTTCCGTTCAAGCCATGTGGTACGTCTTCCAATATCTGCACAAAGAGCTTGAGAACACTCATGTGACGTCATCGGACATCAAAGAGCCCACTCGAGTCACTGAATTGTACATGGACAAAATTAAATCGCCGACATTCTTGTGCTCTCAATGGCAGCAATCATTGCTTGAGGAGGAGGCCGAGGATGAGCTTCACGCCGACAATGTTCGAAATTACGCGGGCCCTCAGGAGGTTATCGAGAAAGTGAGAATTGAATTTCGAAACTATTTTTTCAACGATGTTTTTTTTTCAACTAGGAGGCAATTCTGCGATCCGAACTTCGCCAAATAATGCAATCCGTGGATTTGGATCAGGTGACAAGCAAGGATATTCGAACGCAACTTTCGCAACGATGCGGCGGTTCGATTGATGAGCACAAGGTTTGCGAATGTGTCCTTGAAATTTGAAATGCGTTCCTCAGGAGTTTATCGACCGCGAAATGCTTGTGATTCTTGGCCAGCTCGAGCAACCATCGGAAATCTTCTCGTATCTCCTATTAGGCACCGAATGGAATGCAAGCAATTGGGATGAGCTTCATAAAAAGAAGTGAGCTCGAGCATCTCAATTTGAGAGCCCACGATCAATCGATTCAATCTCTTTTTGTTGTTGTTGTTGCAGTGTCGGATTTATTTTGAATGTGACACGAGAAGTTGACAATTTTTTCCCCAACTCGTTCAAATATCGAAAGGTTTGGGTGGCCGATGAAGCTGACGCACAACTTCTCAACCATTGGAATGCAACATCGGCATTCATTAAAGAAGCAAAGTGGGTTTTATGGGGGAAATTCCAGCCAATAATTGAATTTTGTTTTGTCAGAGAATCTGGAAAAGTCTGCCTTGTTCATTGCAAGAAAGGCATCAGCCGAAGCTCGTCAACCGTCATTGCCTACATTATGAAAGAATACAACTGGAGGTTGAACGATGCGCTCGAGTATGTCAAAAAGTGCCGAAATTGCATCACTCCTAACAAGGTGGTTTCTTTTTTTTTTTTTTTCTTAGATTTGATCAACTTTTGAAAAATTCGCAGGGCTTCATCGAGCAATTAAAAATGTACGCCGGCGCGTTGGAAGCGTCAAGGCATCGTCATGCCGCCGTTTTCAACTCGCGTGTTCCAAGAGCACACTCGGTCGTCGCGCCGTGCCGAGCTAAAAGCAAATCGGCGACGGTGACGAGAGCGGTTCGCAAATCGTCGGCGCAGGTTTTATCGTCAGGTAATCATTAGTCAGAACGCGCGAATCGAGAAATTTTTTTCTCTCACACCGAGTTTCTTTTTCTGCAGACAGCGATGTATCTGTGCGATTCATTGTCAACAATTTTGAGCAAAAGCGTATGAGTGCTGAAAGTGCGCCGAGAAGCCCTCAAACCACTCGGCACTCGTTTCCGGTCGATATCATCAAGCACAACTCGATTCCGCAATATAGTTGAAAATCTCCAGAACCCCGCATTTTGTATTTCCATTCCAAACTACCCTCTTTTTTTAAACGCTGTGATATCGAGATTTTCAAATCAATTGTACAATTTTGTTTTTTGTATACATTTTCGTCGTATTCTTAAACTGATATTTGTAAATATGCCCCCATTTTTTCATCTAAAATCAAGGACTTTTCGCTTACTACACATTTTTCACTTTTTTTCCCTTTTACTACTTCGTATTCTTTCGCTGTGGGTTGTGAAACAAAATGAACAGTCAATGCGAGACACAAAAATAAATTATGAATAATGCTGCTACCAATATAAATAGAACGAATTAGAATATGTACATAAATATATGGCACACTGGGTTCAGTTTTGTTTTTTTCTTCCGGGCGATCGTGATTTAAGTAGACTAATTACATTTGGAGACGTTTCGATGACTGCATATCGTACATCTCATTGTTTTGACGAATTTTTGCGGGTAGCGGCGTCTAAAATTTAGCATGATTTCAAAATCGGAACATTTTTTCCAATTGAAACCTTAGCTTCTGGCGTTGAAGTCTTCGAGAGCACTTGCGCAAATGACACATTCCTACTGTTGATTAATAGCTGGCTTAGATCTCGGATCTTCTCGCTCAGCTTTTCCCGTTGCTCGTCCGATTTGGCGGCCAGCGCTTCATCGGCACATTCCTCTGAAATAGCTGAATTTGACAGAAAATTGAGTTTTAGCGGACAAACCTAAGGTTTCGGCAACCTGTGAGCACACCATCTCCTGCTCATTTAGGCGAATTTGAAGGCACGAGACCTGCTCTTCCATTAACTGAATCTCTTTTCCCCAAACATCAGATTTCGGCGAAAGTTTATTGGCGTTCGCGTTGCTCGGCAATTTTCGCGGCGATGATGGCGCAGAATCTGAAAAATTGCTATAGAATTGAAAATTTTCGCGAATATTGGAAGTAATCTGACCAGAATTAGCGCGGTCTCTTATAGAATTCTTGACTTTTTCCAAAACCGGCACAAACGTTAAAATAGACGGCGACGCTTCTGCGTTGCCTCCTTTCTTTGATTTCGGTCTATCAGCGGACTAAAAATTCAGTATGTAAATTTACAAAAGCCCCAATTGGTACCTTTGTTGGTCGTTGAATTCGATTTGGATGAGCTGTACCGGACACTGTGATATGAGAAAAATTGTTGGCTTTTATAATCGGTCTCGCATTCTTCTGAATACGTTTTATTGTTTAAATCGAAATTAATGTTAAAGACAAATTCTACTTTTGGGTTACGATAGTGTCTTGCAAGCTTTATAAAAGAGTCCATATCAGCAATAGGCGGGTACCTCATCAGGTACTGCAAACAGCCACCATAATCCGAAGAAAGCACTGTAATCAAAGGATCATCACCGAGCATGCGGCGCACAAGAAACATACATAGTTGACGAATTTGCACCAAAAGAGATACAAAAATACATTTTACAAGTGGCCCAATGGGTCGATCGGTTAAAAGCACATCCCACAAAAATAAGAGATCATGAAGAGAAAGTTCGCGGCCAAAAAGTAAACGTAGCCAGCGACTGGAAACGATAGAAAAAACCTTGAGAGTTCGAGAATAAAAACTCACATTCCGTATAACTGTGGCGGAATGTCAAGAGAGCTGAGATGTTTGGCGAGAGCTGGATCAGTTTCTTCGAGAAATTTCGCGATGTCCATTAGATCTTCCATCAAACGACTATTTAAGGGAGAATCTTGAACTCTGAAGAAATGGCAAACTTATAAATTAATTTATCAAAATTGTACAATTACCTTAGATAAGGCTCTAATTCGTTTTTCCCACGTTCGCTTTTTCCTTCGGAATTGTCTTCGTACCATTTTGAAATTTCTAGCATAAATGCCGCAAATAGATTGCTTAAAATTTTTGTTCATTAAAAAAAAAAATTCCTAAAAGAAAATATTTACAAACAATCGTGCTCCAAAAAATCCTTGTTGAAAAGACAATTCAAACAATCCTCCTCTTCAACCGTCAACGTTTTCAATTCATCTCCTTCTTTCGCGTGCTCAAATGCTTCAATATCTGAGTAGATGACGAAAATGAGCGGCGCCAAAATCTCATGCATCCCTTGCTTGTAGTTAATATATGGGTTATCCTTGGCGAACACCAAAAGGATATCCGCCATTAGTTTTTGAAGCCAACTCTGCTGAAAGAACTCGATTTCCGGAAATGTTCTGGCGACGTCTTTTCCGATAATGTCTCGCAGTTCATTATCTTCGAAAAATGAGTTCCAGGGATTTTGTTCTACGGGCGCTAGAGGATTGTTAAATTGCGGGTCTTGTATGAATTTTTCGTCTCTCGGGTCAATCAATTTCGTTTTCTTCAAGACCCTGTAGCTATTGCGTGTCCTTGATAGTGAAACTTCCCATTCCTTAATGTCATATGGAAGGCATCTCAGTAGAAGCTTAACAAAAAATCAATAAGCTGAACAATTTTATAATTTTTTACTCTCCACACTGCTGAACGACAAGAAGAAGATCTTAAAGAGCCGGAGAGAGCCACTTTAGACAAGAGTTCATCGGAAAGTTTGTATTTTACAAGAGAAGTAGCATCAAATCTGAAATTTACATAATTAATTGAAACTAACATTGATTTCAAAAATTACGTTAGTGAGTTGGATGATGACGATGGCATGGGACCATTAGTAGCATTCATTCCAAATTATGTCTCATATTTACACCCCAATCTGAAAATATAAACAAAAATAATTGATAATTAAGTTGTTGATTTGAAATTTGCACCAAGCAGCGGGTTAATTGATTAATTCAAGTCATAAACAAATGATGATAACACAGCATTTTGAAATGAAGGAAGCAAAACTCTTAAATGTTCAAAAATTGCCCATATTGACGTCGAAAAAATACCCCGACTTAGATTAAATCGACACGGCTGTCTCTTTGTGTCGAGACCACTGCGCTCGCAGCCAATTCGTTGGCTGAGTATTCAACTTTAATGCGTGTCAGTGCAAAACACCCAGATGTAGAAAAACCGTTTTTTCGTTTTCCTTGCGGAATTTTTTAAAATTTTACATTGTTTTTGATTAAAATCAGTTCAAAATCGTCCTAGCTATGTGTGCCTACACCAAAAACGCAATTTTATTCGTTTTACTAGTCTTCATTTTCATATTATGGTTTTTCTTATACCGCTTACCTTGTTAAATCGTTTTATATATATATATATATATATATATATATATATATATATATATATAAATATGTGCTTTCTTTGAAAAATTATTTTATTGTAGGTAATATGTCGGGAGGATACGCTCCTTTGGCCCTCACAGAGGAGGATGTTATGAAGCTTTTGGCCACCCAGGCCCATCTTGGATCATCCAATGTTAACTTCCAGATGCAGCAATACGTCTACAAGAGACGTTATGATGGTAATTTATTTTCTCTGCGTTTTATCAAATACTAAAAAAAGAAGCAAAAATTTAAAACTAACGTTAGTAATTACATGTATCTGTATGAATTTTAAGAGACAATGAATATTTGTCGATATTTTTTAACGTGATTTTTTTCGATTAAAGCATTTCTTCTTTTTTAGCCCAACAATTGATTATGTGAAGAAATTTAAAAGTAACATTTTTCAGGACCAGCCATCATTAATATCACCAAAACCTGGGAAAAGCTTCTTCTCGCTGCTCGCGCTATCGCCGCTGTTGAGAACCCAGCTGATGTTGTTGTTGTCTCCGCCAGACCATACTCCCAGCGTGCTCTCCTCAAGTTCGCTGCCCACACTGGAGCGACCGCTATCTTCGGACGTTTCTCTCCTGGTTGCTTGACCAATCAGATCCAAAAGACCTTCAAGGAGCCAAGACTCTTGGTCATTTCTGACCCAAGAATCGATCACCAGGTAATGTTTTTATTTTGGATTACTCAGTAGCTTGTTATTTCAGGCTGTTACTGAGGCTTCGTACGTTGGAGTTCCGGTTATCTCCTTCGTCAACACCGAGTCTCCACTCAAGCTTGTCGACATCGGAATCCCATGCAACAACAAGGTATTTAAATTTATAGAACGAGAGTTTATTTGATTTTTAAGGGAGAGAAGTCGATCGGACTTATGTGGTGGTTCCTCGCTCGTGAGATCCTCATCCTCCGCGGAAAGATCTCCAGACAAACTGGATTCGTTCTTGACGGAAAGGAAATCATGCCGGATCTCTACTTCTACCGTGACCCATCTGACACCGAGAAGGAAGAGAACGGAGCCCTCCCAGAACAAACTGAGGCTTCTGAATTCCAACCATCCCCAGACATAGATTTCACCCAAAACGTTACCAAGGTTGACGATTGGGCGGCTGAGACTGCTACTTGGAGCGCTTCGGGAGCCAAGCCAGAGGGTGAATGGACCACTCCATCCGCTGAGAAATCGTGGTAAATATTGTTATTATGTTGGTTTCTGCCAATAAACTTTTGTTATACAATATGTTCTACAAATTTATGGTAATTACGTAGATACTGGAGGTGTGCATGAAATGCTATTTCTTATTTATTTTTTTAGCCTATATTCGAGAAGTTACTTTTAGAACAAGCAGCCGCAAAACATTGCCTTTTAAATATTCCAAAGCGAAAAAAATGTCAAAAAAATTTTTTCTTTATGTTAGTGTTTCCGAAATATTTTATTGAAAAATTTCGCGGTTTCAAATAATGTAGGTCTGAATCTTTTGATTCCCCATGAATGTTTCTGTACATTCATAATTTAAATTTGCCTTTCGTATATATCATCTGTCGATTGTTAAGTGGAATTTCGACTGTCGATCACAGGTCGTACACAATGTCCCGCGCGAGAAACATGTATGTGATTGCAAAATTTATTTGAATGGGAAACTGTATGAGAATTAATGGGCAAAGCGATTGACGAATACTGCACTCCTTGGTGGGCATGGGCAATAGGCCGCATCGTTTCCTGAAAATAATGGTTTGTAAGCATTCCTTTCATTTATCGTTGTTTTTACCTGGAAGTCCTGGGCCTCCGACGCCTCCTGGCTGCCCATCGTTTCCTGGGTTTCCAGGAGTTCCATCCTGTCCTGGTGGTCCTTGCGGGCCTGGTGCTCCGTCGGATCCTGGACTTCCATTGTCTCCATTTGGCCCAGCTGGTCCTGGAGCCCCTGGTGGTCCTAGTGGTCCAGGCTGGCCTTGTCCTCGTTCGCCGTCTTTTCCTGGTGGCCCAGCTTCTCCATCCGGCCCGTTGCCACCTGGAGCTCCATCGTCTCCAGCGGGTCCTGGTGGACCCGGTGGTCCGTCGTTTCCTGGGTTTCCTGGCGCGCCAGGCTGTCCATCGGGGCCAGAAGATCCAGCGGGTCCCTCGGGTCCTGGTGGTCCGGCGGGTCCAGCAGGGCACTGCACACAGCTGCGATCTTGCGGTGGACAAGTGAGCGGCGCATATGTCGAGGTATTATCCTCTCCTGGGGGTCCCGGAGGTCCGGCAGCTCCTGGCTGTCCAGGTTCGCCTGGTGGTCCAGGTGGGCCTGGCGGGCATACAGGTTTCGCAGGCTCACACTGGCACCAGGCCGGCAGGCCCGAAAAGTCCTGCCTCTTCTGACGGAAGATCGAGTTGAACGGATTGACACGTGGCTTCGATGGCGGCGTGACGGTGATCTGGATATCCATCATATCGGTCCAGGCGGCATCGGTCTCGAGACGAAACACGCTGACACCATCGAGGACCTCCTCATGTACCTTTAAATAAAAGGATCATATGTTATATGTCAAATCGAATAAAAAAAACAATAACCTCGTGAATTGTGTTGTAGAGCTGTGGGATGACAATAAGGCACGCAAGGCAGGCGATCGTCGACGCCGCCGATGCCACGCCCACTACGAATTTCTCCATAGCTGAAGAATGAAGGTGCGCTGGAAGTCGGCCACCTTTAAATATGCGTCGATGGGCGGAGCCTAGGCAATGCGTTGGTGGTGCGTATTTTTTTCGCCGATTTTCCGACTCATTCCGATTGTCGATTGACATAATCAAAGAAGAATGCGACGAGAAGCATTAGCGTTTGAGAATTGCATTGCGTGTATTGTTAACACGACAAGAAAACTGTAGTTTGATCCGGTTCAACAAATGTCGGCAAGATATTGTGTTTTTTTTTTCACCCTGAAAATTGCAAACTAGTCCGCTATATGTCGTCAGGTGTGTTGCACACTGTGACTACAGTAATCATATCGGAAAAAATTGAGATTCACCCACTCAAATTTCATTATTTTATTTTGTTTCGCGCTTGACAAACGCTTTAAAATGTTTTAGAAGCAGAATTAAAGCTCTAAAATTCTGCACGACTACGTGAAAAATGTGATTTATTGTTGTTATTATTAATGATACTTAAACTCTGAAAATGAAATTCCTAGTTAATTTCAATTGCAGAATTCGATGTCAACGATCAACCAATTTCGTTTCAGCGCCCAAAATGCTTTTTCCAATTATTCCATGCGTTGAATATAAATTATGCCAATTATACACGCTTTTCCCTTTTTCGCGCCTCCTTATTTGATTTATTCGGCGCCAATTGAATGAAATGAAAGTCGAAAAACGGGGATGACGGACAAACTTGACCGCAATTTTCATGTTTTTGATTGTTGTTTGTGTTTTTTGCTTGTTTTTTATCAGTCTGTAAATCGGAAGGAAAAAACCGGGACAGGAATTTTTTGTTACAGCAAAGTAGGGAAAAAACGATGACAATCTTTACTAGTTTTTTCTGTTCATTCGCCATTTTCGCAGGCAGATGAGTGGATTTGGTTGTCAAGTGGCACGACATGCCTAATTATGAGAAAATAATGAATATGGTTTGACGTGTGATGTACATAATTGGAGTGGTGAAGAAAGAAAAAGACTTGGAAAAATGTCTTAACGAAATTTTTCAAAGTTGAATTTGTAAAAAGAAACAACAAAATGTTGCATCATTGAAACAAAATTTTCAGGCTACTCAGCAAATCGCGCCGTAGAAACGGCGGTGAATAGCGAGTTTCGGTGAAACGGCGGTGGAACGATGGTTTACTAAACGCGCTAAACCGTGGGCTATGTGTAATATTAGTAGTGTCGTACAACCTTCTAAAAAAAACGAAAATTAATTTAAATTAATTTTCGATTTTATTTAAATTTCATTTAAAGTTTTAATTAAATTTCAAAATGAAGATTTATTTAAATTAATTTTATGAATTTTTTAATTTGTAATTAATTAATTATAATGTATTGATTGTTTTAAAACCTTCTATTGGTTTTAAGATTTAATATAATTAATACTACATTCTTTTTAAATTTGAAAGTTTGATTTGATGAGAATGGTTTTTCCAGAACGTTCGTTTCAACATGAAAAGGAGTAGATTGACGAAAGAAGAGAATGGTATATCTGTGATCAGCATAAAGGAAAAAAATTTTGTAGACGCGCGAATTCGGGGCTATGGAGTTCGTCTTTTACCTGTTGAAAACGTCAATGATGTTATTGAAGAAGAAACTGTAGATAATAAAAAACTTGTAATAATCGTCAAAACGCATGAATATCACCATCACATTCAGGTAATGAAAAATTCGCGGCTATATATATAATTGTATGCTTATTTTAGATTAATGCACGAAGTAGAATTTCTTAGAACTTCACCACTGCTTATACAATACGAAGGGGTCAAATATTCCGTCATGGTCGAGCCAGCTGTATCATTTTTGGATCTCAAGGCAAGCTTGTCTTGGTACATAATGAAACATTACGATATAGGGCATGTGTCAGATCTGTGGTCTTCCGAATTGGGCAAGTACACAGGGATGCACACTTTGCACGATCATTGGTTCGAAATCGGGTCGGCAAGCGGTTTCTTTTTTTCCGACATTCAATACCCTTCAAGAACTGCGAATGATGTAATGAATATGATGAGAGCTAGCGGAAAATTAAGTAAGCAATTCCCTTCAAACCTACATCTAAAATATGAATTGTTAGACATTCTGTCAATTCTTGCCAGCCCATCAAATCAACCGTTCGATGAACTTCATTACCTTTCCGAAGGGTTTTTGAAAAATTTATTGGAACAAATTTTTGGGCGCGGTTCAAATTTGCCTCGGTTGAAAATTTCGACTAGGGTGGTTCAGGCACTTTCATGTTCTCTGATTAATACCATAGATCCACCGGAAACGCCCTGCAGGTTTGCTAGCCCAGAAAGATTCTCGCGTGCGACCGGTTCAGAGATAAGAAAAGTGAGCAATTTTAAAGTTGGGACATTTGATTATATTTTTCAGTCAGTTCAGTTTACTCTTGCTGCGTTATCAATGACATTTAAGTTTCCTCGCATCATGGAAACCACGTTTTTGGCTTGCTTGTTCATATTTAACAACTTGCTATATATGGCAAGGACCGAAGCTCATCTCTACGCAATCCAACAACTTTCGAATTTCATAAAAGGATATATTGGACATGAAAATAGCGAATTCTATACGCTTAAAATGCATGTAAGAAAATTGACTTGTTTAAAACAGAAGAATGGTAGCAATTCCAGCTGATTTTTGATCACTGTGTGGAGTTGATTCGTAGATACGGCAATTGTTCAACAACTTCAACTGCAAGTTTTGAAAAAACGCACTGCTACTTATCGTTAATGACTAATCAACTATCGATTGCGGATATGGCGAAAAAGTTTATAGCGGACAGTTATTTCACAACCGAAAAGAGGTAAATTCTTAATGTAAATCTCTTAAACTTGAATTTCTTCAGTTCGGATTCGACTTTACAGTTAAGTAGTGATATTGAATTTTCGAGGAATTATAGAATTACGAATTCGTCTACAATTTCAACGTTATCACAGAAAGTGGCATCACACGGAGGACAAATTTAATTTTTTGCAGCCAAATGACTAAATAATTTTTTTTTGTAATAAATTATTCCAGTTTTTCGCGAGTACTTTCAAAAAAACAATAAACGTGGTGAAATATGACAATAGTTTGAAAGTACTAAAACGAAGGCAGTACGACACTCCGCGCGTACGCGTGCAATTTCGAAGAAACGGCGGTGGAAAGTTGGAGGAACGAAAGTGTCTGTTTTCTTCACCGATCATCTGCCGCCGTTTTACTCGCTATTCACCGCCGTTTCTACGGCGCGATTTGCTGAGTATTTGAAATATGGTGTGCATTTTTGCGTAGCGTGTATGCAGACAATGCGCATTCGAATATTTTTCAAATTTGAATTCAGCCTTAATTTTTTTTATTTGTTTGCTTTAAAATTGTTTTCAAGTGAATTGGCAACTTTGATTTCCCAAAAATTTTAAATTTTAATTCCAGAGAAGTGTATGAACCACTGTTCACCCATATTTATACTGGAGATATTCGTTTGCTGCAGCCGTCACGATCCAAGGTTAGTCGTATAAAAGTGCTTTATATAAAAAACAATATGAACATCTTTTTTTTCTATTACTGTGGAAAAACTGCTCTCATAGTCATTTTCTGAAACTATCAAAACCAATGAGATCCGGATGCTTACTTTTAATTTTGAATGCATTTTTTTTACCAATTTAATTTTTGAATTGTTTGGAATTTTTATTTAAAAAAAACTGTCCATTGTCAATTATGAAAGTATTTGGAGGTAAAATAATTAAAAGCACACACAACTAATGAGAGTAAGCAATTATGCGATTTATTTTCGAAATCATTCTTATAATTTTTCCAAACTTTTTTCGAAAATTGATTTATATCCCTTAACATATTCATGATTCAAGATAAGTATATTTTTTGTGGATTTCCGCTTCCGTTTTCGTGTTGCCTGCGGTTTTCATCAAGGTCATCAATTTTTTGTTGGTTCGCCACAACCAATAATTGTTAAAAATCGATCGATGGGCCATTTGTCGGCGGTCGTCGCAGCAAGAGGAAGACAGAGATAAAAATGATAGGGACGAACACGAACGCACGCACCCCGAGACTGCAAAAAATGATGATGATCGAAATAGTTGAAGGGCAACGATAGGCGATGGAGGAGGAGAAGAAGGAGGAGAAGAAGAAGAAGAAGAAGATATCAAAACATTTTGTCAAAGCATTTATTACTTCTTTTCGGCGGTTTTGTTTCGCAATTGATTTTTAGTTTCAATTCTGTTTAAAATTTTAATTAATTTTCAGACGTGATGTCTGCAATCAGTGGTAAAAGACCGCCGGAGGATGACTCGAACCTTCCCAAGTACAAGCTCGTCGTTATTGGCGATGGTGGTGTCGGCAAATCATCGCTGACAATCCAGTTCTTCCAGAAGCAGTTTGTCGATTATTATGATCCGACGATCGAGGATCAATACATTCAACATTGTGAAGTCGACGGAAACTGGGTGATAATGGATGGTTAATGACTCGATTTTTCGAATAATTATTCGTTTTTTTGTGATTTAGTTCTCGATACTGCTGGCCAGGAGGAGTTCTCGGCGATGCGCGAGCAGTACATTCGCGGCGGACGCGGCTTCTTGCTGGTCTTCTCCGTCACCGAGCGCAAGTCTTTCGAGGAGGCTCACAAGCTCTATAGACAAGTTGTTAATGATCAGAGCTGCGCGGAATTCGTCAAAAAAGGAAACATATTGTTTCGTCTTCGTTATTAGACAATTCAAGTTCCGTGCAGCTCTGCGGATGATCCGGCTAGGTTCTGAAAAATTGTTTCTCGTTCAGGTTCTTCGCGTCAAGGATCGAAGTGAGTATCCGGTGCTTCTAGTCGCCAATAAGATTGATCTCGTCAATCAACGTGTAGTTAGTGAGCAGGAAGGTAGAGAGCTCGCCGCGCAGCTCAAATTAATGTACATAGAGACTTCGGCCAAGGTCCATCGAAGTTGATGATGTGTCTTAAGCAAAAATAGATCATTTAGGACCCGCCAGTCAATGTGGATGCGGCTTTCCATGAGCTGGTTCGAATTGTTCGCAGTTTTCCGAGTGATGAAGCCGAGGAAGAGGTAGAATTTCGTGTTGGGACCCATTTGATCTGAAACGCTGTCATTTTAGGAGCCATCGGCTATTCCACGCTCACGACGAAGAAAAGACAAAAAGGAGAAATGTTCGATTTCCTAAAAAAACAATCCAAGCAAATTACTGTAATAGCCGTGAAGCTTCATTGCCATTCCCCCCGAACTCCCCGATATATAATTTGTGATACATTTTTCAACTTTTAAAGGTGCATGCTGTCCTTGTTCCCCTTGTAATTTCTATTGTATACTGGTTCTTTTTTTGGATTCCAAATCGCTATTTTTTGATTGATAAAGACATTGCGTTGGTGAATGGTGAAAGAGTGAGAGGTTAGAGAGGCAGAGGAACGTCGAATTCGGAGATGACGACGGTGTCTGGTCATTCTCGACGCGATGTCATCGCCGATTCGGGTCGCTATTATTGGTTATGGGCATTTAGGTAAGATTTCGAACGTTATATATGCTAGAATATTTTTTTAAACCGATCCAAGGCCGGATAGACGTGGTCGAGAAAAAACTAGGCCGCTAGAAATTATTTTCAAAGCCTCCGAGTTTTTTTTTAAATTCAACTCCAGATTTTGCTCGATTCAGGAAAATTCTTGTCGGAGAAACTTCGCGAGCTGCCGAATGATTTCCAAGTCTCGAAAATATTCAACCGATCGCCGGTTGATGGCGCGTTGGGTCTCGACGCGATCACTCCAGAAGCGCTAAGGTTGCACATTTATAAGACCCGTCATTCATTAATTTTATTTCAGGGAAGTCGATTTGGTAGTGGAAGTTGCTCATCCGAAAATTATCCATGACTTCGGATTGATGATCCTTGAGCATTCCGATTTATTCGTAGGAATTTAGCCAAAAATGTTTATTATGGGTTTTTATTGAAGATTGGATCACCAACATGCCTTGCTGATCAAAACCTCCTTGATAATATAACCCAAAAGGCTGACAAATTCAAGAGGAAGGTTTTGGTGCCTTCTGGAGCATTCTGGGGTGCCAACGATATTCAAAAAATGGCGGATGTTGGTAGTCTCAGGGTAATTGAAAATTCTCTTGTTTAGTTTTTACAATTCTATGATATTTTTGTGCTTTTTGACGTTAACCCTAAACTCCATTATCAAATTGCAGAGTCTTACTATCACAATGACAAAGCATCCAAACTCGTTCAAACTGAATTCACCGCTGCTGGAAATCAATGAAGAGGCGAAGAAGGAGACAGATAAATCAACTGTGCTTTATGAAGGACCGGTGCGCGGACTTTGTCCGTTAGCACCGAATAATGTGAACACCATGGCCGGCGGGGCGATTGCGGCGAAGAATTTGGGATTTGATAAGGTGGTGGCGAGATTGGTTTCGGATCCAAAGTAACAACCCAAAGCGAATTCAAAAATCCATAATTGTTCAAGAATGCGCGACTGGCACATCGTTGAAGTGAAGGCAGAAGGTCCTGATGGCTTCGAGGTCATCGCAACTCGCAAAAATCCCGCGAAACCAGGAGCTGTGACTGGCCAACTCACCTACTTCTCGTTCCTTTCATCCATTAAAGGTATACATAAAATATTTGTATTAACAAAATTATACAATTTTATAATACAGAATCTCGATTCAAACCAGCCGGCGTTCAATTGTGTTGATTAGATGGACTGTGTCGAAACGATTAGATTGTAATTGTGCTTCCATATCTGCAATTTTGAATTCGAAATGAAATTGTTGTGTTCGCACTTCTTCATCGTCTGAGGTGATTTGCTCCTCGGTATGGTTCGTGTAAAGGTGATAGGCGTATTGTTGGAGTTGCTCTTCGCGTGACGGCAAAATTATTTCAGCTTCCTCGTTTTCTACAACTTCCTCTGGCATTTCGGGTTCATTGTCTTCAAAAACAAAAATTTTGTTTTTTTTTTTTCATTTTTCTTTTATATACTCACCTTCAACATAATCCATTTCATGCTCTTGCGGATCTTCATGAAGCTTCGTCCTCAGCTCATAGATGACTTGCTGCATTTGCTCGGACTTCTCCATTTCCTGTTTGAGTAGACGTGTCGTCAAACCGCGAACAATCTCCTCGTCCATTCGATTCTTTCGCTCTTCTTCGAGTTCGCTGACAAGACGCTTCCGTTCATTCTCGAGCTCATCGCGTCGTTTTTGCTCGCGTGCGAGTTTGTCTTGAATCGGACGACCGCGTTGCGAACGTTTCCAATCGTAATCGAGAAGGGACTCGCGAGTCGGATAGTCGCGAGCAAGTCGCATATCTAAAAAAGGAATAAACTGCATTGAAATGTTTAAAAACAAACCTTTAAGCATCAACGTTGCCTGGATTCGATCAAAATGTGAAAATTGCCATTCTTGACCTTCCGTGACAATGGTCCATGAGTATCGTTCATCATCTTGAGTGTTAACCTGAGTTTTGAAATTTTTGAATTCCGGATAATAGATATTTTAATTATATTTTATAGTATATAAAGAATCTGTGCAAAATTGATCACAGTAATTACTAATTAGGAAAATTGAAGAAAAAATCAATTTCTAAAAATTAGGACGAAGTGAAATGTATGCAATTTTGCGTCGGTGTGTACACAGACGTACGCCTTTCTTCAAAAACTTTGTTTTTCCTTTCATTGCATTTCACGAAAAAATCAATTTTTTGCTTCACTTATTGTTTTATCTGATAGGAAAAACGCGTTTTGGGTTTTTCTTTATTTCGGCGCACGATTTATGTAGATTTATTTAATATAGGCGTCTGAAATTAATATTTCAGCGTCTTATTTTATTTTTAATTTTTTCATAATATATATATATATATATATACCTCAATTATGGCCTCATTATCGACATTTACCACAATTTCGTCATCTGAATTCTCAGACTTCATTCGTACTCGTCCGGGCATTATAAGAATCCAGCCAAATTTCCATTTGTCGCCGATCTTGAACGGAAAACACTTTGGTGCGCGGCCGGCGAGATTTCGATACATTATGAAACCCTAAAAATTTGGTTTTTGAATTTGCTCGCGCGCTGTTCTTCCAACTTTTCCGATAACGTGATTCGCAAATCTCTCAAACACTCGTTCAGTCGTTATTTCGAGCTCCTCGCGATCGGGAAAAATCGCCTGAACTAGGCTCAGAAACTCGCTGAATGTCACGTTCTCGGGAAGATCCACGTTTTTTGGGCTCGTCGGCCGATGAAGCTCTTTGAGCATTTCATCGATTATAAATTCGGCCTGCGTCGGCTTAAACGTCCCTAAAAAATAGGTATTGATTAAAATTGGGCGAGCATTTTGAAAGAAAGGTTCGAAAGCGTGTAGCGCAATATATGTGCAATCACGCGGGTATCAACTCTGCGGACTTGCACTTTAGTTTACGCCAATATTTTTCAATTTTTTTTTGTTGATATCTTCCAGAAAAATCGATAATATCCTACCTTGCACATTTCGATCAACAAACTGTGAAAAAATGCGAAAAAGCCGCTGGAATAAGTTGTCGTTGAGTGCCTCGCTCATCGTTTTATTGGATAGCTCAACTCGGGAGCCGGGCGACGAGAAGAAGAAAAAAAAATGAATGAGAGATTCAAAATCGCATCTGCGGATCCTCGACGCCCCCCGTCAGTTGTTGTATGCGACGTTTTTTTTCGGATTCGTCCTCGTACACATTTGTTGCAAAAAAACCCAATGATAAATCGGAGAAGAGAATTGTGTGGCCGTGGCCTAGAATTAGTAATTCTTCGTCCATGTCAAATAACAATACGATAATAGAGCATTTATTGTGCGTTTCTGTTGATTTTTGGCAACCCGTATTGCGAAATGCTTATCGCCAAATAAAGCTATTCAACATTTTGTTGGTGTTTGAGAAAAGAAACCGGGAAAAACTGGCAAATGGCAAGACTGTTTGATGAAATCGTGCAAAAAAAATGATTATACTATTAGAACTCGTCTTCCTCTTTCTTATCCGCTATCGCTGGTGGAATCTTGTCGGCTTTTCGTCCGACCTGCAATTAAACCAAAAATTTCGTTGTTCTGTTAATTAGTCCAATTAATTACCAAGAGATAGGTGTCCATTCCGCCGTCGATTCCTTTCACTTCGATGTGATCGCGATACTCAAAGTCGTATCGATCGAGAAGAATGTCGCGCGTGTGCTGGGAGACTTGAATACGATTCAGCACGCCAGTGCTGTACATTCGACTGGCGATGTTCACTGTGTCGCCCCAAATGTCGTAGTAGAGCTTGGTGGTGCCGATGACACCGGCGGTCACCGGGCCGATGTTGAGGCCCAGCTTGCAAACGAAGTCGAAATTCAGCAAATCTTCATTGAACACGCTGAGCACATGCTGGATGGCCAACGCGAACTCGACCATCTGGTACAAATGCTCTTTCGGATGTTGCATGTTCTTCTTGCGCTCCGGATTCAGACCGCTAGCCGCCATATAGGCCGCTCCGATCGTCTTGATCTTCTCAATATGCGTGAAGTCGGGCCGATCGAGAAGCTCGTCGAAATCGCCGATGACCTCGTTGAGGACTCGGAGGAACTCGCGACCGCCCTCGAAGTTCTCCTCGTACATGTCGTTCCAGTTGGTGATGGCGGCGAACAAGACCGCCGTCGACTCGTGATTCTCACTGTACTTCGTGTCGGTCTTCAAACTCTCGACGGCGTGCGCCGGAATGACGTTGTTGAGCAGCCAGTCGGCCTGATCGCGAACGATCTGCATGCGCTGCGTGTCGCGACGCGCTTGAACATCGCCGAAGAACGACATTCGGAACGCGGCTTCGAACTGATAAAATTCATATGTTGATTCTCAAGAGCGCGCATTGATTACCTGATAGTTGAGGAACGCGACGAGCACAATTGAGAGGACGACGTCGAGAAGAAGCTCCCACAAGAACAACGGCGATCCGAACGTTTGCGGCATCGCGCGAGCCGACGAGGCGTTCAAGCCAAGCATCGGCGTGACTCCCTTGCGGACCGGCTTGAACACCGACGCATCACAATAATCGAGAGTCTGTAGGAAAGCCTCAGATTCGAGGAGTTGCGAAAAATGTGAATGCGTACCTCCGGCTGAGCGCTGCTCAAACTGCTCTGACAATAATAGACGCCGAGCAAATGGAGAAGTCCGACGAAGACGGCGACGGCGGTTTTTGGCCACGCGGCGAGTTGCGAGAAATTGCAGTGGGCGAACAACGCCAACATGGCGACGTAGCTGAACGTGAGACGCTCGTTGAGCACCATATAGGTGCACGTGTCGTCGCGGCACAACGGCATAATGCAGGCGGCGACGCCGACGGGCAGCAGGATGAGAACGAGTCCGATGAGATGGCGCGGCATCCATTGATTGACGCACGGCATTCCCGACTGCCTACGGAGTTGCGGCAATCCGATCACGATGATCGTCACAATGATGATGGTGATGGCGATTGGCGAGTAGGCGATCAGCGAGAGCGCGACCGGCCGAATCGCCATGAACGCGACAGAGTCGGCGATCAAGAATAGCGCGCCGGCGACGATGATGTCGATGAAGACGCCCGAGTAGCGATACTTGTTGACCGTCGAGTCGGCCGCTTCGTTGTCCTTCTCCTCGACGAGCTCCTGATGCCTCTCGACGTGCGTCTTCTTGCCGACGTGACGTTCGGCGGAATCGACGAAATGCGCGCGATACTCGTCCTCGACGCATTTCTCATTGAATCGCAACGTCCATTTGTTCAGCGAGTCGTGATGGCCCCAGAAGCCTTTGTCGAACCCGCCGTCGCCCTGACTGATCACCATCGCGAGCCGCTGATCGAAATTGTTGTCGGTGTCGAAGCGCGTCAACGAGGCGGCGTTGTGATGATGCGATATCGCCGTGTCGAGGCCGCCGACCGAGTTCAGGTCCGAGTTGCCGTCCTGCAACGACAGCTGCAATCCGCTACTTCGACTGCCCTTGATGCTGTTGCTTCCGCTGTTCGTCGGCGCGAACTTCTTCTCCGCCCGATCGCTGTAGGTGTTGTTCGTGTCGGTGCTTCCGTTGAAGTTTCTCGTCGTCAATGCCTGAAGCGAGGCGCTTTTCCGATTGTCCTCCATCACACAAATCGAGTTGCTCTCTTTCGGCAGCAATTGGGTGCTTCGATTGCGCTCGGCGAGTTTGATTCTCAAACTTCCGCCGCCTTCGCGAACCGCCGTCCGAATCGGATACGAGTTCGTGTGATTCATTTTGAGCTTCTCGGCGATCTTCTGCTTAATCGTCGTCTTCTTATGGCTCTTGTGGCTCTGCAATGATTCGACCTCGTGGACGACCGCCGCCGGCTCGTCGATCTGCTCGTTGATTCGACCTTTCACAAAGTAGGTCTTCATGCCTGCAAATCGAAATCCCTCATTTTCAAATTGTCTCCTAAAATCCCGCCTACTTTCAGGGACCACTCGTCGCTCAGTTCCTTGAACTTGCATCTTCAATGGTCCCACATAATCCTTCCCTTCATCAATAATGTAGAAATCCTTGATGAGCTCGGCGGTCGATGCCGACACATGGACCCTTGAATTCGAATTTGAAGGCGCATGCGTACCAACATTGACCTACTTTCCAGCTTCTCCGGATGACTCCATCTCATTGGCAAGCGTCACGTCGTTCGAGAACACGTCGAATTTGAACCTCTTGGTCCCCACCATGCCGCACATGACTTTTCCCGTATGGATTCCGACTCGCATGTTGACCTCCTGTCCGCGATCAATGTCGAATTGTCGAATCGCGACGATCATGTCGAGGCCCATGTCGACGGTGCGACACGCGTGATCGTCGCACGGCTCCGGACAACCGGCGACGCAATAATAGCAATCGCCGAGCGTGCTTATTTTCTCGAGGCCGCGAATGCGACACAACGTGTCGAATCGTCCGAACAGATCGTTGAGGAGATTGACGAGCTCGTCGGCCGACTTGTTCGACGACATCTTCGTGAAGCCGGCGATGTCGGCGAACAATATCGACACGTCCGTCATCAGATTCATTGTGAACGGCCGAAATTTGCGGTACTCGGGTACCGAGTTCGGTATCGACATTGGCTCTGCAAATCGAAATCTAGAAATGTTGGTTCCTGACGATTGTCGGACTCACGCTCGACTTGCGTCGCGTTCGATGTTCGACAATTCGAGTCGTTGCTCGCTGAGGGTCGCCTCAACTCGGACGCGTCTTTGAGAAGCTCGTCGGCAACCTTTTTCGGCATCACCGACTGAATCATGTGGTCTTTGAATTGCGTCTCCAATTCCAAATCTTTTCTCGCCAACAACGATTGGCCGACTTTCAGGAACGTCTTGCGTTGGCGGACTTGCGTCAGAATGAAGAGGTGCACGCCGAGCAAATGGACGCCGGCGTGGAGGACTACTTTGATGTAGCCGATCTCTTCGAGACCCAACTGGAAATGCTTGCGATGGCATCATGCTAGAATTCGCTCCTACCTTGTTCTTACTGAGAATCTCGTAGAGGATCGAATAAACGGTGCCAATGAGGAGGCAGAGGTAGAGGGGCAACGGGATGACGGTGTAGATCAATAGGACGACCTGAATGAGGATCGTCGATGGATCGCCGAACGGGCTCACCTGGAAACTGGTGGCAAGACTGGCGACGGGCGTCATGAACGCGGCATGAGATTCGGCGGAGAATATGACCAACGTGACTAGACATATGAGGAATGTGCAAAGAAATGATGTAGGCATGTAGAATCTAGAGGATTCGACAATTCCGATGTTTGGGTGGCATTCAGAAGCCTACCGTTGATATTGTGACGCGCATGTGGTGAACGCGTACATGGCAAGAATGACGATGATGAGGCATGTCGAAACGACCTAAAATTGTTTTTGTTTTTTCATTTGCAGGAAAGATCGCCTAATGCGCCTTTAAAGTGGCATTTTTAGACCCCTGTAGTGGCGTCACCCGTACAATGTCCGTAGATGATTTTGGGAAAACAACGCGCGAGAATAGCGATCGCTTCGCATGAGGCGCGTTCCGACAAAATGTCCGCAGATGAAAGTTCACTTTAAAGCGCCGCTCAAAACGAAACTGCCCGATTATAATGATTGGCGCAATTCATTCAAATTCGTTGTGTGTTGGTCCGTCGGGGGGAAGAAGAGACGAAGAGGAAATTCGATTTTTTTTCTTTTCGCGCCCAACAATTGAATAGGCGAACGAACTCGTGTGTGAAATTGTTTGAAATGTGGTCAAGTGTGATGATGATGATGAGGAAGAAGAAGAAAATTGATATTGGCGCGAATCGTATTATTTGCGTTTTCTTTTGGGGAGGGTGGTCCCTCCTTCTCATCGACCTAGACATGAAGGGGAAGGGGGGGGGGCTCAATTTTGTGCGCTGGGGGAATTGCTCGCATGACAATCATTGAGAGAGGCGAAACGCGAGATTTATGAAATATTCGAGCTCCAAGCCCATGTGCCTTTAAATCGGCAATTTCTAAGAATTCTTCTAGGCGCCTGAAAAAAACGATTTTTGGTCAGAAAAAAATTATTTTTGGGATCCTAGCTTTCATGTTCAGCCATCTCAATCCTTTTTTTTTGAGTCCCGTGTGAATCATTCCTACAGTAACCCGACACTGATTTACAACTTTTCTCAAATTTTTGAACGCAAATATACATCTATTTCCTTATAACGCCGAAAAAATCCAATAAAAACTATATTTGCGTGTCGTTTTATTTCATTTTTGTTCGTCTCGCCGCAATTAATCGCTGGCGGCCAATCTCAATTTTGTCAATTCGGTGTTTTTTTTTCCATCGGCATAGTTCAACAACACATGGCCTGGAATTAATGACGAATGTCCTTCTTCAGGTTTCGGCGAAAAAATAATGAAGGCGAGGGGAGGGGGGACCTATTATGTTTTTTTTTCTTGTGTCTCTCATAAGACATACATTTATTACACTCGTCGGCAGTTGTTGGAGAAAAACTGATGGGGAGACCCGTGATTAAACCGTGAGGATCCGATCCGAACTCCCCCATAAACAGAAGACGTCGAAAACACCAAAAAATCTTGTTTCGTTTCGTTTTTGCGGCCGGAAAATGAGAAATTTAGGGGTAGTGGGTACGGTGGATTGAAATGTACGCAAACACCGAGCCGAGCACATTGTTTTGATTTGACGAATTTAAATTTGAATTTGCGCCACCTATATCATTACAATGGTCGACTAGAATTGTTCATTTTTGTGGTTCTAATAGAATTTTTTCTAGAAATCAAGGCAGAAAAAGAAAGAGAGAGAGAGAGACTCATCTTCAAACACCATGCGCCTTTAATTACCTCATTCAATTTTCTTGACATTCGACGAAAAGAAAATTTTGAAGGAAACTTTTTTTTATAGAGCGAAGTTCAAAAAAAACTGAGCTAGCTGTTTAAAGGCGCACAACGCAGCTAGGCTCTTCTAGCGAATTAATCGAGCGACTCTGGGAAAGCAAAAATAAATAAATAAATAAACGAAATGAATCACCGCCCACTACAATGACCGCCAAAAATAGCGATGGATGGATCGATTGATCGTCGAGAAAACGCATTACTATACAAACAAGACAACGAAAACGACACCGGGCCACTCATAAGTGAGACACATACCCAATGTTGAATAGAACTCCGATCGAAGAGCGCCAAATAAACAGACCACGCGAGAATGACGAGCGCGATGTAGACGAGACCCGAACGGAATCGATCGCGCAGCTGACTGAAACTGCACTTCCAGTATTGCGCTTCGAGTGTCGCGCTTCGGAATTGCGGATTCCACCAGCGGGCCGAGGCGCGCTCGAACAGCGGCACACGGCGTGGCGATGAGCTGTGCGCGCGAACCGATAGTCCGCCGCCGCCGCCACCGCCGGTGCCCGAGCCGCCGAGCGCCGGCGTTCGTTCGCCGATCTCGTCCTCCATTCGACGCGTCCTCATATTAACTATATTGTTGTTGTTGTTGTTGTTATTGTTTAGATTTCGAATGGCTAGTTGGTGGGGAGGCGAAAAAAAAAGGGGGGAGGAGGGGGTCTGAGTTTTATGGGGCTGCTGGCCGCGGCTGACTGAGGCAAAGGGGCGTGGTGAGAGACGGCAGACGCGACGCGTAATTGCGCTTTTGCCTCGGTTCTCCGCCCTATATTTCTATTCCGTGTATTTTTTAGGCGGGCTGTCGTCGTTGGTTCCCCCCCCCCTCCTTCTCTTCCGATACTGCTACTGCTGCTCCGGGGAGGGCATGCTTGCGTCCTCATGCCGTCGCGACTGCTCCAGAGCTCACACTCGACGTTGAGAGTCGCGACGGGCCGGCTTCATGGGAAACGTTGTGCTCGACAATTGGCATTTTGTGTTTCTTTTGGCATCTTCCGATAAGCGATGGTTACAGTTTTGTTACGATTGGATGGACACGCCCACCGTTTTGAGGGCATCGTGGGAAATTTTTTTTTTTTGAAGGGACCAACACCGCTTTTGGGCTTCATCATCTATTTATTGGGGGACACCCGGAAATGCAAGAAACGGAGTGATCAACGACATTTTATTGAGAAATTTGGTTGGGGGCGAAAAGCTCGAAAAAATGAAGGGAACAATTTTTGAAATTTGCTTTTCATGACGCAAAATTGCACACAATTCATTTTTTTTTTTCAAAAAAAAAGTTCGTGAAGAAAAAAAGTCGCCACAAGACCCAAGACTCATTTTTCCGTATTATGGTATGCGTGCTCGCGGTAGGAAATCTTGGTCCCGAGAGTTTCCACTGCAAAATGAATGAAAAGAGACGGATCAGATTTTTATCCACTTCTGATCCATGCTTCATCATTTTTTCATATGCCTTTCTTAAGAAAGCTCAGGCAATCAAATAAAATATTTTGAGATTCATTGAGAAACAAACGTATCTCTATAATATTTTAGATGTTTCTCAATCAACTTTAGAAATTATTAAAAGATTTTAGAATTTATCGAGATAATTTAGAATTTGCTTAATAAATTTTAGAAAATCTTATAAGATTTAAAGAATTCTTTTAAGTTTAGCGATTCTCAATAAGTTTTCGAAAGTATCAATAAACTTTAGACTTGCTCAAAATATTTTCGAGTTTATCAGAGAGTGCCTGAGAGGCAAATCAAATAAAACTTATTGAGAATCGCTAAACTTAACAATATTTTTTAAAATCTTATAAGATTTTCAAAAATTTATTGAGCAAATTCTAAATTATCTCGATAAATTCTAAAATCTTATAATAATGTCTAAAGTTGATTGAGAAACATCTAAAATATTATAGAGACACGTTAGTTTCTCAATGAATCTCAAAATATTTTATTCGATTTACCTGATTGTGAGTTCCAATTTTAAAAATCGAACGAAAAGATGAAACATGGATCAAAAGTGAATAGAAACCTCATCTACCGCCGATTTTCCATTTTCCAAGTGATGGGAACCATCCACACATCGGCATTCACGCGCGCTTGAGGGTCATTGGAAATTTTCAAAAAAAATTGTTCAATCATAATTTTTTTTAATAATTTGTAAAATTTTTTAAAATTTTCTCTGCGTTGTCCCATAAGAGCAAAAATGTCTCGATTTCGCGGCAACTTGTCCCACGAAGACTCGCGACGACATCCGGCACCTCACACTCCTCGGCAAAAAATTTTTGCCGCTTCCCCGAAGCACACACTGCGTCATTTTTATTTTGAGTTTCACAATTGAATTGATGTCACACACACGCAATGCAAATTTGTTGATATTGTACCAATAAGAAGTAGCGGCGCTCAGTGTAAAAGACGCCATTATCAGTAATTTTTAGTCTTTCCCCCACTGACCCCATGGGACCCCCCATTTATATACATAGCAAATAAATTTTTTTTTGTTTTTTTTTAGTTTACATTTTCTATAGACTGCCTTATTAAAAAAACTGAAATTTTGAATTTCGACAATATTTTTTGGATAGAACTCGGAAATATTCATTTAAATAATTTAAAGGCATTTTATAAATGCGAACCCCGTTTTTATTTTTCCATCGGGTTTCGCGACATGAAAAAGTTTTGGATTTTGTTTTTCCTCTAAAAAAAGTAGACGAAAAACAATAATCTTTGTAGATTAAAAACCGAACGCGTTATTTATTTTTAGCAGCCAAATTTCTTCTCGGGCCGAACTGATTTATTGCTGAGCACTTGAGATTCACATAAATCTTTTCTTTGTGGAAACTCATCAATCCGATGATGGCAAATCAATTTTTAAAATTTTTCTTGCGAAATATTTGACAAATTTGGCTTTTTTTGCCTTATTTGTTATCAGCAAACGTCAATCATCGAAAAATGAGCTGAAATGGCTCAAAGATGGCCGAGAAATTCGAATATTTGGACGAAGCGTGGCGAGACCCATGACAATAAATGCGTGCGCCTTTAACCGCCGAATTTTTGAAACATTATTTCCTCATTGAAATTCCTCATTTTTTTCCTAATTTTGCAATTTTCTTCAGAATTTTAACAAAAAAATAAAATATATCAGATTAATTATGTCGGGAATCATTTTCGACGACATGTTCTCCGTGAAATCGGTGGATCCAGACGGCAAAAAATTCGACAGAGTTTCCCGATATTTCTGTGACTCAGAATCCTTTAGGTACTTTCTATTTTGTATGTAAAATAATTTGGAAAAATTGTAGAATGGAGCTGATTATCGATATTAATTCACAAATTTATCCATTAAAAGCAAATGACAAATTCCGACTGGTTCTCGCCACCACATTACGAGATGATGGCCTAGCAGACGAGGGAGAATATCAGCCCAAGGTTTGATTGACATTATTTCAAAAATTAGAAAAATGAAATATTATTTTCAGGCAGAATATCCAAGAATTAAGCAGTATGAGTATGTTATGTATGGCAAAGTATACAGACTCGAAGACGACGATAATGGCGCTGATGGAGGCAAATTAGCTGCCTATGCCTCCTTCGGAGGACTTCTGATGCGATTGAAAGGCGAGGCTATCAATCTTCACGGGTTTGAAGTCGATATGAATTTATATTTGATGATGAAAAAAACTGATTTCTAATTTTTACATTTTCTCCGATTTTCACCGATTTGTATCTCATTCCAATTGTTATCTTGATTTGTTTTTTTTGTTGAATAAATTATGTACCTAATTGAGGCTGTTTTTAGGATGTATAGAGGTTCAATTACCCTCATCGTTTCCTGCATTTCCATGCATTTTCAAACATTTGCATTTTGTCGTTTTTTCAGGGTTCAATGTCAGCTAATCAGGAGCTGCAGCAGTGCTATACGGATTTTTCCGTTGATGTAAGATTGATTTTTTTTTAGTTTTAAAGCATATATCTCAATATTCTTTAATATTAAGCTAATTTTCAAAATCTGAAATCGACATTTATAGCAATTTTGAGGGAATTTTGAATTTTTTTCTCAAATAAAAATTTCAAAAGTTTTTTACAGATTGATCGTGTTGAGAAGCTTTCTCGACTTTTGGAAGCTATGGAGAAGGGAGAATTGACCGACGAGCTTCTTGAAGAATGCCCAGAGCTTCTCGAAGCCAAGAAGAAGAACGACAAGCTCAAATACCGGAAGGAAATCCTCAAGAAGAGCCTTGAAAAGCAATTGGCCGAGAATTCCAAAAAAGGCGTGAAGCCCACCGCCGAGAAAAAGGCGAAAAAAGAGGCCGACAAAGCAAAAACGTTCGTTTAAATTCGATTTGGCATGTAAAATTTTTTATAAACAGTTATTAATTCATTTTTTTGGTGCGTAATTTCTTTTTTCTTGAATATTGCCTAAATTTCAGCGGAGGAGCGCCACCGAAACAGGCGAAAAAAATAAATTACGTACAAGTCGAGGATTACGGAAGCAGCATTCTCGGACGCCTTAATGAATTGTTCAGAAAAGCGATCGATGAAGCGTTCCCCGGTTTGGATGGTCCGTTGATGATTGCCGAGACGCCGAATCCCAAATTTGGCGATTATCAGTGTAATTCGGCAATGCCTATCGCCGCGGTATAGCCGGATTCGATGAGACTTGGCGATTTTTTTGTTCTGTTTAGAAATTGAAAGCGGCGGGAACGAATAAGAAGCCTGGAGACGTCGGAAAAGAAATTTTCGCGAAATTCCCGAAGAATATTGATTTTATCCAAAAGGTTGGCTTCAGATGACTGTCGTTAAGCAAACAATTTGCATTTTGAGAGAAAAAGAAATGAAATTTTTAATTAATTTTTCGAAAAAACGAAATTTTCTGCACTTTTTTATGTTAAAACTTTAAAAAAATGTGAAAGATTTGAGTTTTATGCTAATCCGGTGATCAATTGAGAAAAAAAAAAACGCATTTTTATGAGAAAATCGAATATTATCTAGTTTTTTTTCAATTTTTTATTCGTAATTTTCGAATTAATCAGAAAATGCTCATACAATTTTTAATGCGGAAAAGTGCAAAATTCGTCGAATTTCGCACAAATCGCTTGTTATTCGCAAAAAAAAGAACAAAATTAGGAATATTCGGAGATAATCCACGGATTATCCTAATTGGGCATCATCGAAAAATATGAGAAACTCGCAAAATTCTCTCAATAGGGGATCCAATATTTCGATTTCTGCAGGTTGAAGTTCTACCGGCTGGATTCATCAATGTTTTCCTCAACATTGACTATATTAGAAAGCAGATTGCCGAATTCGCGTTGAAGGTAATGGGTCTTACAGCGAAAAAAATTAACATGGTTTATCGAGCGGTGCCCGAGAAATTGAAGGACGATTTTCATATATCCAAAATTTTCAGGGTGTCACATTGCCGAAAATCGCGCGTCGTCGAGTTCTCGTCGATTTCTCGTCGCCGAACATCGCCAAAGAAATGCACGTCGGACATTTGCGATCGACGATCATCGGCGATTCGATTTGCCGCCTTTTGGAAACGATCGGATTCGACGTGCTTCGAATCAATCACATTGGCGATTGGGGCACACAATTCGGAATGCTCATCGCGCATTTGTACGATCGATTTCCGGATTTTCGGACGAAATTGCCGGACATCTCCGATCTTCAAGCGTTTTATAAGGTTTGATGATTTTTTCGACGCACTTTATCGAAAATGATCGTGTTAGGAGTCGAAAAAGCGATTCGACGAGGATGAAGCGTTCAAGAAGCGAGCTTATGAATGTGTTGTGAAGCTTCAGAGCCATGAGCCGGAAATTGTGAAGGCTTGGAACACGATTTGCGATGTTTCGAAGAAATGTGAGCAATTTGAAATGTGAAAATATTCTTGAATTGTTTTTTTTTTTAAGACAACAAGATCGTTTATGATCATCTCGACATCAAAATTCGCGATGTTGGAGAGTCGTTTTATCAGGATAAAATGATTGAACTTGTGAAATGGATCAAAGAGAATAGTAAATTGTCGAAATGAATCGGGCAATAATTGAATGTTGTATTCAGAGCCGGAGATTATGAAAGAGGAAGATGGGCGCCAGATCATGTTTCCGACGGGCTGCGAAGTGCCGCTGACGGTGGTGAAGAGCGATGGAGGGTTCACGTATGACACGTCGGATCTTGCCGCGTTGAAGCATCGAATGCTCGTGGAGAAGGTTGATTGGGCGATTTATGTGGTTGATGCTGGCCAGAGTTTGCATTTGGAGGTGAGAAATGCGAACAATTTGTGCGACGTGATTTGAGTTTTTCAAGACGGTTTATGCTGCTGGCCGCGATTTCGGCTGGTACGACGAGAATAAGCAGCGTGTCGAGCATGTTGCGTTCGGTTTGGTGCTCGGAGAAGACAAGTTTGAGAGTTTCGATAACAATTTGCCACTATGCGAATGCGTTTAGGAAGAAATTCAAGACGAGATCCGGCGAAACGGTTCGACTACTCGATTTGTTGTCGGAGGGCGTTAAGCGGGCAACGGAGAAGCTGAAAGAGAAGGGCAGGGATCAGGTGATGAGCGCGGACGAGTTGGCGGCGGCGCGCGACGCGGTTGCGTTCGGTTGCGTGAAATACGCGGATCTTTCGCACACGAGAACCCAGGATTATGTGTTCTCGTTCGATCGAATGCTCGATGATCGCGGAAACACGGCGGTTTACCTACTCTACGCCTATGCGCGTATTCGGTTTGTCGATCGCTTGTCAGTGATTCCGCAAATTCCAATCAATTTCAGATCAATTGTGCGAACCACCGGCGTTTCAGCCGAGCAGATCAATGAATATCTCGCGAAGACGCCGATTCTACCATTCGAGCATCCTGCTGAGATAAAACTTGGCAAGCAGATTTTGAAACTGTCGGATTGTATAATTCAAGTTGTCGACACGCTCATGCTTCATCAGGTAGATCATTTGGACTGCATTGCAATGAGTATCATATTTGCAGCTTTGCGACTATGTTTACACATTGGCCACACAATTTCATGACTTTTACACGGAATGCTATGTTATTGATAAACAAGGGGGTATGCGCCTTTGAATCGATCGCGAATTATAGTTTTTTTCTTCCAGACAACCAAATCATCCATTTTCATCGACTGGCGCTGTGCGAGGTCACTGCCAATGTGATGTCATTATGCTTCAAAATTCTTGGAATTCGTGAAGTGCCTAAGATGTAGAAAAACTCGGTGGTTTTTGTTGTTTCTTTGTTTTTGTTGTCGAAATTTTGAAATATACATATTTATAAGAAAGTGAGCTCGTTCGGCAAATTTGGAAGAAATGAGGCAAAAAAATTTCGAGTCTTAAAAATGAAGAAAATGCCGGAATTATGGGTGGGGGAATTGAAATGTTGAAGAATCGCCGATCGTTTTTTTAAGGAAATGATGGTCCCTTTGGTGAGGATTAAAAAGGCAAGTCCACTTTTTCTTAATTTTGGAGGCGAAATTTAAATGTAAAATTCCAGGGTTTGGCGAAAAAAGTGACCCTAGATGAACATTCAACTATCACTTCCTCTCCGTATATTGATATCAAGCGATAAAAGGTATTTTCGTCGATGAAAGTTGAAAGATGGCTGGCTGGTTTATCAACCATCGACAATCAAACTTTGAATTTTTGACGTCGGTAGTTCGTCGACAACATCAAATCCGTTGTGTTTCGACGCACCAAAACAACACATTGTTATCATTTCGCGCGTTTCTCTTTTTTTCGTTCCATCACTTTTCAGTTTTGTGTAATTTTCTCGACGGGGTTCGTCTTTGAACGATTAAGAATCATCGATTTGACATTGAAAGATGAACATGTAGTAAAATCGCAAGAACGGAGGCCACTTATTCAAGGGGATTTCATTTTGAACCTCTACGGACATTATTCGAGATGGCGGCAATTCAAACAAGGCACCAGCGAGATGTCTGTTTATTGGCAATCCTGGTTCATCCAACACCCTTTTTATTTTGACGCGAAAAGTCCATAATAGGGACTATCAATATTTGTTGCCCATTTTTAGGTGATAAATCTCGCTGTTTCACCACCCAATACCGTAAGCTTGTTTGGTCTTTGAGAAATTTTCTCAATTTTTTTGTAGAACAATTAAAGACGAAGAGACGATACAATCGGCTACCGTAATCCGATGCAGATGATGATCTGCAGTACTATTTTTTTTTTGTTTTCGTTGTGGTAATTTTTTCAGTTTTTGTAGGAAGAAAAAATTGAAAAATTACCCCATGAAAATACATATGATTTTGCTTACCTATTCCGCCTTTGATCTCATTTTTCTCAAAGGAGAAGGAGATCAGGGATAATCGTCGTCTACTATTTGATCTACAGGCTTCCCCCTAAATAGTCTTATTTTGCATTGAAAGATCGATAGATTGGGTTTTAAAGGGTTTATGGTGCCACATTTTGTCAAGCTCGTCCAAAAAAGGCCACGGCCGCCATCAGACCGCCCATTCGTCTACAGTAATTAAGAATTCTCGAATGATAACAGTCCCCGATGATCATGCGACTTCCGGCGACGCTCCGCCTTCAGCGCTGGTATAAAAAGTTTGAAAATGGTTCGACCGATCAACGAATTCATGCCGAACACGATTGATCCGATGAATCCCGTCAAACCGACTCGCCACGACGAGGCGCTCACGTGCGGCGCCAAGGTGAAACGTTGGTGCAAGAAGTATCTTTTCGAAGGACAACATTTGGACGATGAGCTAGCCGACAAGATGGCCAATTTGCCGGCGAATCCGACAATCGGCGAGCTGCTCCTCATCAAGCATCGCAAGTTCGTCGCAATGCTGATTCCGTTCGGATTGATCTGGGTGAGACGCAAGCCATCCACTTAATATTCCGAATCGCCTGGTTTCAGCTTGTCTGGTGGTCGGCGGCGATTCGCCACAACTTCTTCCAATACTATGCCGATTACTGGCACATGCCCGTCACAATGGTTTTGGGCTCGTTCGTCGGCGGCATGACGTCGGAAGGATCAGGCGCCGTTGCGTTTCCCGTCATGACGTTGGCACTTCACATTGCGCCCGAAATCGCAAGAGACTTCTCGCTCATGATCCAATCCATCGGAATGACGTCGGCGCTCGTCTGTGTGCTCTTCATGAAGGTGAAGTTCGAGCATCGAGCGGTCGCCATCGGCGCACTCGGCGCCGTGCCGGGCTTCATCATCGGCGTCCACTATGTGAGTCTCGGAGGCGCTCGAATCAAAGAGAACCCCTTTCATTTTTTTTAAAGATCGATCCCATGTTCACGGGACCACAAAAGAAAATGCTGTTCGTCTCGATTTGGACGGCGTTCGCGTTCGCGTTGGGAATCCTCAACGCGCAAAAGAAGCGTTCGACGTTCGCCGAGATTCCCGAGTTCTGCGTGTGGAAGGCGTTCGTCCTACTCGTCACCGGCGTCATCGGCGGCGTCTTCGACGCGTTCGCCGGCTCCGGCATCGACATTTGCATCTTCTCGATCGTCACATTATTATTCCGTGTCACCGAAAAGACGGCAACGCCGACAACCGTCGTCCTCAAAGGTTTGGTGAATTTTTTAAAAGGCTTGCCGTTTCGCCAAGACCGGCCTCAGTCAATTTTCTTCACGTTATCAATTTTAATCAAATATTGAAGGATTACTATATCCATTCGCCAAAACCCATCACAGGTGCATTATAAAATCATTTCCAATAATTATTTTTTAATGGAATCGCATAGTTACCGATTTATGATCCATTTTGCACCAAAAATTACAAAAAATCATTTGAAAAAAACCAAAAAGTCAATTTCCGACCAGAAAACGCAATTTTATTTAAAACCCACGCCGACCGCCACGCGTACGCAACGCGTCTGATTCTCTGCCTCCTAAGCGCGCGAATTTGAAAAACTCGGCCTCGAAACGACAAGCCATATGTTTTAAAGCATTCGTGAATCGCTCGCTTCAGGAATCATCGCGGTATTCGGCTTCTACTATCGCGCTGTGATGATGGGCGACATTGACGCGACGGCGTGGCGCTACTTCCAGACGTCGGTGCCGGTGTCGGCCGCCGCCGGACCGATCGGCTCATTCGTCGGCTCCCATTTGCATCGCCAACTCATCGCCGGCTTCGTGTACGTCCTCGAGCTCATCGCGCTCGTCGGCTTTTTGTTCACGCGTCCCGCGTGGACGCTCATCGTCTTCGGCGGCGTCATCATTCTCGGCGGCTTCGTGTTCTTCTCGATCGTCTCGAAACTCGGCGCCGTCCTCATGGAAAATATCGAGCGGCGGCACGCGAAAGATTGTGTCATTAATGGGAACATTTAATTATAATTATGCATTTCCTATGATTATTCTCAACATGTTCGGGTGCAATTTATGGAATTCAAACGTTCAATTGTAAATATAATCGAGATTTGAAAAAATTACAATCGCAAAAAATGATTTACCCGGGGGCCATCGCATTTTTTTTTGCGGAGACGAAAATTCAAAATTGAATTTTAGCATTTTGCTCGTTTTGAAAAATTTTCAAATTTTGATTTTTAAAATGAATTTTAAATTCAAATTTTGAATGGTTAAGATCGGGCAGAATAAAGTTTTGAATTTTAACTCAAAAAGTCGAAATCGGAATTCTTTAAATTATCAAATGTTTCGAAAAGTTTGGTCATGCTTCTCGGCAAAACCTCGCAACTTCTGCGCAGATTTTAAACAACTTTTAGATAAACCGAGTTTAAAAGTTGCGCAAAGTCGGTTTAAAAGTTGCGCAGAGTCGGTTTAAAAATTGCGCAAAAATCTTTCAAAAGTTGCCAGTTGTTACTCATTGATCTATAGAAATATACATTTCTCACTACTGAAAAACTATTTTTGATTAAACAAATTGTTTTATTCAAACAAAAAAGAAAACAATGAATTAAATACAAGAAAAACAAACGAAACAAGATATAACAAAAAGACACATATTCTCAGGCAAATCAAATATTTTGAGAAATTCTAAAGTTTCTTGATATTTTCGAAAATTAATCGAGACTCGATAAACTTAAAATTATTTTTTTTTAATCTTATAAGATTTTCTAAAATTTAATGAGCAAATTCTAAATTATCTCAATAAATTCTAAAATCTTATAATATGTTCTAAAATTGATTGAGAAAAATCTAAAATTTTATAGAGACACGTTAGTTTTGCTCAATGAATAGAGCACCATAGAGCGCACTTAAGTCTCCACATAATCTTCTCTTCACCATTAAATAAAATTTAAATTCAAAAACGTAAATAAGAAGCGAATTTAAAAAATAAAAGAATGATTTCATTTGTGTTTCGTAATATCGACAATCTTAACACACAAAATAAATTAAAAAAAAAACAAACACAATTAGAAATGACTTTTGGTGGGCCCTCAGAATAAGAACAGAAGAAACTTTTTTGACGGAAGAGGGTATACGGTAGTCGCAATAAAAACTGTGTTTGACGGAAAACATAACAGTAAAAAATGCCGGAAGACGGAATTCCGAGCAGGACAATAACGATGGCATTGGGATTCATTTCGAGTAATTGCAATTCTGAAGCACACACGGAAAGTAACATTCGGAAAAAGAAATTCTCGAAGCACGAATTCAACGAATTTCGAATTTCTCGTTTAAAATCTGATTTCCATAAATTGAATTTCTAGATTTATTTATTATTATTCGCGTTGAGATTGCTACATTGTAGCCGCGAATTCGCAATCTAAACTCCGCCTCCAGCGTTTGTTTCATGAGGCAAATGCGCTCTAGGGCAATACAGCGTCGATCGGGAAAGCGCGTCGGGGAGCAGAGAGTGTGCTAACATGAGAGAATGTGCCAACACTTAGCGTCAATTTGAAGTTCTTGTCGTCAAATGCGCTCTGTCGCAGGTCTCGCACCGACGCCCAGTGGCACTATAAAAGGCCGGCGGAATGAGGAATTTGGTCATTCTCGCAGCTCTCCGAGTTGCGAGCAACCCGCCAGCGGGCTCCTCGTGTCCCGCATAACCTGCGGGCTCCACGTGCCCCGCGCAACCTGCGGGCAGCCCGCATCTCCTGCGGGCTCGCTGTGGCCAAGGATCCACTAGGTAAGTCGCATTCATCGCCGTCGCTTTTCCTGATTTCCTCTTTTTGCAGATCCGATATGAGCCACAGTCGATTCTCCATCGACACCTTCGGATCAGAAGTGTTCAAGGTGTGAGGGATTCTCGCCTCGACCGGCTCCGTTAGTCAGGGCTCACCCTTCAATGGGCGTACTGCAGTGTTGGTTCGAGGTGACGTTAAACCTACACTGAGGCATCGAGGTGATGAAGGAAGAGATGGAGAGGCGACGAAAGGTCGACGCTGCCCGGGGCGTCGAGCAGAGTGAGGAAGCGGATTCAAATGGTAACGAAGAAGCAACAATCGATCGGAATAATTCGATTCATTGCAGAGTTTTCGATGAACGGATCGAGAGAAGACGACTGGAGGAAGCGACGAGGAATGACACCAGTGAGAAGTAATTGATCCGCGGATCATGGTAGTTTTAGGCCCGGGCCTTATTTTTATTTTTATTATTTATTAATTTTTTAATTTTTTATTATCACTCACTTGCACCAGCCGTACCACTTACGGCTTCCCCCTCTTTCTCCCATCACTTGGGATTCCCCCTTCTCTCCGTACATTCGTACCACTTACGTCTGTACTTCCTCCTGGTCCTACCGTTTTGGACCATCCCTTCTTTCTGGGGAAAGCCGGCTTCCCCATCCTCTTCCTGCCGTACCACTTGCGGCTTCTCACTTCCACCAGTCGTACCACTTACGACTGTCCTCTCTCTCTATCAGTCGACTGATTCCCCTCTGCCGTACCACGTGCGGCTTCTCACTCACTCTCTCTCTCTCTTCTTTCCGTACATTCGTACCACTTACGTCTGTACATCCTTCCATTATTTTCACTTATTATTATTTTTGTTTTTAGACCCTTCGGGGTCGGGCAATGATCCACATCAGGCCTCTTCCTGATGCTGTGTGAGCCTCTCCTTCAAGTGTCGAGCCTCTACGTGGCGAAGGAGATCAACTGACTCGACACTCCTTCAGGGGATGCCGAGTCAGGCTAATCGGCACATCGTCTCAAGCAAGTCGAGGATATTAATCCTCAACTGGGCGGCTTCTCCAACGACCTAGCAAGTCGCGAGAAGTATTTCGAGACACCTCAAAATACTGCGAATCCCAACGGCCCTCTTTAGGGCTATCAGACATTTTTATTGTTCGTTTAATAAAGAGTATTGCTTTTTTCTTCACTTGCCTTTTAAATTAAATAGTAAAATATTGATCGTCTGATATTTCAAAATATCGTTATTGGATTTATTCATGAGATGGATTTTTCTTTACAATGAATGTCAAACAGTGTTTTGTTTTTGGTTTGTTCTGAATAGGTTCACAAGTAATTATAACTAGCATAATTTACATAACATTTACAACCTATTGAACAACGTGTAAGTACATATAATCGGGTAAAAATTGGAGAAAAAATTTTGGAATTAACAAACCCAAAATAAAGAATGGAAATGAGAAAAAAAAGAGGAAAACTTAGAGTTGAAAATTATTCGAATTACAGACATACAAATAAATCTACACGGCAGACTCCAATCAAGTTTTCATAAAATTAAAGTTGTCTAATAATCACTAATTTTTGAATATTCCGTATAAACAGCTAGATTCAGAATTATTCAAAATGTACTGTCATATATTCACGATTTGCAAGGCTATAATTTGGAGTCCGGAGACTGATTTACTCGGGTAGATTTACGTGTGCGCCTTTCAAAATGGTTTCGTCGCGTGTGAACCCTTATTAAGCTGATTTCACGTGAACGTTAGTCTGCGCGAGACCAAGAGAAAGCTTAAATACCCTTAAATCTACTCACATACAGCTGTCGCCAAACGAAGACTGTAAAAGACACCAATTTAACAAATTTTGCTAGTATTTCTGATAATTCTGAAGCACACACGGCAAGTATGTAGAATTCGGAAAACATTTTCGAAGCACGTACCGCGAATTCAACGAATTTCGAATTTCTCGTTCAAAATCTGATTTCTGATAACGATTTCTATAAATTGAATTTCTAGATTTATTTATTATTATTCGCGTTGAGATTGCTACATTGTAGCCGCGAATTCGCAATCTAAACTCCGCCCCCCGCGTTTGTTTCATGAGGCAAATGCGCTCTAGTGCAATACAGCGTCGATCGGGAAAGCGCGTCGGGGAGCAGAGAGTGTGCTAACATGAGAGAATAAGAATAACACTTGGCGTCAATTGGGAATTCTTCTCGACAAACGCGCTCTATTGCAAATCTCGCACCGACGCCCAGCGGCACTACAGGGTGTCATTTAAGTTCCCGCACAACTTTGAAGGCATATATTTCTGAAACTAAAAGTCCAAATCAAACGAGACTCGAAATATTTTTTATCTATAGTATAACAAATAATTATCTATTAACTCTTTTTGATTCGGTCTCCTTTCGCAGCTATGACTTCACGGAGACGCTTCGGGTAGGATGTGACTGTGGTACGCAGGTATTCGATGGAAAGATTGTCCCATTCCACCAGTAATGTCTTCTTCAGAGCCTCTATACTTGAGTGGGGTTTTGCGTTGACCTTCTCCTGCAAGAGCCCATCACGGAAAAGTCAAGCGGGTTCAGGTCTGGGGAGAAATCAGGCCATTCGGATGACTTGATGAAGTCGGGAAAATGGGTCTGGCACCACTCCTGAGTAGTTTTGGCAGTGTGGGCGGGTGCTCCGTCCTGTTAAAAAACCTATTTCTGCCCACCGAAATGCGTTTTGGCCCAGGGTATCACATGCTTCTCCAAAATGTCCCGAACGTAGACTTCTTTGTTCACTTTCACCCCCTGATCCGCGAAAACCAGGGAGCACTTCCCGGTTGAGCAGATGGCACCGAAAACCATCACACTGGCAGGATGTGAGGCTGGATGATATGTTCTTCCTTTCTCAGAAGCTTGCTGGGATGTCTGGGCAAGTACTCGATGGTTTTGTGAGTTGAATGCCGCCTCCACAGTGAACAGCTTCTCATCGGAGAAGACAGTGACAAGGTGTTCTCCAGACCGCGTGCGAGCAAGAAGTCGTTTTGCTTTTTCGAAGCGTCTCTACTTGTTGGCGGCCGATAGAATTGCCGCTTTTTGGACACGATATGGGGTCAGTCCAAGCTTCGTTTTGACGATTTGTTCCAAAGCGAAAATGCTCATTCCCACGTCTGACGCCATCTTTCTCATGCTCCTGTGTGGGTTTCGCCTGATCTTCGATTTAACGGCGTTGAACTTCTGAGGAGTGGTTACCG